AGGCTCTTTTTTATGCATTTTAAATTGTTTGTAAAAAAAAAAAAAAAAATGAAACACCAAATTTTATAGCTTGTAAACACAAACTATCTAGAAATGTTCAAACTGTAAAAATAAATATGTTTAATGGGTTAGGTAATGGTTTAATGGTTTAGATTCAGATCCCTTAAAAAAAACACATAAAATGTGCCCCAAAACTTAGCTCTAATCTACCACCGTGACAGGCTCAGCAACTGCTCCGCCTTCAATGAGATCATTTTCTTTTATGATCTCTGTCCAATCCAATGCTTCTAATATAGAAGCAATGGTGACACAGGGTGCATATTTGGTAATCACTCTGCTCTCAGTTTTAAAGAGAAAGACTGAATCTGGATTTTTTGAAGGCCTTAAGGAGAACAGCCTCTTTGGGCTGTTTTACATTGTCAGAGAAAAGGGATAGGGCCTAACGCATCAATGTGTTTAGAGTGTTCCTTTAACAAGTACGCCTATTTCTTGTGACCCAAGACATGATTTGCACTATTATGCGCTTCGCAATCTCCATGGCACTTAATCAGTAATTGATGTGAGTGATTTATAAAAAAATAAATTAAAAAAAAGTATTTGTGTGTACCTGTCAGGAAATGTTTTTCTATTTTATTGATTTACCCACTTCACACTGGGAGATTTAAATAAAGCTGTAAGTCATATTGTAATCATTGAGACATTTTGTATTCTACTTTTTAAAAGTAAAAACAATGGTAAAAGTGGAATTAGAATATTTTCTGGCAGACCGTTATACAAAGAGACCAGCACTGCTACATGTATATTGCATAGGCGTGCGCAACCTATTGCATTAGGGTGTGCACCCTAACGCACAAACACACGCCGCGTGTATATGTGTGTGTGCTCAGATCTCGCAAGAGGAACCCGGCGGAGCTGCTGGTTGAGCAGAGCTGGAGACTTAGAGCAGAGCTGGCGCTCGGATAGCGCTGGCTCTGCATGAGCCGGCAGGGGAGATCCTTAGATCTCCCCTGCCGGTCTCACTCCATAGGCGTGCCGCAGGGATTAGGGTGTGCCCAGGCACAACAGGCACACCCTGTGCGCACGCCTATGATGTATTGAGAAAATATAATAAGTAACATAAGTTTGCGTTTAATAGTTTTTTTGTCAGGTGGGGGAAGTAATTTTTCTTCACACTCTTGACTTCCTGTTGCAGGAGCTCAGTTGGCCATTTAACGATAGATACTTGGGAAATCTTGAGGGTTTTGAATAGTCGCTCTTCTATATGCAACGTTAAAAATATCTCTTTTTAAAGCAGCATTGCGTCCACCATTGTTGCCTAGGTTCTCTGCTCACTCCCTGGATTTTGTTAACCTTGTGGGCCTACCTTCAGATACAAGTGTAAAGTTCACGTAGAATGTCCGTGTGGCAAAACTAGCCACTTAAGACTATTCATGTATTGCATGTGTGGATATCCTTGTTTTAGCTGTAAGAACCAAGTATACTACTGTATGTGGCTTTGTTGCAATCGGTAGTTAAAGGCTTTCCTGGGTGGCCGCTGTTCGACTACCGACCACGCGGCGGTCGGCCATCTTGGATCCTTTGTTAGCCCAGCGGGGTTTTGCCGTCGAGCGCCTGGAACTAAAATCGGCTACTCATCGGCGCAAACCCCGCTGGACTTCCAGGCCGTTCGGGAGCCCTGGGCGTTCGGTAGCTTGTTCCCCTTATACTAATCGGTATTTTAGCAGTGTGTTGAAAATAATATGTATTTCATGCGGCGTTCGGTTAGTTAGACTGGGAGCTGAGCGATATTCTCACGAACTGTGCGCTCAGTCCCCAGCTATCTACCGAACGTCCATTCGTTTAAATCAGGGAAATATTATGGAAGTTATGTATTTTAGTGTAAAATGTAAGTTCTGCTGCACGGAGGGATAATCCCATTAACGATGTATTCCAGTGGGAGTATCCCTCTCGTGCAGCAGTGCATGGTGGGAGAAATGTGTGTGTTGGTCAGTTCCCCATGTAGTCCCCTACTGTCCCACCCCTGGAATGTCAGTAGGGAAACCCCTTACATGGGGACTTGCATAAATACTGTGACCTGTGAATAAAACCTCAGTTGACTCCCAGCCTATGTGTCGTCTAGTTCTTAGGAAGGAAGGATTCTTACAATGCTACCGGGATTATTGTATGCTGTATTTATTTACCTGGATTATTTTATGCTAGTCCTGTTACCCAGCGGAGATATTGTGGATTATACTACCTCTCCGCTACAGTCTGTTACCCTGCAGTGTAAGTCCTTTCAATTGTATCAATCACTACACCCCCCAGTCCATCCCAATATTGTCATGTTCTTCCAGTGAGTTCCACAATCTCCTTCCCGCTAATTCACCTCATCTCAGCAATTAGTCCAAAAATATTTTCCTAATTTATATCCATCAATAATATTCTCCCAGTGTATCACTTTATCTCTTCCTCAGTCACCCTCCTTAGTTACACACATACATCCGCACCAAAACTAAACCTTGTGCTTTTGGAAATAGTGGCCATATAATGTTCCCTTAACAGTAAGCGGAAAAGTTTCGACCCTGCTTGAAGAAGACATTGCCAATGTGAAAACGTTGCCTGTTCAGCATCATGGCACATTAGCGAGCACCATTTATAAAGTTGTTGTTTTTCTTCAAGGTACGGCCAGTGATGTGGATTAGATCGGAGTCCCACTCTTTACGGAAGATATTCTCGATTTAGGAAGGCACACCACATTATATCTTTGAAAGCTGTGCATATTTCACAACTGTAAGAAGTACGCCATTTCTTGTTCATCATGTTTTACACTCTGTACCTGCTTGACACACTGGCTTTCAACAACGGTTCTGTGCAACATGCTGGTTCTTTACCCTGAAAATAAAAAATGGCCAGTAGATGGAGCACAAATGCAGACTATTACTTGGTGAGTTTTACTCCAGATGCCCCCGCTGGCCACACATGAAACTTAAAAAAACAAAAACCTGCTGATTTAAAGGACCACTCTAGGCACCCAGACCACTTCAGCTTAATGAAGTGGTCTGGATGCCAGGTCCTTCTAGGGTTAACCCATTTTTTTATAAACATTCCAGAAGGGTAATGTCTCTCCTCCTTCCCTGGTTTTTCCTCTACATTACTCTAATTCCTTAATAACGTGACAGTTCTGGAAAGTCATTGCCCAGAAATGGGTTCATATGTATACCTTTGAGTAGAACACACTATGAGCAGTTTTTCAGTGGAAGTAGTAAGATTAAAGAAAACACAAAAAGAGTAGTAGACCTGGAGTGTCCTTCCAGTGGCTTTTAAAGGCGATAAAGAAAAAAAAAGTTGATACCCAGGATGGTTCTCCAATGGTTGTGTTAAAGAAACACTACAGCTTTAGGAATACAAACCTTAGTTCTGAGTCCCTCTATTGTAGTAAAAATACGAAATTTGTACTTCTCCAGCGCTGAGACTCCCTCGGCGCTGCCATGTGCTCCTCTTCCCGTGATGTAATCCGGCTCTTGAGCTGGTGGTCCTATCCAATGGTGAACAATGCATACGTAGCCAAATGCTTCTCATAGAAACGCCATGAATTCAATGTTCACATAGGAGCTGCAAATTTACATGAACTTTACACAGTCATTGTAGAGGAAATGTATCAGAAAAGCATTCAGTAGAGTTGTGTTTAATCCTGCAATGAAAGAACTGCAATATTTCACATTGCAAGGTTAATACTACAGGGTCACTCCACCATGACCACATCACTGATACCGAGTGTTCTGGGTGACTTTAGGGGTCCTTTAAATACAATTATTAAAGAAAGAGTAGTAGACACTTGGAATTATCTTCCAGTATATGCAGTTAATACTGCGTGATATAGAAAAGAAGTGGATCCATGGAATAGTCTTCCAGTGCAAGAAATAAAAACCGGCAGCGAAATAGAAATGGTAGCAGATTACTGGAATAGCTGTCCAGGGAAAGCAGTAAGAGAGAATGGATATGGAGAAGGTAGTTGATACCCGACATAGCCTTCCAGCTGATGTGGTAAATGCTAACACAGTAAAGGAATCGAACAATGCACGTGTAATGTTTAAGGCTAACATGAAGAAGTAATGAGCTAAATCAGTCCGGTATTTCACAATAAACGTGAGTCGTATTAAGCTGTTGGGTTCTTATCTGTTGTAATATGTGTAATATCTATTGTGTTATGTGGTCAGAGTGCGGACAGATAAGACTCACAAGCTGCCAATCTGTGTGTGACGTTTTCTATCACAGATTCCATTAAATAAATGAAGGCAAGCAGCAGGCGGCCAATCTGGCTAATGCATGACATGCGCTCAGAAGTCCTAATCTCATGGAGACCTGGCCAGGTTCCCAACTCGTCCTGTAATAAGTCTCTCCTTAAGGGGAAGGTATCACCTTACCCAGCATGTAATCAAATAGTCACTGGATACAAACTCTCATATTCTGAGTGTATAAAGAGAGAGCCCCTCATTCTGGTAGCTCTGCATCTGGCACTGGAAAAGGAAATCTCCAATGAGCAGCAGCTCAGAGAAGCAGAAAGAAAGGGAGGAAGATGGGGAGGTATTTTTGTATTTAATATTTTCCCAGGGGTTCCTATTATATTAACATCCTGCACTGGTTTCCTATTACAATTGACAATGAAATGCTCACGGCTCTATAATGCTAATTCTTCTACAGCCCTATACTAGTTCACAGAGTTAGCAGACACACACATAGGGGACTGGCAACTGGGGTGGATGACAACCCCCATCACGACCAGCCATAATCTGAAAGTTTGTCAATAGACGGGCAATTTCTCAAACAGCAGCTACTTTTCAGCTCATAACGCTTCATCTCAGCAGCTGCCGGCTGTGTAAGATGAGAGTTGTAGTCCATAGCAGCCCAGTTATGTTTTACCCACAAGCTACTTGTAATTTAATAAATTCTCTTTTGTGATAAATCATTGCCATCTGGCCTCCTCCAGGCTCTAGGCTTTTTCCAGTTAACTTCCCGTTACTCTGTTATTAAAGAGAGTTCATGGTAGCTAAATAGTCAAATAATCTCACTTTACTGTCTCCTAAATTCCCCATAATCATATTTAGGACCAATTGACAACGCTTGCATGTCTGGAGCTCCAACGAGCTATGATCAATCTCTGCAATGGAACATAGGCCTCACGATCACATTCAACCCTCTAATTAGCCAGACTTCTTTTTAGTTAAGAAGCGGGTTAAGAGGGGCTTTGCATATTCCTTAGGACAAATACGGTTTATAGATAAATTTTTATATAATTACTGTAAATGAAGTCTGTGGTTTCATCTACCGTGAATAAAGCAAATACTGTGATCATGGACAGCGACACAAACATTACTGAAAAGATTTATTGCTCTATTTTCCTTAATTATATTCTGCTTCACCTTTTTGATGTTCTTCCAATGTTTGAAAGCTTCCCAGTTGCTGGGCTGTCTGCAGAGTCATCCGCCACATCGACTACATCTAACGTATAGGAGTAAACGCCTGAACAAGCAAAATGTGTCAGGCCTTTTTTTTTCCGTCTGCATTTCTCTCTGTTTATCTGTTGAAGACGCATTGATGCTTTCCATAGTGCAATAATGATTGATCCCTTATCCTGGTTTTGACTTACTTTTCACAGCGGGGGGCAGTGCCAAGCATCGTCGAAATCAGGTATGTATCTAAGCAGTGGGTATTTGCATTTCATGATTCATCAACTGCTTTATAGACAAAGCTTACAGTGAACCCATCATTCATAAACGTGTTTATATGTAAATTATAAAATATAATTGCTAACTGTGCATGTGTGTGGCTGGGGCATGCCTCTCCACTGAATGCACAAGTTGTACAGATCATCCATGGCGAAGGAGGAAGTAAAATTCTCTCTTTGTTGTCTGCGAGCAAGGGGGCCGGCTTATACACACAGTGATTTTTGCAATCTGCTGCATTAATAAGCCACTTTCTGCAGCGAGATTGAGTGCAGAGTAATTATCGCAATGATGCAAAGTTGTTATGGTGCTTAAAATGGCAATTTAAACTGGTGCAGTGAAGCCACAAACTGAAATGTTAAAGTTAAAATAACTTTTTATATATACACTTGCTAGGAATTTGATATGGTATACTTATTTTAAGTGCCACGTTCCAGTAATAGGGAAGTTTAATATTTTTCTTTATTTAAATAGCATGCATGTATATAAACAGTGTGAAGATCCACATGTCTGCGTTATGGCTCACAAGAAGAATGTAATAGCAGCAATGTTTGCCAAGCAGGCAGAAACAAGATCGACATTCCACGATTTACATTCCTCTCTAGGTTTATACCTGCTGCTTTATAAGCAGCTCTTTAAAAATGGCGGAGCACAAATATAATATCACACCTTGTTTAAACCTTTAAGATCAGAATGGGGCTGACATTTTATTAACTCAGACCTGTGAATTAGGCAGTGAAGTAACTGAATACTATCTACTGCACTATTTACAGACAGACGTGGGAGCATTTCTGGGGGCCCACCTAGGCTAAAGCTCAGAGTGAGGTCGTAGAAAATCCCAGGCCTGCTTTAGGGTCCCTATCATTGTTAGTACTACATCCCTGTGGGGGAGAAAATAATACCCACAATTACTTAATTCGTGACAGTGGTATTTTAATACTTATAATGTGAAATTAATATACATCACAGTGTGTGTGTGTGTGGGGGGGATTGCAGTGGGAGCAGGTTTAACGCTGCATGTTTAGGGTTAACGCTGCATGTTTAAGGCCAACGCTGCATGTTTAGGTTTAACGCTGCATGTTTAGGGCTAACGTGGCATGTTTAGGGCTAACGTGGCATGTTTAGGGTTAACGCTGCATGTTTAGGGTTAACGCTGCATGTTTAGGGCCAACACTGCATGTTTAGGGTTAACGCTGCATGTTTAGGGCCAACACTGCATGTTTAGGGTTAACGCTGCATATTTAGGGTTAACGCAGCATGTTTAGGGTTAACGCTGCATGTTTAGGGCCAACGCTGCATGTTTAGGGTTAACGCTGCAGTGCAGAATTATTACAGCATGGTGTATACTTGTTAGGGTTTAAGGGAGGGCATAGGATACGTTATAGGATGGGGTATTGGGGGGGGTCAGTATATATGGTAATAAATTGATAACCTACAGGGGCAACATTCTCAGCTGTAGTGATACCATAATATTACGCACTGGGTTATTATATACATTATTTACCCTGATATGAATAATGGGCCTCATTCACACTGCCTTGGAAATAGATGATTCACTCTCATAATGAATGTGTTCATTCTCTTCCCTGAAATTCTGCTTATTCCACGCTATATTGTACCCTTAACATTCTTTCATGTGTTCTCTGCTTTTAAGTGACTAAAACCAATAAAACTGAGATTTACAAAAATTAGCCCTCCAGAACCCTTTCAGAGGCTCCAGGGAGTTATGGGAGATGTAGTCCAGCAACAGTTGGTGGACAAAGACTAAATTCTTCTAATGTTCAGGTCGGATCCGGTTGCCTGCGCCAAGAGTAACCCTGCATGTTTTAAAAACAACCTTTACAACGTAGGTTGAGTAATGCAAGGTATGTCACTCATGTAGTTCTTTACTGTATGTAGGTTAAAGGGACACCCCGTGTACACACACGCAATTCAAGTGAAAAGTGTAGGCAAGGTTACATTTGGCTATACTGGGTACGTTTTTCTTTCTTTATTTTTTATTAATAGTAATAGTTTTGCTCCATAAGCCCACCCTCTCTTTCACTCCCTCCCTATCTGAAGTGTTTCTCATTTCCGCTAATAATACTCCTTTATATGACGCACAGCAAAGGTTTCTTGCAGGCAGCCAAACTACATTTCCCACAAGCCACTCCTGTAAAGAAATTTGATAGATAATCTCAGCTCTACCATAGAAATTTAAAGGCAGGTCATTACCGACTACCTCTGGACATTTGCAGCAAATACACTAAATTCAAACATGAGTCAAAAAAACAATCAGAAATTTATATAACTTTTTTTTAATATATAAAAGTTTATTTATTTGAGTTTTTGTCAGTTTTTTGTTTGTTTGTTTTTTTAACAAATGTCTATATAATTTGATCTCTATAAATTTCCTCAATGACCATTTCATTTTTCCAGACACAGTGTTGTCATTTTATTTGATCACCAGTCGGAAGCAGTGACAACTACGTGATGATCATTTTCCTTTGGCCGGCCTGAAGTGCGTTGGCGTTGAGCTAATGTCAGCAGACATCACCCGGTACTTGCGCGCTATTTGCACAGTTTGAAGCCAGGTTGATTTGCGCTGAAACGTGAGCGCGTTGAAATAATCACAAAGCGTATCCTGGTTGGGAAACCCTGTATCCGACACGTGTTCACGGAATATGTCAGCTCTGCAGCAGCATGGGTAAATATTAAATGTTCGCTGGGTAAAATGTAAGGAAACCTGTGTATATACACTTTAAAAAGTAACAACTCACTCAAACAAACAGAAACAACAAAACTAAATCCAACAACTGGAAAAATCTATCAAGGTAAAAAAAAATAAAAAAATACAGGTTCTATTCTGAAGAAAGTGCTAAATAAGGTGCAATCACCATGGAAACAAGCAGAATGTCTTTCAACATTTAGCAGTTTGCACCCAAAATAGCACCAGTTTTCCCTTGGTAAATCCCCCCCTAACATATTTTACTTTGGGGAGGGGGAAATAAAATGTATAAATGAATGACAGTTTTCCTTTAACCCCTTAAGGACACATGACATGTGGGACATGTCATGATTCCCTTTTATTCCAGAAGTTTGGTCCTTAAGGGGTTAAGTAGATAGCTCTGACTCAGCCAGAACCCAGTGAGTGCTAAGCAGAGAATTTTATATCTTGCAGCTCCTCAAATAGACAGGGAGGGACAGGCTGCTCCAGGGGGTGTGAATGCAGGTGTGGCTGGAGGGTGGGACATTATGGAGACTGTTTTGGGAGACTTCCACACCGGTTGGTATCTGTCTATAAGATTGGGTAAGTCATTTAGAAAAAACACCAAAAGTGTCTGACTTCTAAAAACGAATTCTGCAACTCACTCACTGCTAGTTAACCTGTTCATGCCAGGGGTCCAGTCCTGTAACTTTGTAATGATATGATCTGGGGTTTAGCATGGCACAGCAGTGAGTTTTATTGCTGTGGAATTCTGTGAATCACACACTAAGCACTGTCTGCTTTTAGACTCTATGTTCCTGATAAAGAGGGTTACTAGGAGGAATGGCTCACGTTAATGGAGATTGTGACCCCCCATAGACTTATTGTGACCCCCCCCATAGACTTCCTATGTTATTGTTTTTGAGGTACTTATTCTGAGGGCAGTAAAAGTTCCATGAACATAAGGTGCTGGTTCCTAAATCTCTCTGATCTGCCCAAGGTAAGTAAAATGATTTAATTTACACATAGAGCTAGTCACATCACCAGCCATGTATGGGTTAAGGATGTATTCACTGAACAGGCGACTGAAACAGAACTGCACAATTTAGTCCTTTTAGGAAAAACCCAAATCCAACTTAGCTAGTCACAGCGTGTGTGTGTATATATATATATATATATATATTATCTATTGCTAAAGTAAGCTATGTTTAAAAGTGCGTGTGTGTATATGTGTGTCTGTGTATATGTGTGTGTGTGTGTGTGTATATATATATATATATATATATATATATATATATATATATATATATCTCTACCTATCTCCTCGTACCTGCTCCTGTAAGTAGAATTTATCTGTATAAACACTGACTCACAGTGACTGGTGACAGGCACGTATATACGGTGTAAATGTTTTAAATACAGAACACGCACTCTTACTCACTTTGCTTTGAATTAACCGTGTGTTCCTTAGTCACTATACCACTGGAGTTCTGATGTACTGAACAAGCTAGCGATAACCCAATTCACTCTATTTACAAAGTTATCACCCAGTGGACTCAGATTGGTTTCCGTCCGAATTTGGGGCGATTTAGTGATTGGTCGAATTCACAAACTCTGAGCTGAAATGTACCTGTTATCATAACCCAACCATTTTCATTTCAGTAACAAAAATCTTCTGAGATGGAATGACGTTTTCCCCAAATTTGGGAATCCTGATAAGGGAGGGAGGTTGGGGGGGGGAAACCAAATTTAGTTACGTCTGTTACCCAGGTCTTCCACAATTGTCATTATGGCTCTTAAAGGAACACTACTGGGTCACAACCACAAACATGCATTCCTGCCCCTCTAGTGTTAAAACCACCATTTAGGTGGCTTGTCACCTTTAAACCCCCTTAAAATGTAATTAAATTACCTTATTTCCAACGCCGCGCAGATTTGTTGGCTCTGGCATCATCAGAACTTGTGATTTTTAGCCAATCCAGTGCTTTCCCATAGAGAATTGTATTGGCTAAATCAGCAAGGGGGCGAGACGGAGACAGGGCCAAACCGCTGGCTTGAATCAATGCATCTTTATGAGGAAAATTCAGCGGAGACGCTGGACGGCAGTGCCTTTCTCTGAAAAGGCTGTGTTTACATGAAAATGCCTACAGGGAATGATTATACTCCCCAGAACAACTACATTAAGCTGTAGTTGTTCTGGTGACTATAGTGTCTCTTTAAATAGTAAAATGTTGTTGTTGTTGTTGTGTGTGTTTTTTTTTTTTTTTTATAACAATGAATGTAAAAATGTCACACTTCATTAAAGAGATGCTGCAGTGATGATTTAATATTAATATTATTACGCAGCATTGTTACATTGCCTGCCATGGTGGTGTTTTTGTATAGCACAGAGTTTAGTAGGGTATCTATTACTGTCTTTAAAGGTATAACCTCTAACGCTATGTAAATTACTACTGAAGAGGTTGCTGTAACTCCCATCACTCTGTAATGGAGCAGGTGTACCCTCCAAACAGAGTGTATAGTCCTCACATTCTCTCTCCCTGTGGGCATGAGTTAGTGGGTACACTTACTACCTGCCCACGGACCCCAATCTTATCCTATTACACACCGTGCTATAATCACACCATGTTTGACTATAGCATCATTATATTGACTATAGCAATCATATTTTGACTTTTGAATGGTTTAAAGGCTCTCTTTTGACATTGTAAATTTTAAAGGATAAAGTGTAATTGTCTTTATCCTGGTACATAATCCAATATGGCTTAACAATATGATTTCATAATAACTAGCTGTTAAATATGAGGCCAGATCTGGTGTCTCTAGGCCTGTCTCTTGGTTCCAGGCTATTTGGGGAATCAAACAGAATCCCTTACAATGTTGGTTTAATAAGGAATATATATATAAAAAAAAAAAATATATATATATATATATATATATATATATATATATTTTTTTTTTTTTTTTTGTAGGAACCAAAGTCACCAACAGCAGGAGTGCCAAGGGTTAGCCATTACATTGGCATGGAGGATGGCTCATTAACGTAATACCTCTGAAGACATCGGGTTTGTTTATCAGTCAACAAAAATGTATAAACAATGTGTTAAAAATCGCACCAACATTTAACTATCAGAATTCTGTGAATGTTTCTGTAGCTGGTCAGGGACCCAGGGTTAGTTTTGCTGGATCTGCATGAAAAACAGTTCAGCATTTAGTTTGACAGTCACAAACTACAGCCATAATACTGACTGTAAAAAATTCATGGATAGTACAATGAACGCAGTAACAATGACATTCACATTTTTTTTGCATGAATAGGAACATGCAAAGAAAACAAATCAGTGGTTAGCACAGGGAACAGTCATTGAGGGCAAAACCAGAGTATCGAGTATCTATAACCGTGTCCTGTCAGAAAAAGACGTGTGGTGAGACGTCACTCAGTTGTCAGAGAAACAAAACATTTAACAGCGAGTAAGGAGACCATGGAGTGTATGCCTATCCAAAGGTTGTTAAAAGGCCTTAGCAGGAAAGGATGGACTGAGAGACTGAACAAAATTTTAAAAACGGAGTTAAACTAAACTTAACTAAGCTAGGTCACAGTTCGCCGCCCAATCCCCCAACTCTCACTACTGAGATGCCTAAAGCACCCGCCAGCACCTCCGCCGAGAACCATGCCGTGTACTCCAGTGTGGCCCTCACCTTAGATTTAAAATAATTTTTACTGAGATGATGATAAATCCTGGTATGTGCGTCCCAGTTACTCTGAAAGTTAGACGCTCACAGAGAACTCTCGATTTACAAGTAGCTGCTATCACTATGTGACTACTTTTTATTTATTGGACTCACTAATTAACACAGAGAAACAAAGTGACCAAAGTGCAGTAAAAAAAAAAACGATAAAAATCTAATGTTGACTTAAGGTCTCATTAAATTTAATAGAAACCTGTTCCTTGACAGAGTAGTAATATCAAATTACTTTTATTATTTGTAGATGCACTATAGACTATAAGCTTGTTTGAGCAGGGTCCTCTTCAATCTATTGTTCCTGTAAGTTTTCTTGTAATTGTCCTATTTATAGTTAAATCCCCCCCTCTCATAATATTGTAAAGCGCTACGGAATCTGTTGGCGCTATATAAATGGCAATAATAATAATATTAGATTAATATTTCCTGGGGTGTAAATTCGGTGTTCAAACTTTGACAAATCCTTTACCTCCTCCAGTTTTCCCCGTCTCACCTTGTACAACTAGTCCGTCCAGTCTGCTATAAACCTTTCATCTCACTATTTGACAACTTCCACATTTCATTTACTTATGTAAATATTCTACATTGTTGGTGCACCCAGCAATCATTCATCTCTTCTGAACACATTGCACCTATACCAATTATACCACATTCCCATTATACGCTAAGCTCTTTTGTGGCATGTTGGTAATTAATAAATAATAATACCAATAGGTCACCTGGTCGCAAATGTTTTGGCATTAGGCGTAACATGTTCCAGCCCTAACTGCTTGTTTGCTGTTCCTTAATGATACCAAGGGTAACTGTGATAATTATTAAAGGGACTCTATAGTCACCAAAACAAATTTAGCTTAATGGAGCAGTTTTAGTGTATAGATTATGCCTCTGAACTCTTACTGCTCAGTTCTCTGCCATTTAGGAGTTAAAGGGACTCTCCAGTGCCAGGAAAACAAATCTGTTTTCCTGGTGCTGCAGGACTCTGCAGTGCCCCTTCCCTCCCACCTCCCATACCATGTTGCTGAAGGGGTTAAAACCCCTTTAGTCACTTACCTGAATCCAGCGCGGATGTCCCTCTGTGCTGGGGTAGGCTCTGCCAATGCTCCTTCCCTGCCGACGTCAGCCCTGGGCTCAGTTCTGCTCAGAGTAGCGGTTTCTGGGACTTAGTTCAATAACCGCTTTCAAATGACAAACCCTATAACTTAAAGGGACACTATAGGCGCCCAGACCGCTTTATCTCATTGAAGTGGTCTGGGTGCAGTGTCCCTGTCCTTCTTAGTCCTGCAATGTAGAACAGTGCAGTGTTTGAGAAACTGTAATGTAAACGTTGTGTTCCTAACACCATAGAATCCCTTTAACACCCAAACATGTTTGATTTGCTTCCTGTTGACATTTACAACTGTGCAAAGTGTTACTAAACACTGCTGGCTAGTGGGAGGGAATGTAAGCAAACTGTGCACATGTTCAGGAACCAGCAAGCAGGAAACCTAGAATGGGGACACACGAGACAGGGTAAGGATGCAAAATGCTGCAAAAATTTTATTTAGAAACTAAATGTATATTTAAAAAAAAGTATAGATAATTATTAAAAAAAAAGATATAAAATGCATTAGAGTTGTGTTGGTGCCTGGAGTGTACTTAAACCGCCATCTTTATGCACCTTTTATTTCAATAGTCCATTAACCCTGTATATGCTGCTATATGCTTGCTATTTTGTAGCTATTTGTTTCTTTTCAAAACGGCGCTCTCTTACTGCCTGCAGAAATGGACAGCTGCAAAGTAGGGAGAATTAAATCAGACACTTTTCTTTTTTTTAAATTAGACTAACATGATTCTGAAGACAAGTTCTTGGAGAGAGTGAGAGTGAGAGTGTGTGTGTGTGTGTGTGTGTGTGTGTGTGTGTAAATTTCTCAAATATAAGTAAAGTGAGCGTGATTTATATAAGGTTTTGATAGTGTGTGTGAGAGCCAGAATCTACATTAAGTCCTTCATTTATGGTGCTGAAATGTGTGATCATTGTAATTTCAAATGCCTTCCTTTCGTACTTTGATCCTGAGGATTTGGATGGAGTGATCAGTCTGGGTGAAGTGATGACCAACTGGGGTACAATACTTGTTTTCCTTGTAATTCTTGTGCCATTCTGTGTGCGCTCCTGTTCTGGTTTCAGTTTGCTGTAAACCAAGCTTTGTCTCGGGTTAGGTGGTTGTTTGAATGCTAGCATGGGGGGGGCTCAGGAAATAGTTCCTCTGAGATTAATGGCTCTGGGTCTTTTAATAATTATTACACACTTCTTCTAGAGTTGGGTTGTAAGTAACTACCAGCGGGATCCTTGTGGTGTATTTAGGGATAGATTTTATTATTTTTAGCTATTGTTTCCTTGTATCTCTTTTGCCGAAATGACCCTGACTCTGTACTCAGGTGTTTATCTCTGCCCCCAGTGTCTGAACAAATGCGGTGATATCTGATGACTGTAGATGATACCTTGTTTGGTGTGATTGGGATGGGACCTGGAATTGTGCACTGTACCTGTCTGTGTGTGTTCTGTACACAGATGAATGAAGAATGCCTAGTGTGATGGTTAAAGGAAGATTACACTATGTTTTTAGAGGTTCATTTTGAGATTTATTGATGGGTGGCAAATTAAATAATTTCTGGAAGTCTATAAGGCTTTCTTCTCCTTCGTTCCATATTTGACACCCCACTCACCCTCTCCCCTTTTCTAACATCGGGTATTTTAAATTCGATCATTGATCAGTATTTGCAAAGGGAGTAAAGCTCTTGAAAGCTTGTGTTTTCTTTTAGTGTTAAGTTAGTCTAATAAAAAGTTATCATTGCATACTGCAATACGCTGGTATTTTATCAATATATAAATATCTGTCTGCGTATGTCCAGCCTTTCCCAAGTACTATTATCCTGTTGACCTATTACCTGAAAGTTACATTTGTAGGACTGCTGTAGATCTTTATTTGTTCTCTTATAAAGTAGGGCAATGTTTAGAAGCACCCACTCCATTGATCAGGTACGTATGTTAATTTAGTAACACACACGGTAATAACAATATACTTTGTTAATGTATACCGAGCTGTCTAATAACACTGGTCCTGCTATGCGTGTCTGTCTGTTTGAGTACAAAAGCTGTAATAAAATACGTAATGCCAAATGTCACAATGTAGCCCAACTGAAAATGACGTCTTCGTTCCAGTGGCGAAGAGTTACTGTGAATTCTCGCGATGCAGGAAGCGCATTCTTGCAGATTTCCTGACTCTCTTCCTGCTGCCCAGGATGTGACGCAAGTCTCAGGATAAGGTGAGGCTTAAAGAACTCTGTAGATGTGAGGCATTCCCCCTGCCAGCTGTGAGACATCTCTACCCATTGCGAGACATCCCACAACCGCTGGCTGATACGTCCAACAACTGAAAAAAGATAACACTGTTGACAAACCACCACTGCACAGAGCTGAAGGAAACACACTGGACCACAAAGAGTGGACCTTCCTGGAATCCAAGATCTGTCTCCTGGAGACATCCCAAACACTTGAGATGAGGAGAAGTTAAGGTGGCCAGTCCTGATGCCTCTGCCCTACCTTGTTGACACCCGTTAACCTTGTGAGTGTGGTTTGCATTGTGTGATTTGTGTTTATAATGCCTTTCGAACATGCAGATATGTATAAAGAGCAACTCTGGGGAAAGTACTGAAGTGGTCAACCAAGGGTATGTTGTTATCCATAGCACCACTTCTAGGGAGGCATGCAATAAAGGAACACGCAAAGTACCATAACCATTACAGCCCACAATGCCCTGGCTTCTTCCTAGTATAATTTCGGCAAATTGTATTGGAAAGGATTGACAGGTTACCTGGGTCTCAATGGACGCCTGCGGCCGCATGCCTTACTTCCAGAATCTCCTTTTCTGAGCGGTGCCTGTGTATCAGCCGTGTTTACTGAATAGAGAGAGACATCTGGTTTCTTCTGCAGGAAATGACCAAATGGTGCTTTGGTGCCCAGGGGACTGAGGTAAATTGTTAAACTGGCAGAGAATGGTTTAACAAATTGCACTGAGATGGCGTCAGGCTGTAGTGGTTATGGTGCTTAAAGTGTCTCTCTTACAAACTAAAGAAATCGGCATTACAAAAAACAACCTATAACGGTGATTGTTCATTGTAATTGCATATTAACAAGAAAACATGTTGCAGCAAATTTAATAGTGCTGTTGATGACTGTAACCCCCCTCACCACCACCAAAAACCTTTTAAACTATTATAAGGACACAGTATATTAATGATTTAGTTGCAGTAATGTGTGTCCAGAGATCAAGTACAGAAAAATAATATAAACAAAGGATATCTATTGTTGAATTTAAAAATATAAATAAATGCGCATAAAAATAACAAATTATAAAAAAGAAAGAACATACTTCCTATTTTGTGGATCTATTTCCCCCACTGAATTAAGACATTTTTCTCCAAAATTACTATAGTTGCTAAATGTTACAAAGTCGCATTTGTTGCCCTTAGTGCAATGAGGAGAGATTTACTAAACATTTTTTCCCATCCTGTCTGAAAATGTTTCTGCTTTTTCAAAATCTTCCTATCTTTTTATGTTTGTATTTTTAGGCTTTGTATATTTATAACTTATTTACCGTACTATGTGTTATATTTACTTTAAAATAATTATTAGATATAACCGGTCATGTTCTTGTTAAAAGAACACAGAGAATCAGTCATTGTTGAGTGAACACTTCTGATGGTGTCTGTGTTCCATACGGCCTTGTCAGTGACTTTGCACGGAGTTATTATGTCTGTTAACGTCTGGCCTGTCTGTTTGTCTTATGTTTAGTGTGTGCTTACACACATGATCCCACGCACACTAAGGAGAGCACTGGAGGAAGTGAGGCGGGAACACAAAGCGCGAGAGGCCCTGACAGAGGTGAGGCTCCCATTGACTTTATAATGTGTTTAGCGGATTGGGAGAAGGACAGCAAGAAGTCCAGGGAAGGTGGAAAAATCTATTTTTGTTTTATTTTTTATTACATCCAGTTCTATCCTCATATATCCCTGTGTATACTGTAAGCTAATCTTAATATAACGTTTAACATTGTAATTGTAGGTAAAGTGGTATAATCACTGGTTACCCATAAAACAATAAACAAAGTCCCTGCCTCTCTGTGCTGCACTGTCACTCACACTCTCTGTCTGTGCTGCACTGTCTGTCACTCACACTCTCTGTCTGTCCTGCACTGTCTCTGTCACTCACACTCTCTCTGTGCTGCACTGTCTCTGTCACTCACACTCTCTGTCTGTCCTGCACTGTCTCTGTCACTCACACTCTCTCTGTGCTGGACTGTCTCTGTCACTCACACTGTTTGTGCTGGACTGTCTCTGTCACTCATGCTCCCTGCTCTTCTCTGTCTGTGCTGGACTGTCTCTGTCACTCACATTCTCTCTGTGCTGCACTGGCTCTGTCTCTCACACTCTGTGCTGCAATGTCTCTGTTACTCACACACTGTCTGTTACTCACTCTCTGTGCTGCACTGTGTGTTACTCACTCTCTGTAACATTGCCGGTTATTTACTGGCAAAGCCGGTATTTGAGGCAGTCTGACTGGTGCCTGTATTGCAAAACACGGGAGAACGGTGTGAGAAATGGGGACAGAATATCCACCTCTATTAAACATGTCATCCACACACCGCTGTATGCACACAATGACAGACACAGGAGACACCCCACACATTCTCAGTATACAGACACTGACGCACACACTGTTATACACACACTTGGACAAAGTATCCACACCAAGACCTACCACAGTCAGACAACAGTAATGCACACATTGGAAGTCGTTTATTTGGGTGATTTAGGGAATTATCCTCTTACTGTTTTTTCTGATATAGCTCCCTGAGATGTTGTGTTCTGTGATGTCACATATTTTTAATTAGTCATGAAAGTTAGCATTGACGGTATATATTCCCCCTCCCACCCCCACAGAAAAAGGTGGCAATTCTAGCTGTAACACAAGGTTGTCCAAAGCTGTCCCTCCAGCTGCTGCATGGCAAAAAATACTGAACCACCTCTGAGCGAACACCCCTATTACAGAGCTTCTACTGTCTAAAGATTTGTCAACCTTTTTGGCAATTATAGTATTAACTTACCTGTGTAGCAGTCGTTGGCATTTTCCCTGCGGTAACACAGGCTCTCGTTTGTATTGATGCCCTTAGCTTGTGGCTAGAATTCACATAGTTGGCAGCATTAGAACAGAGCAGGAACTTCCTTTGTTATTGTTCCTTCTCTTCAACAGTCATGCAGGGCACGTGGGGGCCATCTTGTGTTTTATAAATGGCCAGTCTATCCAACTGCCTCTAAAATAAGGAGACTGGTATAAACCTGTATATGCTTATTGGTAATATCACTGCTTTTTAACCCTTTGCTAATAACCAGAGTCATAACTGCCACTGGACTGTCTTTTTCGGGTATAAGACGACAAAAAACAGCCAGTGCTTAATCATACAAACCAAGCCAAGCCTCCTTTAACCCCTTTATGACACAGGGTCATCCTAATATAATTGTGTTTATCTGACCTTTTGGCAACGAAGGGACGTGAAACCCCAAAACTTTGTCCAAACATCAAAAACACTAACCAGACAGAGTAGCAAATCACTGCCCTCAAAAAGCATTGATTTAACTATGGAAGTGCTGAAACATAACCTTATAGTGGCTGGAATTCCTGTCCCTGCAATGAGTATGAGATGACTAAAAACTAGGGATTGTCTCTGGGTGTTAGTGACGTATAGCAGGGATTCCCAATAAGCATTTTACACCTTTTTGTTGTCGCTGTTCTAATTTGATTTTTGGGAGGGACACAGGAGCTATTTCTGAATGAGGTGCAAATCTGATCCTGAGATATGTGTGTGTGTCAAGTGCATGCTTTGTATAGGAGTTCAGTCTGTGCGTGTAAATTATATATGCACATAGATAAACCTCCTTGAATAAACCGGTTCTGCAGGGTGTGTTTGACTCTCCATGTGGAAGCGTGTTATTCAGGAAGTTACAAATCCAGACACCCAGGAAACTGGAGTCTCTCTCAGAGCGTCCGTCTGTCTGTCCCCCTCGTCTTTCTTTCTTTCTTTCTTTCTTTCCAACCTTTACCCACTGGTAGTTCCACTTCCTCTATCTCTCACCATCTTTTATAGCCTCTTCTTACATCTGCCAATTCTTTTCCTGTGTCACCTATTCTGCATTCATGGAAACCCTACCTGCTGTCCCCCTTAAACCTGTTCCGCATCCCCCTTAGTGTTCTCTTCCCTCACCTCTCCCCTCTTCTCCTGGTAGAATTCTCTCCCTTTCATTCGCATTATCCGTCTATGAATTTGGGTTTGTGCGTTTCACGGGGTGTCCCCAGTGTCACTTCCAGGACGAAGTGGTACTGTCTGCCGGGTAAGGTAAGCGATGCCATGCTGCTTACTGTTCATTCAGGGTTTTTACTAAAATAATAATTATCAGGAATTCAAAATAAATTTAAAGTAAATTTCAAATGTAAGGCCAAAAAAAGCCATAGTGGAAACATTCTCCATCAGCTATGCTTTTGGATCGGCTACTTTGACCTTAGATTTGAAATTCACTTTTCATTCCCTTTTGAAATCCCAACAATGCTCAATTTATTAAATAACCCTGATTGTATTATATTTCATTTTTATATGCCACTTGGACACTTAAAGGTCAAGGTTAAGTTTATATATACAGAAGGATGCACACCAGTCCAAGTCTACAAAAAAATTCAATACTTTATTGAATAATACAAAAACATTTATATAAAAGAAGTGACAGAGGCTATTATAATACACAAATCAAATGAAGTAAACTATACAGAACTTAGTCAAAGTCCCTAAGAGCTGGACACGTGTATAACCTATGACCCCAACATTTTGGCACCTGAAAATGTGCCGGTCTCAAGGCACAGCAAGGTTTAGTTTGACCACATGCAGATAACCTATTTAAACAACGGGTCCCATGTTTTATGGAAAGAGAGGAGCTGTTTGATGTACAATGGCTAATTTCTATATTGGCATTTAGTTATTCTATATAATGTTTTCATTTAAAAAAAATAAATCTATAGATATATGTAGAAAAGACCAGAAGTCCATACATTTCCAGAATAACTGTATTGAAAATTGGGTCCATTTAAGGCAAATCAGACACGTGATATTTGGGACAAAGGCCAACCAACCTCCAGCATGAGATGTATTTTGTTTTGTTCTTTTTATTCTTATTGTTATTATTATTTTTTATTTTTTTATTTTTATTTCTTATGAAATCCAGCGCCATTAAAGAGTATTTGATATGACCGTGTCTTTGTTGTAACTCATATGGACAGAGGAGGGTTTATGGTTGACGAGCAGTGAAGGTATCCCCTGTAAGGATTAACAATTGTCTGAAAGTGGTCCTCCCTGTAACAGCCCCCTTGTTGAACCACCTAATGTGCTAAGGAAGAAATACTCACCTTGCTAACTTGTCTCTTCTGCCAATTATTGGGCTTCACTTTTGGTCCCATTTAGAGTCCTTAAACATGCAGACACCTGGGAAAGTTAATGTTATCATTCTTTTTTCGAGTTGCAAGTCAGCTGAGTAATTCATTGTTTCTTAATCCAAAGTTTGAGACCCAAAATTAGATTCTCGTTTGTTTGTGCGGACTTAACTTGTTCATCTAGCACTGAACTGCATTGGGGCAGTGTGACAAAGTCTAATTATGGATGACTGGAATACTGAAATATGAATCTCTAACAGAGCTGTTCACTAAAGTGAGAATTGTCAGAAGTTCAAAATAAATTTTCAAATTTAAAGAAAATCTATAATGTTAGAATACAAAACTGTATTCCTAACACTATAGTGCCCTCTGCCCCCAGCTCCCCCGCACTCCCCCTACACTTACCCGATTTTAGCCCCCATATCCCTTAGCACTGGGTCACGCTCCAACTCTGCCAGCGTTGGTTGAGGAGGGTATTTAGAATATTTATGAAATACTCCTTTCGACTGTGTTGGAATTTCACTGACATTCCAGCCCAGTCAAGAGATCTACAGAGACTACGTTGCTTCTGCATTTCTCCTCCACCTGACTTTCTTAGATTTAAGGTGGAATCTAAGATCAATCCCGACAATCATCTGAATTGGCTGTGTCTGTGGAGGATCCACCATAGACCTGAATGCTGTACTCTCACGCATGCAGCGTGAGTAAGATGGCCGCACCCACAAGGGACAGTTTCAGGTAAGTTATCTCACCTCTACCTGCCCCCCAAGGCCACCGGACCACCAGCGGCGATGTCACCATCGGGGGATTTTGAGATTTCGGCAAAAGCCTTAAACAGTGACGCTTTAAGGTCAAAATCGCCGTGAAAGTTGAAACATACTCTAAGGCAGCTATGCCTTCAGCTTGGCTACACTGACCTTAAATGTGAAAGTCACTTTGTAAATAACAAAATAACATCATAGTGTGTGCTTTTGACATTGTACAATGCAGAGTGGCACGCTAAATAATGTGGGTGTGTGGCTAAATCCGTGTGCTGCACCCTGAACTAGAAATGGTTGTTTCGTTTTCTATTTAATGCTGTTTTTGTTTTTTAGAATTTGCACCATGAGGGAGAGGAGGAGCACGAAGGAGTTGTGTACAGTGTGTATCTGCGCTCCACAAACTCTCATCAGGTAACACACCTTTTCCTAGCTAGGAAGTACACCTGGTTTATATCTTCATGTGTGAAACCATCCATTGTGCAGCATTCCTCAAAATCACCTCTGTGTCAAGAGTTTAATATAGACTTTCACTATAGTAAAACAGGGCTCAGCTGGATGAGGTTGATTCAATCTTTATTGGATAACCTTCCAAGTCATTACTTGTTCTATATCCCTCTTAGTGTATTTGTGCTTCGTTGCTGGTTGTTGTGATTTTGTAGGGTAGACCTATGTCTTGGTGTGTCTATGTTTCATGCTTTACAGGAGTCAGGAGATGTGTTAATTTTTATGTATGTGTAAATATCATTTTTAATTTTATTTTATTTTTTTAAATGTATTTTTAAATGGTTATTATGGAAGTGTATGGTATGCACTTTTCCATTTTTTTAAATTTAATTTTATTTGTGTGTGTGTGAGATTTAAAGAATAATTTTATTCCTATCTGCCTAGGCTCCGGTTAGAGTTAAACTGCTTCGGGCTGGCACTCTTGTAAGACTTGTATTGCACCTCCTGGATGCCCGTGCCTTGGGGGACAGTACATATATCCCAGCATTCCTTGCAACGTACCGTGCCTTCACCAGTACTACCGAAGTGCTGAGTATACTACTAGACAGGTGTATGTCGTTATAAACAATAAATACGCTCTGAAGCTAAGCACTCCTAAATAACCCCTTAATGACGTTGGGCTTAAATACCTGTAGGATGGCATGGAACGCAAGCAGCTCTTTAAACACCTCTTAGGAGAGACCACACTTTTTCTGAGCTGCAGACTGCTTTGGGGAGACCCTTCACAATCTGAATAGACCCTGGCAGCGTTTCCCAGCTTGTCCCCATTCGATTGTGACCAGTGCTGGACTTTGCTAGCTGCCCAACACCAGTCTCTGTTTAATCGTTTGGGAACCAGGCTCATTCAGAATGACAGTGTAATTATGAAAATGGCAAGTAGATGGTGGTCACAGACATGATCTATGGTGTTCAAATATTAAAAAAAACATTTCTAATATCATTATTGACGTTAGCAGGGTTAGAGTTCGTATTAGCGTTGGGTAAGGGGTTTAGTTTGTGTATGTCTAGACATATTGGGCATTTAACAATCAGGACTGATATGTGAACCTATTTTGAGTTCTTAATAACTAGCAATGGATATCTAAGAATTATTTTAAGCAAAAATATGGAAAACAAAATAGTCCTCCCCGTCCCCCCCATTTTATTTACATGTAAAGTTGTGTTAGGTATACATATATGATATTAATTGAAAGCCCTTTATCTCCTTTTAAAATGATATATAATGTGTATGGGGACACTTGCAGAGAAACCCTAAAACTAAGGTGGAACAAACCTAGAGCTCAAATTCAAGGTTTTGTTTTGGTTCAGAATGGGGATAATTGCCTCCGTCCTTAAGGGGTTAATAAAGGAAGGTCCTACCCTCTGAGTTAGTCACACTCTCGCTCCTACTAATTAAATTGCCAGCTCATTCTTCCCAAACTAATTTACACGTTTTTAGACATCTGGTGCGATGGCCCAGCGTCCTTACTGCTGCCGTTTAATCTTCTGTTTTTTTAATTCCAAGATATAAAAGTTCTATTTCTATTTCAATCTATCTTTAGTTCACACTGTGCTTACTTTCCACCTCCATTGCCTTTCTTTTATTCTCTTTTTCACCCCATCCATTTCATCGTTGTTTTTATTTTTTTTTTTATTTGAACTTCTTTGCCTCTGATGATTAAATAGGAAAGTGCTTGCCTACAGGTGTCAATTGGTTAAAACATAACATTTAATACATTTGTTTAAAAGCTTGCCGTTGATAATCAGCAAATAAATCAAAAATTATTATTAAATTCTAAAGCTATTAGTTTAGAACAAAGGGCAAAAAGAAAAATGTATAAAGAAAATAAAATAAAAAAAGGGACTATTGTAGAATAATCCTAATTATTACTGAGATTACAGCATGAGTCCAAGTATAAGTAATTAATAGTGTACATTCAGAAATACCAGTGAAAATGAAGCTGGTAATTATAAGAAACACAAAATATCGATAGAGTAAAATATAACCACTAACTATAGTTTAGTATACTATTGTATCAATTTCCCTTGAAGGGAACGATCAGTGTAACTGTGCTAGGTTATACACTCTATAGGAGAGGAACTCCGCCTGAACATCTCCTGTCCGATACAAAAATCGGATTGTTCAATCCCCCTTGAAGAGTCGCCTTACTGGAGAAACACGTGTCGGGGCTCTGCTCTGCACTATACTCTAGAAGTCTATAACGATTACTTCAAGACATTTGTTTTTTCATTAGATCTTAGACACTATGTCCTCTGCAATAGAGATAGGCAGGGTATTTGCATGACTTTCTTTTTCTCATATTAGTGCTAAACTTAGACTAGCAGACAGTTTCTTATACAGATTAGATGCCCTTAAAGGCACAACTTAGCAACTCAGAGTATTATCGGTGAACAGCACTATTTGGGAAAAGAGTCATGTATTGAACAATCCGATTTTTGTATCGGACAGGAGATGAGTTCCTCTCCTATAGAGTGTATAACCTAGCACAGTTACACTGATCGTTCCCTTCAAGGGAAATTGATACAACAGTATACTAAACTATAGTTAGTGGTTATATTTTACTCAATATCGATATTTAGTGTCTCTTATAATTACCAGCTTCATTTTCACTGGTATTCCTGAATGTACACTATTACTTACTTATGCTTGGACTCATGCTGTAATCTCAGGATTATTCTACAATAGTCCTTTTTTATTTTATTTTATTTATACATTTTTCTTTTTGTCCTTTATTCTAAACTAATAGCTTTAGAATTTAATAATAATTTCTTATTTATTTGCTGATTATCAACGGCAAGCTTTTAAACAACTGTATTAAATGTTCAGTTTTAACCAACTGACACCTGTAGGCAAGCACTTTCCTATTTAATCACTACTTACTTAGGGTTACACCCCCTTTTTCTTGCCACAGTTATCGTGACACTCTGAGTTCCTATTCCTTTCCCCATTAAAATTCTTTGCCTCTGATGTTTGCAGGTTAGAGAGTGAAATTCACAAACCCAGGACAGATAATGGAGGGAGAGATGATGAGTAAGTATCACTCCTGTATGTTCGTTTCTGTGTTCACCGTTGCTGTCTCGTGGCACCTCCATTTAGTTTCCTGTCTGTCAGACTTTTCCTGATGGCTCTCTCATCCTGCTAGAAGTGATCAGCATTTGTCCCTCTCTGTTACTTATTGATGAAGTAAATTACAATAAAAATGCTCCCATCGTTATTTTATCCAATGTAAACAAGCATTGGAATTCCAGATGATGCATCGATAATACCAGAGACTGTCTATTCAGAATTGATAACAACCAGTTCTAAAGCTTTGGGCACATGTCTAGGTGTGCGCGCTTAACGGCATATTGTGTCAAAGATGCCATATATTTACAAGTTAGATTTCTTGATAATCTGTCAAAGGGTCATGAGTTCTATTCCCGGTGGGATGAACTCTGCTTTTTATACTTTCAAGGGACGACGAGTTGTGATAACGTCTCTTTGTGAACTGCTGATTTAGTTAAATCAAGGAGCTCTGGAACCCGATTGGGGGAGAAAGCACTGCATAAATATTTATTATTCCCTGTATTCTTATATAGAATATGAAAGTTAAACTACTCCTACTTCTTGGACATTGGTAAATTTATCTTGGTTACATTTCCTGATCCTCACTTATATGCTTATTGATAAACTATATTTACAGTGTCAGCAGCCTCTTCTATGCCTGGATGTCTCATTACCCTGATGATTTTACATCACTTGACCCTGAGAAGAGAAAGCGTCTGTCGCTGTGCCTCTCTAGGCTGTTAAAATCCAACTTGGTGGCAAGACTTCAGGAACTGAGTGTGGAACAAGTGGATGACCAAGAGCCTCTTACCCCGGTGGAAGAAGAAACAAGTGCCTCAGACCCTTTAGATATCCTTATCTACCAGGCTGGATATGTGGCAGAGCAACTTACCTCACTGGAAGCTGTGAGCACATGAAGAACAACTTATTGTCTTTGTACTGGCCTATGTCACTATATGTAAAAAAAAAACAAAAGTATTTTAGATTTTTAGAGCGCCTATCCAATTCTTCTTCTTTCCATGGAGACCGTTCCTATTTTGTTTTATTGTTAAACTAGAGCCTGTGTCAGAATAACTAATGGTTTATGTAGATCTGTTCTTTAGTATGCCTCATTATTGGCATGTAGGAGAACTTAACTCGTGTTCCAAAACCTTGAACTAAATCCCCCTAGATATGACGCCGAGGACTGGCAGATATATCGTCCTGGCTGTCACTCAGACAGTCAAAGAGATTTTCTTCCACATCCGATTGGCTTCACAGAGTTAATGAAAGTGGCAAGTGCTCACTTCTCATTGAGCTGTACTACATCAAGAAGCAAAGGAAAGCTGCGAACGCGTGCATGCGCATGCTGACCGCTCCAGCACAGTGGCTTCTCCGTGAGAAGCCTCTGGTTGGAGTATTCAATGGCACAGACTAAAAGTATGTGCTGGGGATAAAGGGGAGGGCTTGTAAAGGCTGCAGACAAGAGATTTCACATTTTGCAAGCAGTTTTTAGATATACCCCAATAATAAAATACAGAAATGTTTGTTTTCCCCCATTTTAAAAAATGTATTATTTATGATTTTGCAATGGAGTATTACTTTAAATCCTCCTGTTTTGTTTTCCCTCCGCAGTCACTCTTCTTGCGAGTTGTCCCCTTTGAATGCCTGGGATCAGTGTGGTCTCGGAGAGACAGAGGAGGAGAGCAATGTGACCGCTGCCACAGTGTCAGAGAAACCGTTCGTCACTTCAACCGTTTGTCTGGGGCTGTGACCTCATCATGTGTCAGGGACCCCCATCTTCGACCACAACAGAGAGCTCGAATCCTCGAGAAGTGGGTGAAGGTGGCAGAGGTAAGAAGGCTGTTGCAGTTATCACTTTTTGGTGTGCCAGGGCTGTCATCCCGCAGGTCTATCTTTAATACCATCTTGGCCTTATAATTCAAAGTGATACTGTGCTTATTTTTATAGTTGTACTGGGCTCTGCACTATTTTTTACTTACTGATATTATGTTACGATGCTCATACAAAATGTTTTTTATTAATTTAATACTCTATTGCATGATGCTCTTTTTCATTAGTTCTCTATTGCATGATACTCTGTTGTATGATGCTTTTATAATTGACCATATGTTAGATAATTATTTTATCCAACAGTCTTAAAACTACTCTCATTCTCTCAAATTATCATATACCCACCTCGCGTTTTCTGTTATATCATCATTACTGATGGTGTCTCTTTTATTAATGTCCCTGTGTCAGAGCTTCCCTTTCTCTCATCAATGCACTGTTCTCTGTGTGCCTTGGAAATCAAAGTGAAGCTCACATTTTACGACCGAAATCGCTGTATTGAAGCATCACTAACTTACTTTCCCAGTTGATGCTATCTTGGCCTTAAATTTTACATTCTGAATTCCAGACTCTCTGTGTGTGTGAGTGAACGTGTGTGTGTGTGTGTCTGTGTCTCACACTCTCACTCATTATTGTATTTCTCTTTGAATTCCAAACAAATCTAATTTTAGTGAATAAAAAGTGCATTTTAATGTTAAGGCAAAACAGCTGAGATGGAAAAATTCTCTAATTCTCTTTGGATATTTTGACCTTAAATGTAAATTTTGCTTAGTATACTCTGGCTCTCTTATTTGTGTAATTAGTTATTTCCCTCGTTTCCCCTCTGTGTTGCTTGGGGCAATGAGGAAACATTAGACTGGGCAGCAGCAGGGTGGCTGTGATTGGCTGAGAGTGTCACCTGACTGCGTTCAGCTTATCACAGCGCTCATTACAGGCATGAATCGATACGGCTTAAAGGAAGTGTGTAATCTCTGCCTTAGCCATACCGGCAGGGCCAGGCTGTGGGTAAAATGTCTTTGTACTGTCCCTCCATGCAATGTAACAGTACAACCAATGCAATGAGATGGAATAGTTAGAGTGCTTGCAGTGTCTGTGTACTTTTCTTTGTGTATAACTTTTGTTAATGTTTTTTTTTGTTTTTTTTGTGTGTGCGTCTGTCTCTCTCAATAATGTCCTTTTCTTTTTCTCCTTGAAACTTCTCTAACTGTACACTTGACCGTATCTGAGAACCCAGCCCTGCTTCTCATGGCAGTCTCTTTCTGTAACACTCTCATTAGGAATGTTGGAGTCTCAGGAACTTCTCGTCTGTCTATGCCATTTTCTCTGCTCTGCAGAGCACTGCTGTTCACCGTCTAAAGAGAGTGTGGGCTGAGACATCCAGGTAACCAGACTGCAGGTACTAAGTATCTGTCTAAATGTAACAGCGGGCAAAGATTATCACAACTCAGAGTGGGAAATAATGTATAGTGCCCCAAAGGATATCTGTGTATTTTATTTTTTTACTTATACATGTGACTGACAAATATTGACATTGGGGTACAGTGAAATATTTTTTTTTTTTTTAAATGAGCTCTTCATCTGTCAACTATTTTCTATTTTGCTCCAATATAATAATTGTCAATCAAATCTTGTATAGAATAGAACATTATCGGTGAAAGGTCTTTATAAGCTGTAAGTCAAGCCGCCATACTCCTACTGCAGTGTTATTGCTGTTATTTAATCCCATGGTCATGTCACGCAGGGAAATCCAGCGCAGTTACCAGGAAATAAGTGACGTTTTCTCTGAGAGGGACAACTATGCCCGAATGAGGGAGCTGCTTTTCCAGGTGAGCAATCCATGCCACCTACCTTGTCTGTTTGTCATTTTCTCCATTTCACACTCTTTCAAAATATGGTGTGTGTATGTATATATATTGAAACATATACATACAAATCAGGTGGAGTGTAAGGTGGACCTTGAATTCAGGTATCACAGACAGCTGAAAGTATATAAAGAAAACACAACCTAGTGCAATATAGTCTGGTACAATTACATGTATAATAATCAACAGATGTTGTACTCACAAACACAGAGCCAGTTACACTAGGCTCAATGTGCAGGCTGGTGGGAATATTAGGAGGGATCCCACTCCCTGGCTGAGCAGAATCAAGTAGTGTGCCAAAGATCTTCCACTTAATAACGCTCCAGGTCCAAAGATCTTCACTTAATAATGCTCCAGGGCATTAAATCATGGTAAAAATCCAATTTATTAAACACATAAAAAAAAAAATAACAGGCATAGACTTCTTGTCCTGGTGTCAGTCTTATATGGTTCCCCTTTGATTATCAATCCGGATCCCCTGTGAGCCGTGAGTGACTTCCGTCTTCCTCCTATGACGTGTCACTCTGCCGTCCTCACTCTGAAGTTGTACTTTCGGTCTCGGTCTGTATTTGGAACGCATATGCATTCCACCTTCGGAATAAACTTTATTGTCCCCTCAATATAGGAGTATAAACGAACAGCTGATGTATAAGAAGCATGACCCCAAAAACAAGTATATTAGTTGCAAATATGGGAGAAAATTTATAAGGATATTCAGAATGATGGTCTAATACCTAAATAATAGAATATGTAAAGCAGGCAGCAGAGTAAGAAATAAGTAAATATAGAAAGGTGATAAAACAATGACAATCAAATATACATAAAATTGAGTATATAGAGAAGGCAGCAAGATAAAAAATAGGCTGATCTTAAGAAAGGATGATACAATAAAACATGCTTAAAAGGCTGAACTTAAAAAGGGATGATACAATAAAACGTGCGCGAAAGGGGCGATGTAGTAATTTAAAAAAAAAATTTTTTTATAAATAATTCAGAAAGTGTCTAAGATTTACACCATAGTGAACACGTGTCCCTTTCATACATTAAAATAACTATGCTTAAAATCGGTTTAAAAGTTATTTAGTTGTTGTTGTCCTGGGGTTCTTAGATAAACCTCAACTACCTAATAGCAAATAAGTCAATGTAGTAGCGAGCACTTTTGCAAAATATAAAAAAAAATATTAAAAAATATATATATAAAAAAAATAATAATTATAAAAAATTCTCTACATTTTCTAATATACATATATTCACAGAAAGTGGCATAACTCAAAATCTGAATTTAAACCGTGGGGAACAAGGGTATTAAAGTTAAAAATTAATCTCATTTCCTCCTTCCCTATTTTGTTAGTATAGTCTCCACCTCGCCAGTCTTTTTTAACTAATTTCAGAGCACAAAAAAACAACTCTGTAGGGTCTTGGTTATGCATAGTTTTAAAGTGCTGAGATACGCTATGATTTTCAAAGCCTTTCTTTATATTTCGAATATGTTCACTTAATCGGACATTTAAAGGACGAATTGTCCTACCCATATACAGCAAGTTGCAAGAGCATTTCAAGAGGTACACTACACCATGTAAGACTAAGATTATACACAGAGGCACTAAGAATTTAAAAAACATGTTGGTGAAGTTGTCTGAGAACGGATAAACCTAATGAGTTGACAAAAAAAACTTTCAGGTTTTTATAGATGTGGAAGTTGCCTCCCATGTAGAACAACTAAGAGCCACAAGAGGCACTACACCGACATAAGCCACATTATCGGACAGCAGTATACTATTAAAGATCACACTACATGCCATCGAAAGGTGTAGTGCACCTCTTGAAATGCTCTTGCAACTTGCTGTATATTGGCAGGACAATTTGTCCTTTAAATGTCCGATTAAGTGAACATATTCGAAATATAAAGAAAGGCTTTGAAAATCATAGCGTATCTCAGCACTTTAAAACTATGCATAACCAAGACCCTACAGAGTTGTTTTTTGTGCTCTGAAATTAGTAAAAAAAAAAAAAAGACTGGAGAGGTGGAGACTATATTAACAAATAGGGAAGGAGGAAATAAGATTCATTTTTAACTTTAATACCCTTGTTCCCCACGGTTTAAATTCAGATTTTGAGTTATGCCACTTTCTGTGAAAGGATATGTATATTAGAAAATGTAGAGAATTTTTTATAATTTTTTTTTCTTTTTTAATGTTTTTTTATATTTTGCAAAAGTGCTCGCTACTACATTGACTTATTTGCTATTAGGTAGTAGAGGTTTATCTAAGAGCCCCAGGACAACCGCAACTAAAAAAACTTTTAAACCGATTTTTAAACATAGTTATTTTAACGTTTGAAAGGGACACGTGTTCACTATGGTGTAAATCTTAGACACTTTCTGAATTAATAAAAAAAAAAACCCAACCTTTTTATTACATCGCCCCTTTCGCGCATGTTTTATTGTATCATCCCTTTTTAAGTTCAGCCTTTTAAGCATGTTTTATTGTATCATCCTTTCTTAAGATCAGCCTATTTTTTTATCTTGCTGACTTCTCTATATACTCAATTTTATGTATATTTGATTGTCATTGTTTTATCACCTTTCTATATTTACTTATTGTTTTTTACTCTGCTGCCTGCTTTACATATTCTATTATTTAGGTATTAGACCATCATTCTGAATATCCTTATAAATTTTCTCCCATATTTGCAACTAATATACTTGTTTTTGGGGTCATGCTTCTTATACATCAGCTGTTTGTTTATACTCCTATATTGAGGGGACAATAAAGTTTATTCCGAAGGTGGAATGCATATACGTTCCAAATACAGACCGAAACTGGAAGTACAACTTCAGAGTGAGGACGGCAGAGTGACACGTCATAGGAGGAAGACAGAAGTCACTCACGGCTCACGGGATCCGGATCGATAATCAAAGGGGAACCATATAAGACTGACACCAGGACAAAAAGTCTATGCAACTGAGGAAGCGTATTTAGGCGAAACGCGTTTTGCAAGTATTTAAACTCACTAGAGACTTAGCAGTATATACTGCCTGTTATTTTATTTTTATGTGTTTAATAAATTGGATTTTTACCATCATTTAATGCCCTGGAGCATTATTAAGTGAAGATTTTTGGCCCTGGATCGTTATTAAGTGGAAGATCTTTGGCACACTACTTGATTCTGCTCAGCCAGGGAGTGGGATCCCTCCTAATATTCCCACCAGCCTGCACATTGAGCCTAGTGTAACTGGCTCTGTGTTTGTGAGTACAACATCTGTTGATTATTATACATGTAATTGTACCAGACTATATTGCACTAGGTTGTGTTTTCTTTATATACTTTCAGCTGTCTGTGATACCTAAAACCTAGGTCCACCTTACACTCCACCTAATCTGTATGTATATATTTTGTTTTGTGGTGAGGAGAGAGGTTATCACACAGGTGTTTTAGAGTGTGGTGTTATCTATTTGTTGTCACATAGTGGGACTCTGTATTCTGTTTATTTTGTGTAATTATTGAAACATGGCTGTTAAGGGGAAAAAGAAGCAGAGGGAGGGAGAAGACAAATTTTAATAAATGGCACCAAATATTCACTGAAATTTAGACGTGAAAGTGTTGTCATTGTATCTCTTTACTGTTATTGTGTCATTAATAATTCTGTGTGCTTTGGGAAAGAAACAAACCAGGTGTGGGGTTGGGAGGTTTATTCATTGCATTATGCACCTTTACTCCCAACTGCTTCAACGTAAGCTGAACATGATCATTTACATAACATGGCTCACAATCATTTCCCTTCCAAATCTTCTCTCTGCAGTCTCAGGACACATCCGATGTAAACTCGAGGAGACACCCTGTTCGCTCTAAAGACCCCCGAGCAGCGGTTAGAAAATGACCTTTATTTTCTCACATTCAGTTTACACTGTTGATCATTAACCCTGATCTCTTTTGATTGTATCCTCTATCCCTTCTTTCTTATCGCTGTCTATGTCCCCTTCTGTTTGTAATGTATTTGCTAAATTTAAGTATTGCCTTGCTACAAATGGCTGTGAGCCTTGAAATAAAAGGAAGTCCCAATATTGCCAGAATTCTGAGGTCACTGCCCTGAATAACTGCTTCCTGTTTCCATCGGTTGCAGTGTGCAACAAGTTATAGCTAAAGTGCATGCTGATGGGCTGTATAATTGCTGAAGCCTTCTCCAACTTACTCGCACTATGTCAATGTGATCGTCCTCCCACACATACGTATATAGTTCCTTTCTAAACCATTTACCATGTTACATTTTCCGGCGATGTCTTTCTCTATGTCCTTTTTAAGTTACATTTTCTTTATCTCAGGGTGTCATTCCGTACCTTGGAGTTTTCCTTACAGACCTGGTCATGTTGGACTCCGCTATCAGGGATCATCTGGAGGTAACACTACTAGAAGGAAAAACTCTGTATGCCTTCTTGGTTGGTCTATTGGTGGTTCTATAGCCCAGGGTTGGGTCACAGTGTGCTATATGACACAAGAAGAAGCATTGACTAGGTTTAACCAGCGACATATGGCACAGAGGCAAAGAAACAATTTAAAACATTGGAAAATGGTTGAGGAAATCCACACAATTTCTTTATTGCCCTCGTTCACTTGATGTGCATTGGGCTGACGGCTAGATCCTGGTCATCAGGGGTTCTTGGTGACCAGTGCCTTATTATATGATAAACGGACGGCATTTGAAGTGGAACTCTTTATGCAGTCCAAAGTTTTTTAATGTAATGTCTTTTTGTGTTTCAGAATGGCTATCTAAACTTTGAGAAGAGAAGAAAGGTAAGATTGTTATATTTTATTTATAATTCTAAATGGCCGTACATTTACTGATATTTAATTTTTTCTTACTGATTTTTGCACATCTGCCAACAGTCCTGAATCTTGAGAACTGTTCCTCTGCTTTAAAATGTGTCCCAGTGTTTGGCTTCGCTGATGCCATTCCACCTGCTTTTTATCTGCCCTCTGTGAGCTCAAGCAAGCTTCTAATGCTATCCTTGTACTGGTATAAAAGTTGTTTAGGAGGGAACGGTCCTGACTATACTCCCCAGTTCCGACAGCTTTGCACATCCTGTGATCTCAATTTTTCTTAATCGTCTGCTGTAGACTGCTGGTTGGTTGGTCACTGTAACGGATCGCCTGGCACCCCGGCTGAGTACCTCCGTTAAAGGATGCTCCTAGCCTTTCCTGAGGACTCCAAGCACTCTGGCAGACACCACAATCACCGAACCGGAGAAACAAATAAATTCTCCCAAGCATATGAATGCTGTAGACAGTTGAATAGGAACCATACGAATAGGTTTACTCTCCTAGCAGTCAAACTGGAACAGCATACAATAAATCCTTCCCCCAATAATGAGACGACACTTCACTTTGAGGGTTAAAACAGGAACTCTCTGTACTGTCACATACAGTCTCTTTTATTCCCAATCCACAAACATAGTACAGCCCACAGGGCGTTACAAAACAACCAATCAATCCGTACAATACACCCAGACACTCCCACACAAAATCCTCCCCTCTGCATGTGATATGATTACTGAACACAATGGGTAATCTCATTATCACCGGCAGAGGAATACAGTTTTTACACAATATTTATAACTTCTAAAATATACATGTCACAAACATAAAACATACATTTTCATAATCAATCCATTCAGGGGAACAACATATTAAAAAATGGCACGAATCAGACCAGGGGTTCAAAAGTTAAGGGAAAGTCCTTTGTGACTAAATGAAGCATGGCTTTCTGGCCCAAACCAGTTTCAGAGTCTTCTATCCTGGAGAGTAATTCAATTATCTCCCAGGACAGACACAAGACTCCATTAAGCACATGGTTGCAAAAAGACACAAAACACTTTAAAATACATAGTCACCTTTTACCCATAAGACACAGACATTTCAGATAGCTGGGATCTGAGCGCACAAAACTACCGAATAGCGCTCAGATCCTATTCACACAGTTCAATTGCCATGGAGCTGAAGTCTTTAACTACACGAATGGGCTCCATGGCATAGCTATCTGGGTTAACACATTCACATAAAGTCTGGTCCATAGTCCAAAGGCAAGAGGCGGGCAAGCAGCCCCCTCCAAGGACACGTGGCGCGGTCGGTTTCACCAGTCACCATCTTGAAACCTCTGCAGTCAATGGGAGATGATATTAAGCCAACCCCTCATTAACCTTGGGAAGCCAGTCATGCCTTTCCTGCAACTTCACATGGAAGCCCTGACTTCTCAGAGCTCCCAAAGACAAACCGAGGCAAATATGTAACCTTTTTCCTGATGTGACCTTTGATACCTTGTTTTATTGTATATACCAGCCACTACTACATTATTTACTCTTCTGGCTCTATTGCATATTCAATTTCTGCTCCTGTAAACTTAGTGTCCATCTTAGAAAATCTCTTTTCCCTTTGCTAGGAGTTCGAGTCACTCTCTCAGATTCGCCTCCTACAATCAGTCTGTCTTGGTTATCGAATTGACACCGACCCGCAATTTGTCAGCTGGTTTCGAAGACTCCCACCAATCAGTGAGAGCGAGAGGTGAGCATCTATGATCTGTATAGATGTATGTGATGTGAAATATGTACAGAAAAAATATCCAGTCTATATCAGATATATTTGGACAGAAAGCATTAACAAGACTGCTAAATAACAAAAGGTGTGAATGCGGATTCCCTAACAGTAAATATGTTAATATATCTCTAGTGGGCATAGGTAACTCGAATGTTTTGTTTGCAGTTATCACCTGTCATGTGACATTGAGCCAACGCAGGATGCAGTCACTACCACTACAACAGTCAAACCGACTGTGATCATTACACATTGCACAGAGTGAGTACAGAAACCTTGATCAGCCTGACACAATACCAACTATCCTGTAGCCAGGGTCATTTTTACTCCTTAACTACTACTATGTAACGAGGATTGAATGCTTGAGGCTTTGTAAAAGCAGATGTATCCGGATGATTTCTACTAGCTATTATCTACATGCTGGCAAAGAAGCAAATGCTCTCCTTGTTCGGACTTGTAAAGATTACTCATATGTATTTGCCCATCCTTGCAACCACGATATAAAATGCATGCTTGAACACAGGATTCTGGGTTTATATGTAAGCGACAGGAGGGAGAGACGCGGTTAATGATGATCAGAGTGGAAAAGGGAAGCGGGATTAGAGGAAGTGTGTTTACATGTAGTGGCAGAAAAAGGGGAAGAGATGGTGCATAGGGAGAGAAATAATCAGTGACGTTTGTGTGTAATATAAAAATATCATCTTACACACCCAAATTGGAATGGGCTCCTAAAAGTATGGGCAAAACAGTCAATTATGCTTATTATTGTTTATAAAGCGCCAACAAATGTCGTAGCGCTGTAGAATAGATTAGTGTTCACATTACCGCAGTTCACATTTTTGAGCTACCTTGTGGTATTAGCCCTTCCACGTGTATATATAAAGCACAGGTATGCATCTATATCCAAACCTATAGTAAATATATTCCTGACGATTTTAATAACTTGCATAAAAATAAAGGGACACTATAGTCACCAGAACAACTATAGCTTAATGTAATTGTTCTAGTGAGTATGCGTGAAAATGCCTGAAGGCAATGATTAAACACTGCCTTTTCATTGCCCCTAGGAACACATCCAAGTGGCCACTGGAGGCGCTTTCTGGCTCAGTGCCGTTCAGCATCTGCACGCTCTGCATGGGGACACTGAATTTTCCTCATAGAGATGCAGTGAGTCACTGCATCTCTGAGGTGCTGTTTGGCCAAAACTGCATTTGGCCCTGCCCCTTGCCGATTTCAGCCAATCCAATGCTTTCCCAGGATTGGCTAAAAATCAGCAATTCTGATGTCAGCAAGGGGCGGTGCTAGCACCAGCAGACCTGCATGGCCCTTGAATTAAGGTAGGTTAAGTGCTTTTAAGGGGACTATTTGGGGGGGGCAAAGCTATCTAAATGGCGTGTTTAACACTATAGGGTCAGTAATACATGGTGTGTTCCAGGCCCTATAGTGTTCCTTTAAATGTATTTCAGATGTGTGTTTTTTGTTTTTTTCACTGTTTGTAAAAGGAAATGTCAGCTGATGGTGTGTGTGTGTTTGTATTTTGCGGGGCAAAGTAGATTTGTGTCTGACTCCATATATTTGTAATTAGCAGATCTGTTTATGGCAATAGATAGCTGTACACAGAATCAAAAGTGACCTTGACAGTGTTTAATAAGACCCTGTTCGATTTCCTCTCTAATCACGCAGACTCCTGGCATCCATTGCTGCTCCATTTGGACCCAGTATGCACCTGGTGTCCTGGGACACACCCTGCGACCGACTGATGCCACTAGGCCAGGTATTGGTGTATATATATTTTAACTGACTGGGACCCAGCTCTCTGTGTATGACTTCACTACATCGTGAGGTTTGCCCTGCTCATATGTACCTTCCCATGGTCTTTTACATTTCCTCTTTCTTTCACTCAACAGCAGCAGAAGAGCCCATCAGTGCCTGCTCTCAACAAGCAGGATTCTCCCATGCAAACTCCCAAAGGGATTCTGGCTGTCCCAGTACGCACTCACAGACGTTCCGCTTCCTGCGGTAGTACTATAAATACTGCCGCACCTAATGGTGCCTCTACAACCTCAAGCAACCTAGATCTCCACACTTCGCAGGATTCTACAGGAGATCAGCGTATTATCCGTGCGCGGGTAGAGCCAGCAGAGGAAAACAGCGTATACAAGAGTGTGCGGGTAAGTATGCAACACAGCTCTATCCACAGTTTGTAAAAATACAATAATTGTATGGGTAACGGCTAATATTTTGTGCCATAGATCAGCAGCCAGGAAAAAGCCCCAGCGGTTATTGACAGAATCCTCAGGAAACATCACATAAATCCCCAGGGGCGACATGAGCTGGTCCAACTACTGCCAGGAGGCAAAGGTTAGATTCCTGCTTACAGTTCTATAGACAGTCTTCTTGGTCTCTGTATCCAAATTTAAAAGCTTATGATTCAGTACTACATAGCTCTTTTGGATGCACCTGCAAGAAGCCCCAGATCTTCCGGACTGTTGTATGGATTGCTTTCTAGGAATTTTTAAATAGAAATTTTGTTTATTTACAAACACAAAAGTGAAAATCTAAATGTACCATAATTTCTTGTATTATATTGGTATGTTTGCCAAGTCATGTACACTTATGTTAAGTATTGTACGGTGTTCATTTGCCCAAACATGCTTTGATTTCTGGTTTTCATGGTTTATGACATTCTATTGCAGAGCTGGTGATCCCAGGAACTGCCAATGTGTTCTATGCCATGAGCTCAGCCAGCCTAGATTTCTTGCTCCGTCCTTACCATGCCAACCAACCAGCACTGTCTCCAGGTCCTCTGTCTGCCACCCGCATGCAGATCAGTGCCACCTTTCCCAAAATGAAGGCAAAGGCAGGAGACCTGGCAAGAGCACTCTTCTGAGTTACATTTTCATCTTTTCTACATGTGATGCCTGGAAGGATATATGCCTCCTTGGAATAGTGGCCATGGACAATGGCATTCAATGTTCCTGAAGACATTACGTTATGAAGGGTATCCGTTCCTCAGGTTGGATTTTCTAATCTGGAGTCATTGTGACACAAGTTGATATGGAAAGTTACACGGAGGGGAAAAATGCCTTGAGCTTCGGAACAAAACCCAATCGTTCTGATCCTAGAGAAGCATGCACAAGGTCAAAGATACACAGTCGCCTTGAACAGACATTGGTGCTAGTGCATTTTGGTGAAAAGAACTAAATTCAATTAAAAAGGAACTATTGTTTTCCAACCCAGGAAGGGACTGTATGTTGCTGCTGCTTTCTATACACTATCAATAAAACACTATATATTGTATGTAATTAAGCTGAATATAAAATGTATTTTTAATTTTGTGCATAATAAACATGAATAAGTAAATATGCACAAATATATGGCAATTTGCTCTTTTTTACGTCTATTCTTAGTATTGTGGCGTTTAAACTGATTTTGAAAGCAGTTTCCTTTTTATTCTAAAACTGATCAGGACTGGGTAACAGAGTTGCCAAATTAACAATGTGACAAAGCAGACACATGAAGGTTAAAGAGGCATTGTAGGAACTAGGGGCAGAATAAAAGGCACAATCTGAATTGTAGAGGAGTGTCACAGATCCAAAGACCTAGAAATAGTATTAAGGGGATGGCAAAGGAGTTGGAGCCAAGGCCAACTAGGATTTGCAAGAGAAGAGATGCTCAACTGACACACCGCTTACTGGAACACTAACCAATTAAACTAATAGCAAACATTACATGTTCACAATCTTAAAAGCTTGAGTGACATGCGTACAAATCACCAGCAAATGTTGACAAATACTTACACCTGCAATCTGTGCATATGAAAGCACACATTTCTCTGTATGCAAGTGTATTATCCTTATTGTGTATCTGCCAAGTAGATATTCACACGGCATAGGCTCCATGCAGTAACACAGATAAACAACTGGATGTAGACACAGAGCTGGAGTGGCCATTTTATTGGGTTTTTCCCATTCTGGTACATTTATCTACAATAACTGCACCCAGTCTCTGCCCTGACAATGGGGCAAAATGGCTCCCAGTTGGTTTTATAAAGGACAGGTCCAGTGCTCCTTGATGAAGATAATTAAAGTTTAATAGCAAGGCCAATCTGCTCCAGGACACAATAGGTCGGACAAAGTGGGGCTGGGTTAATTGTGGTTCCTCAAGCTTTTACAGGGCCCTTGCCTTGCGCTCGTTGGTATTCCTGCTGAAGCTTAGTAAGGGTAGCTCTGTGCTGCTCTGAGCGCTGCTCCATGTCCTTCATTAGGGTCTCGTGTCTCTTTCTGGAACAGAGGAAGAGATTAACAGTTAGTAAGTTCTCATCAAAGACCTATCATATACATACACACCACTGATGGAGAGAGCAGCCACACATTTTAACCCTCTCAATGCTGTAGATAAACAGGGTTATTAACTAGAGGAGAGTGGTAGGTGAAAGTTAATTTCATATTTTTGGCTAAAATTGCTGAAATGGAGAATTCTCACAATTTTGTCCTAAAACTTGAAATCCATCTTGAATTCCAAACAATTCACACCTTAGTGAATATGCTTGATATATGTAACTGTGGCCACAGTATTTTACACTGTGTGTGATTGGTGTGTGTGTATATACACACACACACACACCTTACATATTCCCCAACGTCATATACTCTCTACACACTAAGTTTATACAAATGTACTCACATCTCTCCATTTATATACTGCAGTCTCTTAGTCACAGTGGATTTTGCTTCTTCTCGATCCTGCTTAACCAATACTGGTCCAATAAGTTTATAGATGGTATTACTGTCATCCAATAGAGCCAGCTCCTATAGGGATAAACAGGTTATCTGTGTTTATTAATGTGTATTTAAAGCTGATTTCTACGTTACTGCATTACCAATGTTAATACACAATACTTTAAACATAGGTCCCTTGCTAAAGCAAAATTGACAGCAGGAATCTGGATAACAATTCTGTAGAAAGGCACTTGTGTATCGTATATAAGAACGTTTCTATACTACAACGATGACTTTGTATTGTAATCAAGACACACTTGGTGCATTGAAACTTTGCCAGGTCCACTTGTTGAAAGCTTAGCTAAATCATATCTCCACTGAAGCTAAATGAATGGATCTCTTAAATTAAAGAAACACGAATTCTAAAAATAAATATGATTTTACTCCCCTTTTATCCAGTGTTCTGTCGGACAGCTGCTCACCCTCCAAGGTCACCCATGTAGGGGATTTCTGGTCCAATACTATGCTTCTCATAGATCAACAAGGGGGAGTAACCAGGCATGTGCGGCATTTACCCATCCCCATTGTAAGGAGTTAAATGGTTTGCCTTCTTACTAAAGGCCTGCCAGGCGCCACTCCCCGCCTCCACTACTAATACAGGACAGATGAAGTTCCTAAGCAGGCGCTTCCGTTAACTATCCTATCATCTAAAGCTGATCACTGTCAACAGGTTCATAAAATGAGTACCATTGAGTTGGGTAATGGTTACATCTATAACAAGAACAGACTTCAAAATGCTAAAATCTATGCTTATTATTAATACTAAGGTGGGCAGGCCCAGAGGTGGCTAAACTTGAAACTGGGAAACCACAAATGTGCCGCACTAGGATTATAAAATCTACTTAATGGGTACATAATAGGTAAGTATATTTAGAAGACAATAATTAGGATTAGTCAGTAGGGAGTGTTGGGACATTCATCAAGAGTCTTGAGACTAATAGAAATACCATGGATCCTGCAGAAGTGAAAACTCTGCTGTTTAATCTTACCTCAGCTAGCACAAATTAGATTCCTGAGGCAGAGGAGCTAAAAAAATATTGTTAAACTTTATCCTCTGAACGTACAGGCACTTGTACCATTCATAATAGCTGTGACTGCAGATACTTTTTGGTTTACCATTGAAGCCATTCATTGATCTAGAGGCAAGAAAACTGCAAGATTTGGGCCACCATAGTAGAATTGAGAGCATTTCTGAACTATTCTTGAAGTATGACTATTTTGGACCAAAGTTTGCAATTCATTTATCAATTCTTCAATAACCCTGGGAAAAAGTCCCATAAGAGCTTCTACCTGTGGCTTGCTATGGAAGATCAACATGAAGCCATGCAGGGTCTGAACGGCCAAAGAGAACATTTAAAAACCCTGTATTATTTCATTTCAGTAAAAGGAAGATTAGAAATTGTATGCTAGTATAAGGGCAGATTGCTCTTAGGAATACAAATATGTGCCATCCAGAAAAATCTTATATCAAGACCCAATATTGATTCTCCATATTATTGCAGTGGGTCCCTAGTGGTTGAAACAGATATATTATAACCATCAGACACAAGGCAACTTTCGGCAGTACATGTCTAACAGTAGAAGCAGTGTCTTTCATAGTGCTGTAGAGACCCCTCTGACTGTGGGATGAGATTAATGAAAGGTTTCGAAAAATTAATTTCCCATTACATCACAGGTGATGAATGGGGTTTCCAAGTCAATGTCATATAAGTCATTACTTTCCTAATTATCACGGTCTTATAATAGTCTGTGAAGTCTAGTCCTTAGCGGAAAAATAAAGCCCCAAAATAGCATAGACGCCTCTATGGTAGACTTATAGCTCAGATACAATAAATATACAAACACGATGAAAGAGTCTGTAATGGTTGTGGGGTAATTAGGGCATAACCCAATATAGAAATCAATAAGAAGATTAGTACAGACTAATAAGAAACAAGCCCAATACCAATCCTATTACCCTTATTAAAGTACCAGTTCAACATTGGAATGAGAACACCATTAACGTTATTAAATCCCTATGAGGATGATACAAAAACACATTTAAAAAAAACAGTGCCAGAAAAATGTGATAAAAAAAAAAAACAAATAGAAAAAATAAATAAAATTGGACAAGCAGATGGATCGTATATAGTCAGAATGGAGCATCTGCTCGACGCGCATTTTGGTGCTTATAGGCGCCTTTTGTCTTGCAAATAGGCAGTAGTCGATGAGTTCGTATTGGCTATTTTAGGTAGATGATAGGATGCCTTGAAGCAGATATGGGACTACTTGTTCCATTACTTTATGAGCGGACCAATTTAGGTCTGCATACTTGTCTACCATCTATATATTATTATATTGGCTCTCAGCACTTGACCACAAGATATATTATACTAGGGGCAATTTCATATTCAATTGTTATGGTTTCTCAGCCTGGGGTTTACTGCTTTGGATTACCCCATATATTCCAATTTCCTTTTCTTTCTATAGTTTCTTAACAATTAGTTGAGCTGATTAATAAGACAGAGTCACTGGCTAACACCATACAGAGCCTTCTTTACTCTACAATTTCTACCTATGATCCATTCCACTGCCTTAGGATCAGTCTGCTATTCTGTATCTACATTTATTGTTATATATTAGATACTATATCAGACTTTCCTAGCCCCTACCTAGCAGCTCATAAGACTTAGCTGGGTGCTTTCAATTTGGAGGAATTTTTGCAACATAGTATCAGGTTACGTTCACCTGCTTTCTAGACTATTTCCAAGCTGGGAGATCATTCTGACTATCTATATCCGATCGATCTGCTTGTCCAATTTTATTTATTTTCTATTTTTTCACTTTAGCACATTTTATTGGCACTGTTTTTTTTTTTTGTATGTGTTTTTTGTATCATCCTCATGGGGATTTAATAACGCTGTGAATGATAAATTTTTAAGGTTTTACTTTAATAAGGGTAATAAGGGTAATAAGATTGGTCTTGGGCTTGTTTCTTACTAGCCGATACTAATCTTATTTATAGCTCGGATATATCACACATACTCGTTTATAAAGTACATGCTTATATCTGAGTGAAGCCTTGATTACACAGCATGACATAAGTAGCGCATCTGTGATATCGGAAGAAGGATTTCAGTAAATGGGAAACTCTCCAGCACTGGCACAGAAACCTGTCTCCAATATGCATCTTATTGTACTTTCGTTACACTTACCTCATTTACAATATTGTTCTCAGTAAGTTGTGCTTCCAGCTTCTGCCTGGCTGCCATACTGCTACTGATATCTGGAAAGAGTGAGAAAGCATCGGTCAGCTTACTGGACAGTTATTAACAGAGATGGTGAATTCTGAAATTATTCTCATTTTAAACATTAGAAACGAAATGGTAGTAGGAGGGTTGATGGATGGATTCCATTGAATGTAACTGCTTTAACATGCTTTCTAATATCTGCAGCAATCAAAGTGTTAGAAATGAAAATGTTAAAGGTGAACATTTACAAGGTGATTGACCAATCAGTGTGTAGATATTAACAGAGAATGCGAGTATGATGTATGATCTACGCATTGGCAAAAATGATTTTACCGTATATACTAGAGTATAAGCAGAGTTTTTCAGCACATTTTTTGTGCTGAAAAAGCCCCCCCCATCAGCTTATACGCGAGCCAGTGTCTGTATTATGGCAACTTACATTGCATTAATACAGACTGTTACTTACCTTTACAGCAGCTCCAGTCATCTCCGTTCAGCTCCGTTCACCTGCCCCCTTCAGCTCTCTGTGTAAATCTTGCGAGACCCGTGGCTGTCAACGCTCTGCGCGGCACGCAGGCCACAAGATTTACACAGGGAGCTGAATGGGGGAGGTGAACGTCGCTGCTGTAAAAAGTAAGTAACAGCTTCTCCCCCCCCCCCCCAGCATAGTACACACCACTGGACCACCAGGGATTTAAATAGGCCCCCCTCCCCAGCCAGGCAACAAGCAGGGAGGGGGGGACATAAAAAAAAAATTAAACAAATATTAAAATAATAAAAATATTAAAATAATAAATAATGCCCTCCCCCCACCCAGTTTATGTATATCACACGCTACACAAACACACACATTCTGCATTCATTATATATACACACACACTACACAAACACACACTACATTCATTATGAACACACACTGTATATAAATATTCAATTAATGTAATTTTATTGTGATCTAATTTTATTTAGAAATTTACCAGTAGCTGCTGCATTTCCCACCCTAGGCTTATACTTGAGTCAATAAGTTTTCCCAGTTTTTTTGTGGTAAAATTAGGGGCCTCGGCTTATATTCAGGTCGACTTATACTCGAGTATATTCAGTAAGTTAAGCAATGTGAGGATGGTCACTGCAAAGCTTCAGTAATCCTTGTGGACTTTGCATAAGCCACACAGGCCACAAAAGCTGTGAAGATCAGTGATGGAGTGAGAAGTTCAGTATTTTGGGTTTCCTTAAAGTAAACTAACATGTATTATTACTCAATAGATTACATGTAATATAATTAGTAAGGCACATATATAAGCAAGTGGTTCTTTTCAGTGTGTCTCCTGTCTCACTGTTGATCCATGGGAGCAGCTACCTTTAGGTCCTCTGTTTGTCCATGCAGGTAACTAAGAGCATATTCATGAATCTTATCTGCTGGGCATGTGAGTGATGCATTCTGGGCCACTTCAGGTGTTTAAATTGTGCATGGTCTTAAATAATGTGTGGTGTTTCTGATCAAAGAGGAATAGCGATGAAGCCCATATGGAGCAAAGGTAAGTAAAAATGGGCATTATAAAATGATAACATGAATAGTGGCATTTCACCATATGTATAGTGCCCTCCACTAATATTGGCACCCTTGGTAAAGAAAGGCAACGGTCAAAAATTGTCTTTATTGTTTAACTTTTTGATTATTTTTTTTAAAAACAATACACAAAACTATTCTGCTCTCATGGATATCAAACAATATATATATATATATATATATATATATATATATATATATATATAAAAAATAAAAAATCTTTGTTAACTATATATTGGCACCACTATGAATTCTTATGAGAAAATATATTTGAAGTATATTCCCATTGATATTTACATTTTTATGACACCTGGGAGACGAAAGGAATTTGTTCAATCCTGACGTCCTGTTTTACAGGTGTATAAATATGAGGTAACACATAGGTCAAATTCTTTTAGTCCTTCATCACAACGAGCAAGTCCGAGGAATATAGCTTGCATACACGTCATCCATATTCAATTAATCTGTAACGTGACAAATGTGCATCAAATGTAGATGACAATTTGTCTCTTTGGTCCTCTTTATGGATGCTTTACACCCTTATACTGTTCTGTTTGTCTCAATTTCTGTAATCTTTCACATGAAATCTGAACATAAATAAAGAATGTTAAAAAAAACACACAAAAAAAAAAAAAAACACTTTACAAAAATGGAAAGTGGCTATAAGAAAATAAAAGAATGGCAAATGCCAATTTCCACCATCAGGGCAAAAATTAAGAAGTTGCAGTCAACTAAAAATGTTATAAGTCAACCTGGAAGAGGATGTGTCTATATTGTCTAAACCCACTGTGAAGAGGATGGTTCAAGTGGCCAACAAAATCTGCAAGGATCACAGCTAGAGAATTGCAGAAGTTAGTTGTGTCTTGTGGTCAAAAAGTCTCCAAAACCACAATCTTACGTCTCCTCCAGTAGAGTCTGAGGCTTTGCCAGACACTACTGGAACTACTACGGATTGGGATCTTCGGTCAGAGGTTGATTTGGAGCACATAGAGAGGTAGAGCCATATGGAAAAGTACCTAAAACCCACAGTTAAATATGGTTGTGGCTCTTTAATGTTTTGGAAATGTTTTTCTGCCAGTGGACCTGGACAATTTATTAGGATAAATTTATTAGGATAAATCACAGACTATCAAATATCAACAGATATTAAATGAAAACCTGTCTGCCTCTGCCAGAAAGCTTAAAATGGGCCATAGTTGGATCTTCCAGCAGGACAATGATCCGAAACGTACATCAAAATTATCACAGAAATGACTTACTGATCCCAAAATCAAGGAACCCCATTGAAAATGGTGCCAATAATTTTACCACACATTTAACAATTATATATATATTTTTTCATAAACTTGTGTTGTGTTTGCATTTGACTGAGCAGAAGACAATATTTTACAGCCATGTTTGCTCATATTTACCAAGGGTGCCAATAGTAGTGAAGAAAAAAGGAAAAAGTTCCTTAGAGAATGTTCCTTATCTTTACTTTGTAATATTAGTGACGGGCACAGTCCATGGATATATTGATAGCTAAAGGTTTACAGATGGCCAATAAAGAATAATTCAAGTAGTTATGACAGCGGAAGGTAGTATTATAAAGTACCTTTTTGTAGCTGCTGGTATTTTGTGACCTCGGCCTGTAACTTTTCTTGTAGTTGTTCTGCCATCTGCAAGTAAAGATAACATTGTTCAGTCAACAGAAAAGAAAAAACAACAACCGCCCCCACCACCATTGTTATCCATTTTGGTGCTGATGTATCCCAGTAATGTTATTTTGTTAAAGTAACACCTCTACCCCCATAAAAAAAACAACTTGTTGTTATAGGGGAATGAATGCCTGGGCAAGGTTTTTCTTTTAGGTGTTAAGCCATTTCTAAATGGTTTAACTCCAAAGTTGGTCCCCAGAACCCGACAGCTCTGCCTCCTCTCTTTGTCCCTCTGATTGTCACAGCAGTTGAGAGGACTAGAAACGACAGATCTAGAGGAGCTTTGGGGACTCAGAGCATTGAGATTTGCTGCAAATGAGTAACTTTAAGAACAAAGCATTTTTAATGCATATTGTCAAGACTAAGCTTGCTGAAAAGCTTTATGTATTAAGAGTGTGTCCTTATTTTTATTTTACAAAAGTAGAGATTTCAATAGAATTCTAACACTTTTATAAATTAACCTTGTTAGCCCCCCACCTGTCAATCAGACAACAGGTCCTGTTACTTCCTGGTTTATTTAGCTTAGTGGAGCCAAACTGAAGAGGCAGCAATAGCTAAGAGCACCTGCCTTGTAAAGACTACTCATTGAGCTGCATTGGGAAGTCTGTGACTGGACAGCCACAGAAATCTGGGAAAAGTTAGAAGGCTGGTTTTCGATAATGCATGGAACAGAAATGCAGAATTAAAATGTATGTATTGAATGTCCCTCATTGAATCAATGTTTTCCTACGGGGGAGCGCCTAATACACGCACGGCACAGGACACACTTGCTCATTAAGTTCCCCTAACAGCTAACGTCGCAGTGGGATACATGTATTCCGTATACCATAGTGCAGTGTTTCCCAACCCAGTCCTCAAGGCACACCTACCAGTCCAGGATTTAGGGATTACCCAGTAGTGTCTAAGGTGTTTTTCTTCTTCTTTGTAAAAACACCTTAGACACAACTGGGTAATCCCTAAATCCTGGACTGGTAGGTGTGCCTTGAGGACTGGGTTGGGAAACACTGCCATAGTGTTCCTGTAATGGCATACATGGTGGTGCATGTACCATATACTGCTTTAAGTCAGATTTCACTTAGTAGTGCTAAAGCTCAAATTACATTTTACAACTTATATTCAAATATATCTTAATACATGTGAGCAAAAAAGTATGAATGATTTTTTATTTTTATTTTTTAAAGTTAGTAGTGCGTGCCTTATTTCACTTATAAGATCGGGTGTAACAATTTTATAAAGTCCTTGTTTGGAAAGTTGCTGGTTACAGGGTGTGCCTGTTTATATATATTCAAAGAATGTTCTGTGACCGATCTTACTACACTGATAGAGCACTCCAAATCAACACTGCAAATGTAGGAGACTAGTATTAGTTTTATTTAGCACGTTAACGGACAAAACAATTACCATTACAGTTTAAAAAAAACATACCTTGTGAACTGTCTGATCTAAATTTAATTAAACAGATATGGGATATTGTTTTGCCACTTAGATACATTCACTACTTATGCTATGACAGGGCTCTGCACGTTTGCCACTGCACCATAACTGCTGCAGAAAAAGACAGTGCTTCTGCAGTTGCACATGATTCAATGAAAGAAAATGATTTTACCAACTTGAAATTATTAATAACATCTCCCTTTTATTTCAAAGGAAATGGCTTTTTTTTTTTTTTGCACAAATGTGTTGCATGTGTAAAACACTATTTCATTGTTAAACTCAGTTAAAGATGTTTCAAAACAGCACAAGGAGAGATTGATCACTGGAACATCAATTAAAGCAGCACTGACACACCTCCCTCCACTCCACCAAAACAAAAAAATGAATAAGAATTTCATAAATATAGAATATTTATGAAATACTAGTTTTGAGTATTGTAGTGTTGGAACTTCACCACTGGATCAAGATGATCACGACCACAACAGACAAGTTCAGGTAAGTAAATTTCATCCTTACCTGTCCTGCCTGGTCACTGGACCTTTAGCGGTGATGTCACCGTCGGGTATCTTTGCGAATTCAGCAAATTCCCTGGATGGTGAAAGTGGCGCTTTAACCCATAAAGGACACATGACATGTGTGACATGTCATGATTCCCTTTTATTCCAGAAGTTTGGTCCTTAAGGTGTTAAAAGACTGAATCAAAACATACAGTTGCATGAGCTCTGCAACTTCTTCGATCCAGCATGAAAAATTCAATTTGATTCAGCATGGTCTTAAATATCTGGAAGAGTAATTTCTGACCCAGAGGAATATTGAATGTTACACGGCAGTGCTTGATACCTGCAAACCATAATTAGTGGTATGAATTTAAAGTCCTTGGAAACGGAAAGAAACAGAGAACTTCTAGATTTGTCACTCTCCAGCATACATGACCCTACAGGTGTTCCTTTAATGAAAATTGAGGTGATTTATTAATGACCAAAATAAACAGACAGTCAGTGAAGGAGTTGATCCTGCAAAGGCTGTTGACCATTGGATTTTTAATTCAAAAAATTCAAGGCATGTTCATGGCCACAAAAAGCCAAGTGAAAAAAAACAAAAAACATCTGTTGTGTCATGGCAAAATATATCTTTATGTGTACATTTAAAGGGACACTAGTGTCTGTGTTGACTATGTCAACCACATGTTGTGAGAGGGTTCAGCTTAAAGGGAAACTATAGTCACCAAAACAACTACAGCTTATTGTATTTGTTCTGGTGAGTATAATCATTCCCTTCAGGCTTTTTGCTGTAAACACTGTATTTTCAAAGAAAAGGCAGTGTTTACATTACAGCCTAGGGAGAACTCCACTGGCCACTCCTCAGATGGCTACTAGAGGCGCTTCCTGGGGCAGTGCTGCACTGCCATTCAGTGTCTCCACCCTCTGCATGCAGACACTGAACTTTCCTCATTTCGATGCATTGATTCAGTTCACCTCTAAAAGGTGATGCCGATTAGCCAGGGCTGTGTTTGATTTGTGCTGGCTCTGCCTCTGATCTGCCTCCTTGACAGTCTCAGTCAATCCTATGGGGAAGCATTGTGATTGGCTCAGACCACCACTTCTGATGAGGTCAGCACACAGCAGGCAGGTCAGGGGCAGAGCCAGCAGCTGAAGACCTTAATACAAGTAGGATTTTACTTATTTAGGGAGGCAAGTAGGCGTCAGAGGGGCTAGATGGTGGTTTTAACCACATAGGGTCAGGAATACAGGTTTGTGTTCCTTTAAGATCTGTTATTTATGTTGCTGAATATAAAAGCTTTGTTAGTAAAAAAAAAAAAAAAAAAATTTTTTTTAAAAGCTCCTAACTTTTTTTCATATTTGTGCTATGGGAACAAAACCTTCCAATCAATTCCTGTTACTTATGTCAAGTGGTTAAAGACAACTATTCAGACTGGGAGAAAATATCAATGCAGCAAATTTGAAACTAAAGAATCCTGATTATATTAAAGAATTATTTTTGGCCAAGCATTTATAAATAGTATCATTAATAACATAATTAGTCAACAACTGTTACAACTGAAAAGATAGAGGAACATTTTTGTTAATACTACATTTTTTTCCAAATGCATTTCAAGGAAACAAATGATTATGCAATAATGTAATGTACACACACTAATGAGAGGAAGATAAAGAAACACTCCAAGCACAATAAATACTACAGTTTATAGTGGCTGTTATGGCACAAAGAGGATAGGGAGCAGTCATATTTTCATTTTTCACAAAACACTTTTAAAGAAACACTCCGGCCACCATAATAACTAAGGGGTCAAACCATTGTGTTGAACAGTATGACTCAGAAGTTAAGAAGAGAGTGCCTGTTCCCTCGTCTTCCTACCTTCAGGCAATGGTCCAAAGCTTCAAACAGAAAGTCTTGGTCTCTGCTCTGCTTACAGACAGAGCATTAGCTGACATTCTCTGTCCATCACTAGCTTCCCATTCACAAACCTGTGTGAGAAAGGTACCTGTGGCAAACTCGCCTATGCCACGAGTTCCTGGAACAGCCTGCTAGCTAGCCTCCTGCTCAAGGACTATGGACCATATACAAAGACCCTGTTGGGGAGTTAAACCTCTCCAGCCCCCATTAGTAGTTTGCCCTGGGTGCCCCTGGTTCGGCACTTCATGCAAATGGAACCGAAAGCTGGATCTCTGGCAGCCGTTTCACAAGAACTAAACCCACGAATTGTCCTCAGCGGTACTTAGCTGCGATCGTTATGGAACTAAATTCAGCATGAGGACTTTGTGGGTTTCCGGACAACTTGGTTCACGGTTTTGAACCACTTTGAAATCCGCCAGGCGAGCGCTTTTTAGAAGGAAGGTGCCTGAGACTAAGGGGAACAAACGCTACCTAAGAGCCAGCCAGAGCACCCCATATGCGGCCGCAAGATCTCCCAAAAGTTGACCGGTCAAATCACCAAACGCACTTGAACTGTTTTGGGAATAGGACCACATGTGCGGCCAGTCAGAACATGGTGGTGTTTCCCCTACACTGTACAGATCTGAGCACTATTTGGAGAACTTGGGCGCTCAGATCAGGGCTATTTGGGAATGTATATTTTAATCACTTACAGCTGTACCCAGGACCCTGTTCCAGGGCGGGAAGCGATGGAGAAACCCCAGCCAAGCTAAGGTGGCTAGGGGCTGAAGCACTCCTGTGTCCCAGAGGAGAGCTAGAAATCGAGCTTGACGGAGGTACCACTACCCAGTTGGGGTGCCAGGTGGTCCGCTACAGTGCCCTATTCCTAAAGAAAGCTATACAACTGTGAAGTGTGTATCATGTAAAATAACACTAATAATGGGTTCTGACATTATAATCCCCTCGAGATGTGGTATGCTGGTGAGACAGGGCTTAAGGGGAAAAGACCATTGATGCGATCACATCACTAGCACTTCTCAAGTAGGGGCAGATCAACCTGAAAGGGATGCTGGATCCATCCAAATTACTGACTGGACAGCCTGGTGTTAATGCATGCTTGGCTGCATGCCCATCAAGCAGACCTTCCCACTGACGTCAGAACCTGCAGAGAACAATGTTTCAATGCTGTTTGCGTTTGCATGGTAATAGGGCACTGAGTGTAGTTATGGTGTGTCTCATGATGCACACGCGCGGGGACATTTCCCTGTTGTTCATAAAAGCAGGACAGCAGGGAACAAGTCAGGATGGCGGGACAGGACTTGACAATTAGGGCTGTCCTACCAAAATCTGGATGATTGAGAGGCATGGTAAACCATGGGAATAAATGATTGCTTCTGAAAAGAATCTTAATCTTCCTCCCTAACAGAGAGGGTATTAAAGGAGCACTATAGTGCCAGGAAAACAAACTTGTCTTCCTGGCACTATAAGGTCATTAGGTGTCCCCCACCCTCAATGCCCCCCTTCAACCACTTTCCTTTCTCCAGCACCGGGCTCCCTCTGTGCTGGGGAACTCTCCATCCCCTGCCGATGTCAGATCCAAATGCGCGCGCCTTCAAACTGCCCAAAGGAAAGCATTACTCAATGCTTTCCTATGGACGTCCAGCGTCCTCTCACTGTGATTTTCAATGTGAGAATCGCAGAAGCGCCTCTAGTGGCTGTCAGTGAGACAGCCACTAGAGGCTGGATTAACCCTTAGTGAAATATAGCAGTTTCTCTGAAACTGCTATGTTTTCAGCTGCAGGGTTAAAACTAGAGGGACCTGGCACCCAGACCACTTCATTGACTTGAAGTGGTCTGGGTGCCTATAGTGGTCCTTTAAGAGTACTGAAACTGCTACACAGCTGAGAATAAGGTTTCTTTTTTCATGAAGGTCAATCATAGACCCATGGAAGTCAGAATAATATGGAATTTGTTTCAATGATTCTAGAACAGAATAAAAAAAAGAGCGTTAGCTTTCTCCCTATATATAGTATTCTGGGAGCCCTACGTGTCTATCACCCCGCCTGGCCTGAATGACTGGGCCATGAGGAGTTATTTACCATATACAGGGTGTGTGGGGGTATAACCAGCCCCTATAGGGCCAGGCAGGGCTCACACTGGGCTATGAGGAGTTATTTACCATATACAGGGTGTGTGGGGGCGGTATAACCGGCCCCTATAGGGCCAGGCAGGGCTCACACTGGGCTATGAGGAGTTATTTACCATATACAGGGTGTGTGGGGGCGGTATAACCGGCCCCTATAGGGCCAGGCAGGGCTCACACTGGGCTATGAGGAGTTATTTACCATATACAGGGTGTGTGGGGGTATAACCGGGGGGCCAGGCAGGCTCACACTGGGCTATGAGGAGTTTACCACATACAGGGTGTGTGTGTGTATAACCAGCCCCTATAGGGCCAGGCAGGGCTCACACTGGGCCATGAGGAGTTATTTACCATATACAGGGTGTGTGGGGGGGTATAACCGGCCCCTATAGGGCCAGGCAGGGCTCACACTGGGCCATGAGGAGTTATTTACCATATACAGGGTGTGTGTGGGGTATAACCGGCCCCTATAGGGCCAGGCAGTGCTCACACTGGGCCATGAGGAGTTATTTACCATATACAGGGTGTGTGGGGGGTATAACCTGCCCCTATAGGGCCAGGCAGGGCTCACACTGGGCCATGAGGAGTTATTTACCATATACAGGGTGTGTGTGGGGTATAACCGGCCCCTATAGGGCCAGGAAGGGCTCACACTGGGCCACGAGGAGTTATTTACCATATACAGGGTGTGTGTGGGGTATAACCGGCCCCTATAGGGCCAGGCAGAGCTCACACTGGGCCATGAGGAGTTATTTACCATATACAGGGTGTGTGGGGGCGGTATAACCGGCCCCTATAGGGCCAGGCAGGGCTCACACTGGGCTATGAGGAGTTATTTACCATATACAGGGTGTGTGGGGGCGGTATAACCAGCCCCTATAGGGCCAGGCAGGGCTCACACTGGGCTATGAGGAGTTATTTACCATATACAGGGTGTGTGGGGGGGGTATAACCGGCCCCTATAGGGCCAGGCAGGGCTCACACTGGGCTATGAGGGGGGTATAACCGGCCCCTATAGGGCCAGGCAGGGCTCACACTGGGCCATGAGGAGTTATTTACCATATACAGGGTGTGTGTGTGTGTGGGGGGGGTATAACCGGCCCCTATAGGGCCAGGCAGGGCTCACACTGGGCCATGAGGAGTTATTTACCATATACAGGGTGTGTGGGTTATAACCGGCCCCTATAGGGCCAGGCAGGGCTCACACTGGGCCATGAGGAGTTATTTACCATATACAGGGTGTGTGGGGGGGGTATAACCGGCCCCTATAGGGCCAGGCAGGGCTCACACTGGGCCATGAGGAGTTATTTACCATATACAGGGTGTGTGGTGGGTATAACCGGCCCCTATAGGGCCAGGCAGTGCTCACACTGGGCCATGAGGAGTTATTTACCATATACAGGGTGTGTGGGGGGTATAACCGGCCCCTATAGGGCCAGGCAGGGCTCACACTGGGCCATGAGGAGTTATTTACCATATACAGGGTGTGTGGGATATAACCGGCCCCTATAGGGCCAGGCAGGGCTCACACTGTGCCATGAGGAGTTATTTACCATATACAGGGTGTGTGGGGGGTATAACCAGCCCCTATAGGGCCAGGCAGAGCTCACACTGGGCCATGAGGAGTTATTTACCATATACAGGGTGTGTGTGTGGGGTATAACCAGCCCCTATAGGGCCAGGCAGGGCTCACACTGGGCCATGAGGAGTTATTTACCATATACAGGGTGTGTGGGGGGGTATAACCGGCCCCTATAGGGCCAGGCAGGGCTCACACTGGGCCATGAGGAGTTATTTACCATATACAGGGTGTGTGTGGGGTATAACCGGCCCCTATAGGGCCAGGAAGGGCTCACACTGGGCCACGAGGAGTTATTTACCATATACAGGGTGTGTGTGGGGTATAACCGGCCCCTATAGGGCCAGGCAGAGCTCACACTGGGCCATGAGGAGTTATTTACCATATACAGGGTGTGTGGGGGCGGTATAACCGGCCCCTATAGGGCCAGGCAGGGCTCACACTGGGCTATGAGGAGTTATTTACCATATACAGGGTGTGTGGGGTATAACCAGCCCCTATAGGGCCAGGCAGGGCTCACACTGGGCTATGAGGAGTTATTTACCATATACAGGGTGTGTGGGGGGTATAACCGGCCCCTATAGGGCCAGGCAGGGCTCACACTGGGCTATGAGGAGTTATTTACCATATACAGGGTGTGTGTGGGGTATAACCGGCCCCTATAGGGCCAGGCAGGGCTCACACTGGGCCTCACTGGCTGTATGTGGGTGTAATACCCCCCGGGGCTGCTCTCAGCACACAGTGTACCCGGGGGTGTAAGGGGGGCCCTGGTCACTGACATCACTAATTACCGTTCAGACTGCCGCACAAAGCGTGTAGACCGCTGACCTTCCACACCGGAAACACTCACAACCTCCCGACAGGGCACTTCCGCCTCCAGCGAAGAGGATGCTGCAGTTTCCTTGGAGACCAAACATCTGCTTCCTTTCAATATGTTTTTTTTTTTTTTTAAATTGAAGCAACTTTATTGATACGGAACGGCCTAACAGAATGCAATACCAGAAGCCGAGGAGCGCAGTGCAGCTTGGCAGCGGCCAGAATCCGAGCTCTCAGGGTAAGATCCATTAATTATATCATAATTATCGTATTGTGCCCGAGGCCTCCATTACTGTTTTACCTTCTCAGTGCCCTTTATAACGGCTCAGGGATGATATCAGTGTAATCCATTGTACAGCGCTACGGAATCTGATGGCGCTATACTAATAAATAATAATAATAATAATAATCATACCGCCCAAGGGTCCCTGTCCCTCTCAGACCCAAATCCCTCCTTTCTAAGAGCTCCATATTGTTGGTGTGTAACAGAGCTCCACAGCAATAATACTCCCAGTACTGTGTCTTTAAATGGCAATGGGCTTGGCATGTGGCAAGGAGATTGGCTCAATAAATGGGGACTGGCATATGGCATTTGGACTGGCATGATGGGGACTGGCTCAATAAATGGGGACTGGCATATGGCATTTGGACTGGCATGGTGGGGACTGGCACAATAAAGGGGGACTGGCATGATGGGGAATGGTACAATAAAGGGGGACTGGCATGATGGGGAATGGTACAATAAAGGGGGCCTGGCATGTTGGGGACTGGCACAATAAAGGGGGCCTGGCATATGGGATTTAGACTGGCATGATATGGATTTGCAGGATGGAAACTAGCACAATAAAGGGGGACTGGCATGATAGAGACAAACAGGAGGCCCAGGGATTAGCATTGGAGTTGGAGGCAGATGATAGATGTGCATTAAGGATATATTCATGATGAACAAAGTTTTCATAGGTGTTTTTAGAGTAAAATAAAGGAGGATATGCTAAAATTGTGTGGGTCAAATAGGAAGGATGTATGCAGGAAGCAGACAAAACACTTGTTATACACACCCATAGGTAAAAGGTATGCTGATCTGACACACCCTGCCTACTCCGAGAAATGTTCATAAATGGAGACAGTGGTTGATATTTCAGAAGAGGATGTAAATATACACTTTTTTTTTAATTGCCCCATTTTTCCCTATTCACTCCAGTTTACTTCTCATATTAACTCTTATGAACAATAAACATTTTATAGTAACAGTTGTTGGATCAGCGCTTAGTGACCAGTAGACAGCTAGAATAAATGGAAAGAGGTTCGCAACCTAAAGGCATGGATGTACCCTCACAGACCATCAGAAGAAAATACAAACGTAGAGACGGGAAATTATAGGTCGCGCCACACAAATAATATGATATAATAAAACCAGTGCGTACTTACCTACATAAAATGCTTACAGAGGAACAGAGTCCTGAATAAAAGTATATGAACAAAATAGTCCAAGTTGATTGAATAAATGAATATAGTAGATCTTATAAGTTCTGAGACAATCCGATGTCCAGATAACGTGGAGGCATGCAAAGTAAGAGTTCCAATAGTGTAAAACTGTAGTACAAAGACGGAATATGATAGTAGTAGTATTCCTCCGACACACCTATGCAAGAGCTAGAGTCAGCTCAGGTGTGAACAGCATTCAGAGGTGTTGATCCCCCACTGGTAGGATATAGGTGTTGGTAGATAGTGAAGATCCTCGATATATGGAAAGAGAAATACAACCAAATAGTGCTCTCTGTATGCAGTAACCTGAGGTTAATAATTTAAAGGTATAATACTCTCATGCAGGTGAGCAGGATATGCTGCTCACTTTAATAGCGTGGGTGGTATAATCCCCACCTAGGATTCTTGAGTGAGTGAATAGCATGGGCGGTATAATCCCCACCTAGGATTCTTGAGTGAGTGAATAGCGTCGGTGGTATAATCCCCACCTAGGATTCGTGAGTGAGTGAATAGCATGGGTGGTATAATCCCCACCCAGGATTCTTGAGTGAGTGAATAGCGTGGGTGGTATAATCCCCACCTAGGATTCTTGAGTGAGTGTCTGAGCATACAAAATACTTCTCCATGAACTGAAATTTGTAAAGATCAGTTACAGGCTATGCCATCCTTTTAAAATGGTTAAGGGTGTGCAGGGTTTACCAAGCTGTTACTATAGGGCCAGCAGTAAAGGGTTACTCCAACCAACATGACCACTTCAGTGATTTGAAGTGATCATGGTGGTAGGGGTCTCGCCACCAGGGATGTTCTTTCCCCCTATTCAGAGTGATGCTAGCATAATCCAAAGCACGATTGTAACGATCACTAGGGAACCCTAACACGCAGACAGGACAGAGTAGAGAGAATTGCAATACCGATCCTTAGAGTGGTCGGGTTATGCAAAAAGGGATAGTCAAAACACTAGCCGAGGTCAAGGGAAACAAAGAAACGGAATAACGAGAGACAAAGCCAAATATCGGTAACCAGGAAATCTAAATAACAAGTGCAACGCTCAAATCTAAACCAAAGCCCACAACAGGTCACTGAGGAAAGAGGGAGGTTAGCTTATATACACATATTGGCTAACCTTCAATTAATGTTAACCACAACACGTGGGAGTAGTTTCTTCCTTTCCTTGTGGTCTCTGAGGTCATTACTGTGTTCCGGGTCTGGCACACATATAAGGATGCTGCTTTGGAGAGTGCAGCGTCAGACAGGCCTCTTGTATCGGTTACACAGGAGGGGCTTCAGAAGGGATGTGTGGAACGTATTGGGGATGCACAGGGATGGAGGCAAGTCCAGAGTGTAAGAGACAGGATTAACCCTGAGGCTAGGTGTTCATCCAACGCGGGTATTCCCTTGTCGGAGAATACACCAGGAAGGACGCTAGGTTGTACACCGTAAGCCATCTGGAATGGACTCAAACCAGTGGAGGTATGGGAGGCTGTTCTTGGCAAACTCAGCCCACGGGAGGAGATGGGACCAGTTATCCTGATGCTCGTTCACGAAACAGCGTAAATAGAGTTCCAGTGATTGGTTCGCTCTTTCAGCAGCCCTGTTTGATTGTGGGTGATATAATGAGGAAAAGGACAAGGATATACCCATTTCAGTACAGAAACCCCTCCAAATTCGTGAGATAAACTGAGGGTCCCTGTCAGAGACTATATCGATGGGTATGCTATGAAGCTGGAATACCTCTTTTGCCAAGTCCAATTGTGCAGCAGAAGGAAGCTTCTTAAGCGGAACAAAGTGAGCCATTTTAGAGAACCTATCGGTCACCATCAGAATGACCGTGTGACCCTTGGAGGGGGAAAGGTCCACTATGATCTATGGACAGGTGCTTCCATGGCGGCTTGGCACCAAGAGGGGCATAAAGAGACCAGGTGGCTTGCTTGTGGGAGACTTAGCCAGAGTACAAACAGGGCCGGTGCAAGGATTTTTGCCGCCCTAGGCAAAAAAAATCTTGCCGCCCCCCCCCCCCATATGTCCTGCCCACCATGTGACATCACAATGCCCCGCCCATATGCTCTGCCATATGGGCCAGCGCCATTCTGCACAAAGAGTCTTTTATCTGAAAAGACAGTGTGTTTACAGTAAAAAGCCTACAGGCACAGGCTATAGACCACTACATTATGCTGTAGTTTTTATGGTGACTATAGTATCCATTTAATGTGAGGTAAATTAGAGATTAGTGCCACCAATAATATATTGGATTGCCTACTTACCACCAGATGAGGACAAGAGGCTGATGATGGGCTCAGTCTGGTGTAGAAGAGGCTCTCAGGAGACTGTTTGTAACACTGCTCACAACACTTAGCCAACAGGAAGCAGCTCCATTTTATGGGGCCCCTTACACAGTTCAAGGTCTGGGCCCCCAGGGCTTGACCGTGAGTATGCCTACAATGCCCACCCATAAATCCAGCTACATGGACCACCCATGAGTTCTCTCACAGGGAGTGGAGTGTATGTGTGTAGGGGATGTTTTATGTGTTATTGTAGAGGATGTAATGTAGAGTCCCCACCGTGTGTGTGTGTTCTTATAGAATGTAGTGTAAGGGATGTAGTGTGTGTATAGGGGATGCAGTATGTGTTTGCATGTAAGGACTGCATTGTATGTTTCTGGGTGTGTGTGTGTGTGTGTAAGGGATGCACGATGTGTTTCTGTGTATGTAATTGAATGCAGTGTGTGTCTGTAAGGGGTGCATTTAGTGTGTAAGAGATGCATTTTGTTTCTTGTGTAAGAGAATGAGTGTTTGTGTGAGCGTAAGGGATACATTGTGTGATTCGGGTGTGTCTGTGTGTGAGTAGGGATGCTGTGTGTGTATGTGTGTAGTGTAAAAGAGAGGGTTTGTGGGGTAGGATAGGGACTGAGAGGGGAGCAGCTCTTAATTTTATTTTATTTTTTAAATTTCATAGTGCTCTCCCTTCCTGTCAATTAGTGATTTCCCCTCCCCTTCTGTCCCTTAGTGCTCTCCCTTGGCCCCCTGTCCCTCTGCAGTCCACCCTTGGTGGTCTTCTCGCTCCCCCCTCTCCCCCTTAGTGGTCACCCTCTCTCCCCCTAGTGGTCCTCCCTCTCCCAAACCCATTAGTGCTCCTCCCTCTCCCAAACCCCTTAGTGGTCCTCCCTCTCCCAAACCCCTTTGGTCCTTGCCCTCCTCCCCCCTTAGTGGTCCTACCCCTTTCCCCCCTCTCAGTGGTCTTTACCACCTTTCCCCCCCTTAGTGGTCCTTACCCTCCGTCCCTCTACTTAGTGGTCCTCCCTCCTTAGTGATCCTTCCCCCTCCTTTCCCCCCCTTTGGTGGTCTTTCCTCTCTTACCCTCTCCCCCCCTCCCTCAGTGGTCCTTCCTACCCCCTCCCAGTGGTCCCTCCCCATGTGGTCCTTACTCCCCTTCCCTCTCCTCCCAGTGGTCCCTTCTCCCTCTCCCTCAGGGTCCTTACTCCCACCCTCCTCCCAGTGGACCTTACTCCCCCCTCTCTCCCAGTGGTCCTTGCTCCCCACCCTCTCCCTCAGGTGGACCTTGTCCCCTCCCTCTCCCTCAGTGGTCCTATTCCCCTCCCTCTCCCTCAGTGGTCCTTATTCTCCCTCTCCTCGGTGGTCTTCTCCCCGGTGGCCCCCCTCCCCCCTCCCCTAGTGGTCCTTACCCTCCTCTTCCTTCCTGCCTATGTAGCGTGGCCGGGCGGCATGGAACGCGGAGCAGGAACCTCTGAGCCCTTCCTGTCTGTCCGCCGGGTACAGGAAACAGAGGTTCCTGTCCCGCGTTCCGCGCTGCCCGGCCATGCTACATTGAGAGACCGCCAGGAGGGAGTGCTCTGCGCTTCCCTCCTACCAGTCACTTAAATCCGGCCGGCCCATCATACAGCAGTGCTGCGCCGCCTGAAGCTTGCAAGAGTGCTCAGGCGGCGCAGCATGAGAAACCGCACCGGTGATTCCGGGAGCAGGGCTCCGGCGCCCCCTGCTAAGGTGCGCCCTAGGCGGCTGCCTAGGTCTCCTTACAGGTAGCGCCGGCCCTGAGTACAAATCTGACAAGCCATAACATACTCATTGACGTCCTTCCTAACAGAAGGCCACCAGAACTGTCTTGTTATCATATGTTTTTGTGATGCCTGGGTGTCCTGCTGTTTTGGATCTATAAAACAATGTCATGACTTTTCTCCTGTCCCTTCCCTGTACAAACAATAAACCTGTAGGTGTTTCAGGTGCTGCTTGGTTTTGATATCAATTCACCTTATCTAGAAAGAGGGAAGAGGTAACTAAGTGTGTATCTGCAATTATGTTGGCAGAAGGGACTATTTGGTTCTGGAGGGGAGGGGTCGACCTCCAGTGGTTCGTGTTGCCTGGATATAGCAGCTGCCTTAACGTTGCTGTATCCAGGTCTGTATGTTATGGTATACTGGAAGCGAGACAGAAATAAGGACCACCTAGCCTGGCGAGAAGACAGACGTCTGGCCTCGGCTTTGTAGGAGAGGTTCTTGTGGTCTGTGATCACCAGGATAGGGTGTCTGGAACCTTCCAGTAGGTGTCTCCCCTCTTTAAATGTCAAAATAATGGCCAGTAATTCCCTGTCCCCCACATCATAGTTTTTCTTTTCTGCTTCAGACAGTTTCTTGAGGAAAAAACAACACGGGTAAAGAGGATTGTTGTGGGTTTTTCTCTGAGAAAGTATTCCATCAACACCTGACTCAGACGCGTCGACTTCAACAATATAGGACAGCAACGGGTCAGGGTGTCGCAAAACAGGGGCTGATGTAAATGCTTCTTTAAGTGTTTCAAAAGCCTCAGAGCTCCAAACACGGGATTAACCCCTATTTTGCTCATCTTGGTTATTGGGGCTACTATAGAGGAGAAATTCTTTATGAATTTTCTGTAGCAGTTCGTGAAACCCACAAATCTTTGTATGGCCTTAAGACCCTGTGGAAGTGACCAAGTTTTGATGGCTTCCAGTTTCTTAGCGTCCATACTGAAACCCTTCTCAGATATGATGTACCCCAAGAACTGCACAGAGGTTTGATCGAAGAGGCACTTCTCTAGCTTAAAATACAGACCATTTTCTGGCAGTTTTTTTAGTACTGATCTGACATGGTGGGTTTCTAGATCACGGGGGTATACCAATATGTCGGTAAGATACACTACAGCACATACGTGCAAGTAATTTTGGAGGACATCATTAATAAAGTCCTGGAAGACAGCAGGGGGCGTTACACAGGCCGAAGACAAAGACAAATATCCGTAACCAGGAAATCCAAATAACAAGTGTAGCGCTCAATGGTAAACCAAAGACCACAACAGGGCACTGAGGTAAGAGGGAGGTTAGCACAGGGCTCGACAAACCCCTGTCGCCATGGCGACCAAATATTTTGTCCTGGCGTCTGGGATTGGTCAGTCTGCTCCCTTCTCCTTCTGTCTCAATCCCCATGCAGGGGAATTGCAAGCTAAGCTGGCAGGATACCAGGTAAATATGGCTCTGCTCCCCACCCTCCTCCCGACCCCATACTCGACCCTGCTACCCCCCCATTCGAACATAAGGAGAGATGGAAGTCCCAGCGGTGTTCGCGCCGCTGAGTGTCCGATTATAGTTCCATGCACTCAACAACCAAACACCGCTGTCTGTGTTCGCGGCTAAAGATGGCCGCCGCCACGTGTTCGCACATACAAACAGCGACACCACCCAGCCAACCGCTTAGAACGTTGTGGTAATTGCAGTTACCGAGGTGAGAACAAGGGTCAAAAGGGTCAATAAGCAACACACGACTTCTCTGGGGGTCTGGCCGTTCGGTAGTTTATTCGGTATTTGAACTTCATAGGTCTCAGGTGTATATATACTGAACCAACCAGTGTAACAAATAAGTAAAAAATAAAGAGGATGACAATCCAGATATAGGGGAATCTGTCACACAGAGATAATTTTTAATTGTGTGCCGGAAGCAAGTTGCACCCCCTGGCACTTGTGACTAAGGCAGACCAGAACTGCCTAATGTATATTCTGTGCATAAAACATGTCTGTCGCCAGCACGCATCGGTCCAGATTGCGCACCTGCACTCTGAGCTAGCGAACATGTCCAATCACAGACATCTCTCTGAGCAGCTGTGATTGGACCTGGCACAGTCCTTGTGATGTCACAAAGAGTTGTGAAAAGCAACGCTGGGAGCTTCGCCCACCGCTGGATTTCAAGTTTATTTTTAATTTAAGGAGATGGGGGACCTAAAGTACAATGCCCAAAAGCTAGATTCACAGATGTTATAGAACTGCAACTCCCACGATGCTCTGTATGACTTTAGAATGACAAATCATCATGGAAGCTGTAGTTTAAAAACATCTGGGGATCTACCTTTTGGGCACCCCTGCAGTACGGCATTATACTTTAAAAACTCAAAGCATGAAAAAGGATTGGAGTAATCCTTTGATTGCAGTACAGCCTGTACTTGCATCCATTTTATGTGGATCCATTTCTGTGGTACAGCCATGTAGAAATAGGAAAAAAGAGGGGAAAAAAGAACACTCATCATACAAAATCCGGTGCTAATTTAAAAACAAATAACCACAAAGTGGTTTAACCAGGAAATAGAAAATCATTAACCCCTTCAGGACCGGACTGTTTTTGCGATGTTTGTGCGTTAAGGACCAGAGCTATTTTAACACTTTTTTGTGGTGTTTGTGTTTAGCTGTAATTTTCCGCTCTCTCATTTACTGTTCCGATACAAATTATATCTTGTTTTTTTCAGGACAAAAAGGGCTCTCTTTACATGTTATTATTTTTATCATGTCAAATAATTTAATTTAAAAATAATAAAATATGGTGAAAAATAAAAAAAAAACACTTTTTTTAAACTTTTACTTAAAAAATCTTTTACTGATCTACAAAATCGAATGAAACAAACTGCTAAATAGATTCAAAATGTTGTCCTGAGTTTAAATACGCCCAATGTTTGTGTGGGCTATAAGTACAAGTAGGAAATTGCTGTTTCAAAATGTACATTTTTCAAATGTATCAATAGTGACATTGTAACACTGTTATGTCATAAATCTCCAAAAAACACCCCACATGTATATATTTTTCTTAAACTAGATAACCCAGGGTATTCATCTAAGAATATTTTGATACTTTATATGCAGCCAATTTACCACAAACCTTTGCCAAACTTTGCATAGGTAGTTTTTTGTTTTTTTCACATACATTGCAATTCAGGGATAAATTCACAGATTCTGTTAGGTGTCACTGCCAAACAACACCCCAATATGTGTTCAGCAACATCTCCCGAGTACAGGGATACCCCCCCCCCCATCTATAGGGTTGTTTGGGGGCTAAAAGGTCACATTTGGCAGGTGCGCATATCAGTTTCCCATCTTGGAATTTTGACATGTAGTCAACCTGCATGCATGTCCTATTTGGGACATTTTTGAAGTCGGCCAATGTATTTTACCCCCATCAAACCATATATTTTTGAAAAGTAGACACCCTAGGGTATTTCATATGGTGGTATTTTAACACTTTCCATGCACTAATTCTACCACCAGGCTTTGTCAAACATTGAGTTAGTAAATTTTTTCTGTTTGTTTCACACACATTGTACTTTAGGCATGAATTAACAGATCTTGTTATGTGTCACTGCCAAACAACACCCCAATATGTGTTCAGCAAGATCTCCTGAATACAGTGATACCCCTCATGCATAGGCTTGTCGGGTTCTTTGGGGGCTAAAAGGCCACGTTTGGCAGGTGCGCTTATCAGTTTCCCAACTTGGAATTTTGACATGTAATCAACCTGTGCCCATGTCCCATTTGAGCCAATGTATTTTACCCAGTAAAATAGTATATATTTTTATAAAGTAGACATCAAAGGTTATAGAAGATGGGGTGTTTTGACTTCTTTCCCCAACCATTTTGCCCCCCAAAGAAAATGTAGTGGTAATTTTTTAATCTGGTTTTAATGCACACGTCATCTGGTTTTGGCCAGCTGGTTATGTGTTACTGCCAGAAAACTTGTTAGACCAAATGTGCAGGTAGCAAATGTACATTTAGCAGCAATCTTTAAACTGACTCCTGCAAATAGAATCTAACTGGAGATTTGGGGGAAGGTAACTAACAAAAAATGGCTGCTTTCCAAAGACAAAAAATAAAATAAAAATTCAGGAACACTTCTTACAACTGTTCTGTGTGGTACAGCTTGAAGCATGTCCCTACACACAGTCCTGGTTTCGAAGGGCAATCAGGACAGTAAAAAGGGGTGTCTGTCCTTTTCCCGTTTTTAAAACAGACCCTGCAACGTTTCTGGGGGAATTTTTTCTAGCAGTTGGCGGTAACCTCAAAATAAAATGTCTGGACCCAGCTTGCACCGTTGTTGGAACTTGTCCATCTCCATAAATTGTTAAAGAAATTATTTTCAACTGAAATTGGAGAAAGGTGGTTTTCCCTGGATTATTTTTTTCAAAAAGCAAAAATGAGTTGTGGGTTGCTATTTGCATCATATAAATAGCCACCTTTTTATGCCATGCTTTGCTCTTTCGTAAAATAAGATATGGCTGCATCAGCTGATCAGCCAAATCAACACCCCCCATGTACTTATTATACGCCCTGATGCTAACCGGTTTGGACTCTACTCTGCCCCGGACAGAGACGTCTGACATGCGTTCGTCATGGGTGGTGGTTAGCATGTTGACATGTTGAGCATCCTTCCTGTCCCTAAATTTTAGTGCAAGCACTTCAGCTTTGTGAAGTGCTTTACATTCGCCTTTTTTTAATTTTGCCTCTATGAGAGATCGTGGAAAGTCTTTGGAATTTTTTCTGGCAGTGCCGCAGGCCAGTGTCTGTAAACCATAAAGTGTTTTAAACAGATGGACACTACTATAAAAATTATCCACATAAAGGTGGTAACCTTTATTAAACAAGGGGTTTAGTAGGTCCCATACAAGTTTCCCACTTGTCCCCAGGGAGTCAGGACAGCCAGGAGGGTCCAGTTGACCATCTTTCCCCTCATATACACGAAAGGCAAACGTGTATCCACTTTCGCTCTCGCACAGTTTGTACAGCTTTATGCAATACCTAGAGCGCTTTGAGGGGATGTATTGTCTGAACTCTAATCTCCCTTTGTACTTCATTAGAGATTCGTCTATGGATAAATTTTGTTGGGGGGTATAAACATCCAAAAATTTGTCCTGAAAATGGTCTAGCAGTGGGCGTATTTTATGAAGCCTATCGTATTGGGGGTGATCTCTAGGGTGACAGAGGGTATTGTCACTGAAATGTAAACATCTCAGCAGTAACTCGTATCTGGCATGGTTTGGGAGAATACTGTACTAGACATTACTGGGTTGGTGCTCCAGTATGAGCGAATTGATGGCTTCTTTATAATCCCCGTGAGCATTGTAAGAGCCCAGAATTTTTAAAGCTCTGGGACATCTGTGGGATGCCAGTCATGCTCCCTGACTGTATAGCTACCTGGATTGTTATCAATAAAAACCAGACTGTACAAATGCACTGCTGTAACAGATCTGGCAGGGAAGGGGTTAAAATGGATTTTTTTAATTCATTTTAGATACTGTATAAAGCTCTGGATCACTTCTGCTGCAACAAACTATCACAATCTCTGTCTCTCTTGCCTCACAAAACGCTACAGAGGAGAAAGGGGCAGAGATCACTGTCAAAGTGAATGTTTGTAACACCCACTTTGACAGCGGCCAATTGTGAGCGATTGCAATTGGCTGTTACTATCTGCCTGGGATGTCTGGCAGATAGTAACCGTGTTATACGGGTGGGAGCGATCTTTGATCGTTTCCCGCAGCCCGTTTCCCGCAGCGTCAGTGGTCCAAAATAAATAAAAAGGTGTGTCTGTTTAACTAATCTTGCCTTCAACAGGTTTATACTCGTCTTCTTAAATAAACTTTATACTTATTCCTTGGTGCTATCCCTGCATACAGTTTTAAACTATTTCAACACTGTATTCGGGTCCCTGAGCCCAGCCTGGACCCCATTCGACATACCAATTCATACCAGCAATAGATGGTTGAGATTGGCTGAGAGTGTCAGCTAACCATTTCAGCCTATCACTGGCGCCCGTTGCTGCTTCAGCTAATAGACTTGTGTACAAATACAGAACCAGCTTCTCATTCCTCAGTAGCCCAAGTAAGCTAGAGGGGGATGGGTTGCTGAAGACTCTTGTTTAAACATTAAAAGATTAAACGATTTAACACTGTAACCGTGGCTGGTTCCCTTATTTACCACTATAATGTCTTAAAGCATAGACCTTAGCAGGGCTAACCATACAGATATCTTAGCCATAATTTTATATAGTTAGTAAGAGATCCTCTATTTAACATAAATAATTGAGAATACAATATAAAATAAGGATTGTCTTGGAAGCAATAGTTTTGTCTTTTTGGATATTTATTATATAAAAATATAAAATCCATTATAGCAGAGTTTATAAGATTAAATTACATGCTTGCAAATATCATTAATAGGTTAACATACCCTTCTGAACATGTCATCAGGTCAGCCTCTCTGTCATTTTAAGATGGAGCTGCGTCTGTCTCCAAGTCTCTCCTCTGTGTAAACCATAAAGTGTTTTAAACAGATGGACACTACTATAAAAATTATCCACATAAAGGTGGTAACCTTTATTAAACAAGGGGTTTAGTAGGTCCCATACAAGTTTTCCACTTGTCCCCAGGGAGTCAGGACAGCCAGGAGGGTCCAGTTGACCATCTTTCCCCTCATATACACGAAAGGCAAACGTGTATCCACTTTCGCTCTCGCACAGTTTGTACAGCTTTATGCAATACCTAGAGCGCTTTGAGGGGATGTATTGTCTGAACCCTAATCTCCCTTTGTACTTCATTAGAGATTCGTCTAAGGATACATTTTGTTGGGGGGTATAAACATCCGAAAATTTGTCCTGAAAATGGTCTAGCAGTGGGCGTATTTTATGAAGCCTATCGTATTGGGGGTGATCTCTAGGGTGACAGAGGGTATTGTCACTGAAATGTAAACATCTCAGCAGTAACTCGTATCTGGCATGGTTTGGGAGAATACTGTACTAGACATTATTGGGTTGGTGCTCCAGTATGAGCGAATCGATGGCTTCTTTATAATCCCCATGAGCATTGTAAGAGCCCAGAATTTTTAAAGCTCTGGGACATCTGTGGGATGCCAGTCATGCTCCCTGACTGTATAGCTACCTGGATTGTTATCAATAAATTGGGTAGCATACAAGTTAGTCTGGGAAGCAATCTCCTCCCAGATGGTATCCCCTAAAAATAGTTCTACATACTGCATTGTGGAGAAGCCATCCACATTAACATTAATGCCTGCGTTGGCACTAAAAGGGTGGACGTTGGGCTCGGCTAACTGTGGAGGTACCCAGTCCTCCTCCACATTCGACGTAGCAGAGGAAGCACAGCTTCTTTCTTCAGCTGGCTCACACACAGATGACATATCGTCTTGACTAGACGTGTCAAAAAAGTGACCTGGGTCAAAATCTGACGCAGTGTCAGTGGCGTCAGAAGGCATATGCCTCCTGCAAGTTATACATATGCTGCATTTTTACACATGACTAAAACAAATTACAAACACAAATGTTTTTTGAATATTTCTTTTTTTTTTTTACTAAAACAGACTAAACAGCAATCCCTAAACTAACTCCTGTCAGAAAAATCTAATGGAGAGTTGGGGGAAGGAAACTGACTGAACAAGACAGACCAAAACAGACCAAGACACAGATTTTTTAAATAAATTTAATCCTTTAAGGGCAAAAAAAAAAAACAGACTGTACAAATGCACTGCTGTAACAGATCTGGCAGGGAAGGGGTTAAAATGGATTTTTTTTTAATTCACTTTAGATACTGTATAAAGCTCTGGATCACTTCTGCTGCAACAAACTATCACAATCTCTGTCTCTCTTGCCTCACAAAACGCTACAGAGGAGAAAGGGGCAGAGATCACTGTCAAAGTGAGTGTTTGTAACACCCACTTTGACAGCGGCCAATTGTGAGCGATTGCAATTGGCTGTTACTATCTGCCTGGGATGTCTGGCAGATAGTAACCGTGTTATACGGGTGGGAGCGATCTTTGATCGTTTCCCGCAGCCTGTTTCCTGCAGCGTCAGTGGTCTAAATAAATAAAAAGGTGTGTCTGTTTAACTAATATTGCCTTCAACAGGTTTATACTCGTCTTCTTAAATAAACTTTATACTTATTCCTTGGTGCTATCCCTGCATACAGTTTTAAACTATTTCAACACTGTATTAGGGTCCCTGAGCCCAGCCTGGACCCCATTCGACATACCAATTCATACCAGCAATAGATGGTTGAGATTGGCTGAGAGTGTCAGCTAACCATTTCAGCCTATCACTGGCGCCCGTTGCTGCTTCAGCTAATAGACTTGTGTACAAATACAGAACCAGCTTCTCATTCCTCAGTAGCCCAAGTAAGCTAGAGGGGGATGGGTTGCTGAAGACTCTTGTTTAAACATTAAAAGATTAAACGATTTAACACTGTAACCGTGGCTGGTTCCCTTATTTACCACTATAATGTCTTAAAGCATAGACCTTAGTAGGGCTAACCATACAGATATCTTAGCCATAATTTTATATAGTTAGTAAGAGATCCTCTATTTAACATATATAAATAATTGAGAATACAATATAAAATAAGGATTGTCTTGGAAGCAATAGTTTTGTCTTTTTGGATATTTATTATATAAAAATATAAATATAAAATCCATTATAGCAGAGTTTATAAGATTAAATTACATGCTTGCAAATATCATTAATAGGTTAACATACCCTTCTGAACATGTCATCATGTCAGCCTCTCTGTCATTTTAAGATGGAGCTGCGTCTGTCTCCAAGTCTCTCCTCTGTGTCTTAACATTTAAAAGTACACCTATTTATACCTTAGGTGTCTCCATTTTAGGGTTACCGTAGTTCATATATGAAAAAGTAACACTTCTTTTACTTTATTCATTTTAGGACCTCCCTTAACTTGGCAAACATACAAGGCCATAACTAAAGGGTGCAAACGTCATGGAAATTTTCCTGACTTACCGGTAGTTCAAGATGGCATCTTAAAGTCTGGACATCCTTATTTATCTACTTAAGGTTACCACGGTATATTGAGTACTGAAAGAGTCGTAGCATAGCCTTAAAGCTTGTTTATGCATTATTGTTATTGTAATTCGTCTGGGACAAAATGGCGCAAACATATTATCCACTAAGGTTATTGCTTAAAGAAACAGTTATGAAAAACAATATGTTCCATTTCTAACACCGTGTCAGTTTGCAATATCTCTTAAAGACAAAGCACACAGTTTAAGAAATACAACATTTCATTCTAAAACTTGTAATATTTGCATTTGCCCATAACAACACTGACTACAGACAGATACTATAACCACTTCAGTGAGATGACAAAGTTACATTAAGAATGAAGTCTACATCCAAACAGAGACATTTTAATACAGGGATAAATAAAAGTCTGTTATACACAAATACAGTAACTGCATATTATGTAACCAGAAAATGAGGAGGAGATAGGAGATGAGTGGTAATAAGTTTTATGAAGGAGATTTAGCTTGGGTAAATATACTTTATTTGTATTTGTATCAGATTGGTTAAGCCTGCGATAGCCTGCATACTTATATTGGCCTGTGGTTCCTCATCTTGCTGTGTATTTGTTTTTCTTCCAGCTTTTGATGTTAGTAACGTAAAGAACACTTCTCAGCGCTGCAGAGATTTCTCCCGTGGTGTCTCCATCTCATGATGTTCTTCCGGGCAATTCTCGTTCTTACATGCAGATATATGAATACAGATAACGTATTCCAAGATGTTTCTTCCAAGATTGTATAAAGGACGATCTCCCCTGTGTATTTGGACTTTGCGTCGGCTATTCTAGTTGGAGTACTTGCATTAGCTCCATCAAGGACAATTGGAAAGTCCAGTTTGGGATGCATGCAAACAAGTCATGTCGAGTGCATGTACAAACCAAGTAGATTGATACTTTTTCGTCATGTTACTTTATCCTAATGCTTGTCTGCACTTCCTCCGTCTAGCTTGTAGACGCTGGTCTAGACTTTTGCTAATTATCACTCTTGTTTGTCCTTGTTTTCTTATCCTCTTATTCTTAGGGAAGCTAGAAGAAGGCTTCTCATATTTTCTTCCACTTCTCATTTCCAGTCCATCCCACCCGTCTTCCACTGTTGCCCTACCTCATCCACTCCCACCTTTGCTCATTTCACCCTCTAATGCTTGCTCAAACTCTCCCTTCTTTCTCATCCTGGTCACCAGCACTCCCTCCCACCTAAATCGACGAGATGCCATCCGGCAATCTTGGGGAAGACTCTCCACCTCGCTCACACTTTTTCTTATGGGAGTTCCTGAATCTCAAGATGAAAAGGCTGCCCTTGTACAAGAGGCAGGGTTTCATGGAGACATCATCCAGGCAGCATTTGCTGACACGTACCGCAACCTGACAGTAAAGACATTGGTGGGACTTACATGGGCGGTGGAGAACTGTCAAAATGCTAAATTCCTGCTGAAAACCGATGATGATGTCTTTGTCAATACACCATCCTTATCAGATTTTTTAAGAGTGCAAAAAGGACCTCTCTATTTGGGTCGAATCCACTGGCATGTTAAGCCTATAAGGGAAACATATAGCCGCCATTATACCTCAAAGGATGAATACGCAGGTGATTATTTCCCTCCATATTGCAGCGGTACTGGCTACATCTTGTCTCAGGAAGCAGCTGTTCTCATCTTACAGGAACAGGGACGGGTTCCATTGCTTTCTCTGGAGGATGTGTATGTTGGAATACTGGCAAGTTATGCAGGCATATATCCCCAACACAGTGCAAGGATTGCAGGTTCAATGATGATACCACATCAGGAATGCTGCTACAGAACCATGTACACCTCACACCAGGTTACCCCTCAGGGGATGTCAGAGGCATGGGCTATGCTAAGCAAGACAGAGAAAGAATGGTGCTTAGGAGCTCTGCTTCGTTGCAGGATTTCAGGTACGTGGTAAGATTCTGAGCAGATGGGGGTGATCATCTTGGACAGCAGAACATAAGGGATGGTAGTCTGTGGAATCTAGAAGAGCATACATATCCAGGACTCTGCAGGCAGTAGCTGGTCTTATGTACTCAACAAGGGTATTGGCTTCCGTCCGGATAGAAATAATGCACAATAATGTAAATCTGTTACTGTTGGTGCTAGGAATAGTGCAGTGATGACTAACCCACATGTTCGAGAACTGCTGTTCCCACGATGGTCAGACACTTTTTTGGCCTTGGCGTCATGGGAAATATAGTTCATAAATATCTGAGGACATCACACTTCGCAATGGCTGGAATAGCAAAATGTTTAATGGATTGTTAGAAAACACCCAGGCACCTTAGCAAGCTGCTGGCTTGGATTTACTCTTTAACAAAAGCTGAAACACTGCACATTATCTGAACTTCAGCAGACATTTTACATTCGGGTTTATTCACTGGACAACTTTATGCCAATATAAGCTTTGAAACATTCTCAAACCCCCTATCTTGACATGTCCATTTGTGTCCTAAATTTATTTTGATATTAAGTTCGCAATTCGCCAGTTAAATAATAAGCCCTGTAAACATTATTATATTTATATAGCGCCATCAAATTCCGCAGCGCTTTACAGTGGGTGGACGAACAGACATATAGTTGTAACCAGACAAGTTGTACACACAGGAACAGAGGGGTTGAGGGCCCCGCTCAATGAGCTTACATGTGAGAGGGGGTGGGGTAAAATGACACAAAAAGGAAAGGATAGTAAAAAGGGACACTCCAGGCACCCAAACCACTTCTGCCCATTGGAGTGGTCTGGGTGCCAACTCCCACTACCCTTAACCCTGCAACTGTAATTATTGCAGTTTTCATAAACTGCAATAATTACCTTGCAGGGTTAACTACTCCTCTAGTGGCTGTCTAGTAGACAGCCACTAGAGGGCACTTCCTGCTTCATAGCACAGGTTTTCTGTGCTTGAGCGTCGCTGGACGTCCTCCCGCTGTGTGAGGACCTCCAGCGTCGCTCAATTCCCCATAGGAAAGCAATGCTGTGCATGCGCATTAGGTCTCCCCCGCCGGCTGACGTAATGAAGGGGAGGAGCGGCGGCAGCGACGACGATGACCCGAAACCACACCCCTTCAGCAACCGGGGATGGGAGGTGGGAATATTGCTATATAATCAGACGACATAGCTGAGCAACATATAAAGTAATACACAGTCGTAGCACACATGCAATTTGCTAAATATACTGTGCAAACTCACTTTGGGTGTCGAAAAGGCAGAAGAAATGCTTATTACCACTACACTTAGTGCAAGCTAGCGGAAAAATTATCCCACGCCAAGGTTCAAAATATGCCTTTTGAAATACCCTGGGATATCTTCTTTAAGAAACGGTATGCCTTTATGGTGTAGTTGTAATATGTAGTCCGCTCAAGTGCTCCAAAGTGGGACATGGACGCATCAAAACCCTCCATGAAAATTCACACTTAAAACCTGAACTTGTCACGTCTCCTTTACAGCACTGTAACTTAACAAAATAGGGTCTAGGTCATACATTGCGCATATTGTTTTACGCAGAAGATGTAACTGAGCATAATTTGGGGGGTTTTATGATAGTTGTACAGATAAAGTGTAGGAAATACTCAGGAAAAATGCAATATATGTAAAAATTCCATTTCCCTCCACCACAAACGTTGATATAAATTGGTGAAAAAATGGTGACAAGTTAAGGCACAATATACACCATGTAAGATACCCTGGGGTGTCTGCTTTATCAAATGAAAGCCCTTTGTGGGGTTATTTGAACAGTCACACTGCTATAATACCCTAAAATGAGACATAGGCCCGTCAAATCCGTCTAGGAGAATTCTAACTATAGAAACTGAAATAGCTTTGTCTCTTATATGGCACTGTAGCTTCACAGAATAGTGCCATAGGCATACAATGGGGGTATCGTTATGCTCCGCAGATGTAGCTGAACATAATATGGGGTTCTGTGCAGGAATAGCACATACCAGCTTTACGAAATACACATTACAAATTGTTATATGTGTACATGCCAAAATAAAGAAAAAACACAATTTTACTCCAATATTTAGCAGGGATTGGTGATGAAATGGCTACGTAAAAAGTGTCAAACTAACCTTACGTAAATAGCCTGTGATGTCTACTTTATATAACTATATACTTTTGTGAGGCATTTTTTATTCTGTGATGGCTACTAAACCTACAAGACAAACATACCAACTTCTAAAATTGTTGCAAATTGAAATGTTATTTTAGTCCTTGTATTTTGTGACCTGTAACTTTAAAATAAGCTGAAATCCTATACATATGATGTACTCTATAAAACAAGACACATAAATGAATTTATTTTAAATTACTATTTGTAAGCTGGACATATTATGCACACGCTATTAGTGAAAAAAATGTATTAAAAAAAAAAAAATTGGCTTTTTTAAATAATTAATGATAATGTATCTATGTATATGTTGCCCTCTAAAAAACGATGTATAATGTGTGTTGGTGCAATAAATGTCAGAGATGCAAATTGCGTTTGAACAAAAACAGCAAAAAAAGGCTTTTGTCCTTAAATGTAAGACAAGCTTCTGAAGCGGTGTCCTTAAGGGGTTAAAATAGCTTCTATGGTTTCCTCTGAAAATATACATTTCTCACCCAGCTTACCCGCTGGTTCACAGGTTCTGATCCACTACATAAAATAAATGTTGCCATGTTTAGCTGCAATATATAGCTGAACACCTTAAATCGTTATACTAGTCCATTCACTGTAAAGTAGGTCATTTACATTTATACTAAATAAATACATTTTATTTATATGTAAACCCAGGCTTGACTTTCAGCTTGTATATCTTTTTCCGTAAAACTTGAGATGAATACATAAGAAAATGTTTCAATGTGTGAGACAAACTGTGCCTTTTAAAGAGAAAGTATTGAAGTAATTCGCCTTGGAGTGGCGCCACGATTTTCTATAGACTGCTTCAGTATTTGGTCGCTGAGATGGTGTGCTTTGATGATGACTAAGGGACTTGGAAAGGCGAAGAAGAGTCACATCAGCGAGCATGGTCGTTTCTACATTTACTTGATATTCCATCTTAAAATTGCATTTCTAAGATAAAAATTAATAATAGTGTGCGGTTATAAACTTAGTGCCATGTCCTTTATAGAAACTCAATGCTGTGGATATTGCTGAATATTTGAATCACTGGTGGCCATTGTTACAGCTCGCTATGTATTAAGGGAACTGCAGTACACAGCAGCTTCAGGCCAGCACTGGTATAAACAGACCCTCTTGTATAAACATTCCAGTATATTGATAGTTTCCTTCCACCACATTAACACAACCCACAGCTTTTTGGTAGAGGTGATCTTACATGTCACTAAACCTTAACCTTCATTAATAACAAGCAGAGAGTAATAGAAAGTTGATGGCTAAGTGTGAGATCAAAGTCAGAGTGGCAGGTTCCCTAATGTTCTGGTGCAGGACGTAGACTGTACTGAGACGTTGAATTGCTTTTTCCATAAGACTACCCAAACTTTGGAAGTATCAGGAAGGAATAGTGACCAGTAATTGGTGGAACATGGAAGATCTTCTGAATGTACTATTATTTGAGCTTACAATGGTATTATTAGGACCTGAAGGAATAGATATGCAGAGTTAATCAATATTTAATTTAAATAGATGCAGGTTAACGTCTTCCAGCAGAAGTGGTATTCATGAATAAAAAGGAAAGGATTGCAACAGCTTGGGATAGATTCAGCAGTATTGTAAAGTCTAAGCCTAGAGATCGGACATGAGTGAGCATGGTACTGGCCATAAGTCCCCATTTAGCAGGAATTCAATTAAAAAAAAATAAAAAAAAATTTCAGGCTAAAATAGTAGAATTAAAAAAATTCTTTGGAACGGATGTTCAATCTGTTCCTATTCTCTTCCTCACTATAAATTTGTTTTTCCACCATTATTTTTCTACTGAAATTCATAAACCTAAGTAGGGACTACCTATCCTCATGTATTTTTGTTCTGCTTGACAAAAGAATACATATCTGTCAAGTTTTGTCACTTCTACCAATGGGTGGGAGAATAAGGCATGGACTCACTCATTATGACGGCCTTGCGAGATCCCCAATTGACATTAGTGCTGTACTCTCACACATGTGCAGGAGTACAGCACTGATGTGGCCTCCTGGTGGATAAAGATGGCGGAGTTCATGGGAGACATCATCAAGTAAGTATACTACTCTCCATTGCACAACAATATCAGCATCGGGGGTCTTTGGAAGATATGCAAAGACCCCAGAAGGTGACAGTTACTTTAAGTCAACGGTTTTCAGATTGGCTTTAGACTTGAAGTTCACTTTGAATCCCTGGAAATTCTCACATTAGTGATTAACCTTGTCAATACAAAAGACGACAAACGTTTGAAGATATTTATTATGAAACATATTTACACAGTAAGAAGTGACAGGATAGAGCTCCAATACAGTCTATTAGATAGCGGTTTATTCACTATACAATAGTAAATAGAAAACCAACATGCAGAATGTGGCTGAAATGGCAGATTTGATGGGATAAAAAGTCTTCAACAATCTTGCCTGTTTTAGCCAGAATTTTGCAATTCAGTTTTCAGTTCACCTTGATTCTCTCCTCCGTAAATAAGCTCCAGAATGATTTATGCCTGGCTGTCCCTCTAAGATTCACATGACATTGATCCAGATGATTATCCCCTCTGACGTCGGAGAAGTTAAAACAAAGTAATATAAAATTTAAGCTGGCAATCAACACATCTGGCCTCTGATAAAAGAAATCATGAATTTTACACTCACTGAGTGTTTAAAAGTGAGGGACCCGTACTGGCACATTCTTTGACCAGAGGCTGCAGGGAGGTTACTTGGCTCTTATCACTTCTTAAACCTGTCCAGGGTTGTCCTGTGACTCTGAGGAGCTTTGCTGTCATTGATATTGTGTTCGTTGGCCTTCTGGTCTTCTAAGCTCATCTTAATCTGTTCCTGTTGGTACAAAGGAGTGGGGAAAACCTCAGATAAATTTGTGATCAGCAGAGGACCAAATTATATAGGAGCAAGAGCTTGATCATACATTTACTGATGCCCAGCAGTCTAAAATGAACCTGGCCCATCGGGGTACTTAAAGCTCTAAGCTGTGTGAAACCAACCATAATTTACTTGCGTGCTGGTACAGACCACCACTGCTTTTACACCGCATACCAGAAACCAACTCAGAAGAAAGTGGCCAGTGTGCAGCAGCAGACGGGGCAATTGATACTGGTAGCATTTTGGTACATTCCCATATTACAAACATAATGAGCTAAGGACTTCCATTTTAACCTGATGCAAGGCTACAATCTCCTATTGCCGAACAAAATAAAGAAATGCAGCCATGGTTTATTAATGAATGGAGGGACAGCACCATGTGATGAGGCACTACAACCATATACACTGAAGTGAAATGGTTATAGTCCCTGTAATGTTTTATCTATTGTTCTTCTCACCAGCCTGTACATCATAGTCCACCCACTAACTATACACTACCAATCTTGCACTAATGCCCACACACTCACCCTCTGCCGTTCATGCGCCACCTTCTTTTTGCGTTTGAGCAGATTGGTCGATGAACTTTTACCCTTTAATTTACGTCGGGGAACAAAACGAGTCTTCTCGTGGGGATCAAATCCCTGGGAAAGTGAGAAAGGCAGTTAGCATGATGGAACATTGGAGAATATGGACAGATATAAACAGAGAGGGGGCAACATGCGTTTTATTTGGAAAAAGGGCACCATGATGCTACAAAAGGTGTCAAGTCTCACCAGTCTTTCCACTTGCTCTTTATGTTTCTCCTCCATCGTTGCAGCATCAACTTCTCCAAGCTGAGTGGGGTCCAGAGTGATTAATTCTGGTGGAATCTAAGGAGCAGAAGACCAGACAGTGAATGAATACTATGATCGAAACCCTAAGTAGCTACTGTAAACTGTATAATTTCCCTTTAATTATAAAGTACACAAAATACTTTTCTTGGTCTTACCTTCTCCAGTAAAGCTTTCACCTCCCATTCCCGTTGCTGTTTTTTGTTTTCATATGGATTGCACTCCAAAGCGTCAAAGTTAGCCTCTCCTGCGCCTGTTAAAAGTAACAAGACAAAAAGCAGAATTTTAGTTATGGTTATGCACAACGCAAGAGAAATAAGAAGAATCTTCAGAAAGGGAAGGGAAATGGAAGCGATCAGTAAGTTAATTTTACTGTATCCGGGCTAACCTGGAACAATCATACTGGTGAAACCTCCTCCATGTCCGATGCCCAAGACATCTTCAAAAGGACAGAACTGAAGCCCATGAATTGGTCCCTTTACAGATAAACATAGATACGGGACCTGAGGTGGGCCGAGGTGAGTATCTTTATATACCTGAATAAAAAACAGATTGTTAAATGCCACGACAATATTAAATGTACATCACTGGCAGTTTGCTCATGTTCTAACGCCTAATCACCTGTACAATGTTACCGGTTCCAGCAGCCAAGAGTCCCTTTTGGCTGTGACACAAGGCTCCTGCTCCTAATGGCAGAACACTAGCGTGAAGGGGGCGGAAAGTGCGGATATCGAATATTTTCAGCTTCCTGTCCAGACCAGAGGACGCCATATACCTATAAAAGACAGAAAAACCAATAAATTTGACTTATTTAGGCACGGTGGAGGCTTACCTTGGCACCACAAATTTGTCTAACCTTCTTTTGCCATGGTGCGTACTAACAACATTATGGGCAGTGTAGTTTGGTAATATTTGGTAACATTGGTGTACTAAGGTAAGAGATCATTTCTCTAAAGGAATGAAAATTGGTTGGCGTGTGTAATGACGAAAACGAACATGAAAAGTAAGTTATACAGCGACAAAGTTCGAAACAGTAAATACACTTACATCCCTGTCTTATCGACACTCAGTGATCGAACAGCTCCATGGTGACACAACATCTTCACTAACGGCTCCTTCATAGAAGGGCTCCAGAGAGTGACGGTCCCTGTCACAGAGAAACGGCATGTCAGAGAAATAAAATATGTTTATCAAGCATCCAGTGCTACTTCCATAGTCAGGTAGTGCTTTAAGAAAATTACAAATACTTGGCTATGTTTTTAGTAATGTGTACCATTATTAAAGGACAACTCACCAGAATATTTTTTATTATTATTATTATTATTATTATAAGAATCCTAGCCGCGTGTAATGAAAAGATATGGCATTTTTTAAAATGAGGTGTATGTAAAAACACCAGAAAATTTTTTCACAGAACACTAGACCCCCCTCTGCCATATTCATACACCCTCGTCAGCACGAGGTAGAATCCGACCGTAAGGCTCCTGTTTCACTGCCTGCACAGAGCGATGATGTCATCAGCCATCGCCCTGTGTGGTTTGCCTGGTCTAGTGTTCAGGGATAGTAGGAGCCATATCTTTTCATTACATGCTGCAAAGATTGTTATAATGAAAAAAAATTCTTGTCGACATTTGTTTTTTAAACATTATTAGTTAAGTAAACATAGAACTACTTTATACTGACAGCTTGTTAAGTAGATTATTGTCTGCCCTCCTGTATCATTTAAGTTTGAGAACAATAATATTGCAATGATATAATGATAAAGATAGTTTGATACAACAATACATTTTAAATAAAACAACATATGTAGCCAGATTAAAAATTAACAAAAATAAAAACACGACAAACACTAAGCAGCACAAGTTACTTAGGACCAGATTTACATGGCAGGTGCGTGTAGGCACAAACTTATAGTGATATGATATCGTTGCTAATAATGGCCAGGGTTTGTGACTAAGTGGTTGCTAAAAGAGACTTGACATGCCCCATACCCTGGGTTTTCTACTTTTACAAATTATATGCCAGGATTGTTTAAAATTTCCTTCCAGCAAACCAATCTGGCAAATTTCAATGTGTAAAAACTGTAATGGGCACGCTCATTATATGACGCTACAACTCCCGTAAAACCTGTACATAGATCGCATTGTTGTACTCGTGGGACACCACAGCATACAAATATGTGCATTACATTGCAGTAAATGCCATTCACAGTTAAAGGAACACTATAGTCACCTAAATTACTTTAGCTAAATAAAGCAGTTTTAGTGTATAGATCATTCCCCTGCAATTTCACTGCTCAATTCACTGTCATTTAGGAGTTAAATCACTTTGTTTCTGTTTATGCAGCCCTAGCCACACCTCCCCTGGCTATGATTGACAGAGCCTGCATGAAAAAAAAACTGGTTTCACTTTCAAACAGATGTAATTTACCTTAAATAATTGTATCTCAATCTCTAAATTGAACTTTAATCACATACAGGAGGCTCTTGCAGGGTCTAGCAAGCTATTAATATATCAGGGGATAAGAAAATCTTAATTAAACAGAACTTGCAATAAAGAAAGCCTAAATAGAGCTCTCTTTACAGGAAGTGTTTATGGAAGGCTGTGCAAGTCACATGCAGGGAGGTGTGACTGGGGTTCATAAACAAAGGGATTTAACTCCTAAATGGCAGAGGATTGAGCAGTGAGGCTGCAGGGGCATGTTCTATACACCAAAACTGCTTCATTAAGCTAAAGTTGTTCAGGTGACTATAGTGTCCCTTTAAAATGCCATGCAGAACTTTTAAAAAACATTTCTTGCTTTCTCAAACCTTTTTAGATTGTATTCATATAAAATTACGTTTCATATATAAATATTTGATGTGTAATGAAAGCCCTGTTTCTCCTGAAGAAAATGATATATTATAAGTGTGGATGCACTGAATATAAAATAGGTGAATTATGATTGAGCAAACAAATAGCTCAATTTCTAGGTTTTGTTTTTGTCAGACCTTGGACAATTGCCTCCATCCTTAAGGGTTTAAATAAATAATTCAAAAACTTTTAGAATTCTCTATTGAGTCTTTGGTAACAGCACCTTTAACCCCTTAAGGACCAAACTTCTGGAATAAAAGGGAATCATGACATGTCAGACATGTCAGGTGTCCTTAAAGGATCACTATAGGGTCAGCAACACCCCCACGGTACTTAGAGAAGCAAAACTATTTTAATGTATTCTTTGATTTAATAAATGATATATATTTTTAACATATTCCAAGTCCTTCTTTATCCATTACTGGAATTGGCACCGCTAGCCTGAATTGGCACCCTTGAACCTGCTTTACAGCAAAAAGCCTGAAGGGAATGATTCTACTCACCAGAACAGATTCAATAAGCTGTAGTTGTTCTGGTGACTATAGTGTCCCTTTATGTTGAAGTTATAGTTTGCCTTCACCGTATATCTAGGTTTTAATCATTTGTTTAGCAAACAGACTAAAAGTGACTTTGTGTATTTACTGACCATTGGAATGTCCCAAATGTATCACTGCATTGTAGGGGTTCTGACACATGACACCAAGTCTCCCCGACTTCACATTCGTAGCTACGATTTCCTTCCCAATGGAGACATCCAAATATTGCAGGAATCCTGTTGCGCTCTAAAGAAACACATAATGTGTGGAAATCAGTTGGATAGACAAGAGTTTTGCAAGAAACCAGCAAGGTAGGAGGGAGTACAGAGGTGAGAGAGAAAAGACACAAATAGAAGTTAAGTAAAATGAGTTTCCATGACAGATATGAAGATCATTCCCCAGATATATTATCAGATAGGCTGGAGGCCAGTCGACACAGTTTGACTGTAGACTTACAGAACATATGAGCAGTCTATAGACTAGCTGTCAAATATAGGTAAACTCGTTTTTTTTATACAAGTTAGAATTTCTTTATGAAGTGCCAATTTAAAATAAATAATAAAAATGTATACAGCATTAAATTAAATATATTATTAGCAGTTACATAGCGTTAACTTAATCTGCTTGTGCTTTACAATTATAGAAAAGGAATATTTGAAGGTAAAGACGACCTTGGTCAAACAAGCTTACAATCTATGAGGATTTGACGTAGGGCTACATACCATCAGGTATATTGACTGAGGACATTTACTGATGTAAATTCTAACCTGGGTATCTGGGTTCTAAGGCAGTAATGCTCTATGTAAATGTTTAGCCATGCTATGACCAGCCAACATGTGTAACGGCTTGTTAGAGCATGCCAAAAAAAAAATTTGGTTAGACTTGAGCACAGCAAAAAAAAAAAAAAAAAATCTAGTTCATCCAAATCGATTTAGCAGAAGTGTTCTTGGTTCAGACGAACCAAGTTTCGATCGTGTGACAATTTGAATTGCATGAAATAAAAAAAAAAAAAGTGATAGTTTTTGGAAAAACTATTCTGACAAATCAGAATAGTGTGAAGAAAGGGAAATGTGACAGAATGAAAGATTAGAATGCTGCCAATAAAATGCACTAAGTCAGAAAATAAAGTGCAGTCCTATGGCTGGGTTGTAAATGATCCCATCATACTCATTGTAATATACTCACACTGGTCGCCAGCAAAAAGTGGTATCGCAGGAATTCCATACGCAGTACGTCATTAAACTTCTTTATACAGTGAAGTTCCATTCCAGTAGAATCGTAAATATGCAGCCAGCGCAGCTGAGCCACAGCGTACATGTTATGTGTGTGCAGCCACCTGCAGATAGAAAGAGACGAGTGTCTGTTACTAGAAAAAAATTGGCTGCAGGATAACTGGCGATTTCTAAATACAAAGGAAGGTTTCATCAGACGTGAGCGCACTGTGATTCTAATCAGGGTTATTTAATAAAGTGAGAATTCAAAGTTAATTTCACATTTAAGGACACATGGGCTAAGCAGAGAGCATAGCTAACTTTGAGAATTTTGCCTATTTTGACCTCAATTACACTTTGTATTCTCACTTTAGTGATTAACCCTATAATAAGGTTTCCCGGTTTAATCTGTTTGTTGCAATAAATTAGAAATCTGCTTACACTGTGCATAAAACATTGATGATTTGGCTTCTTCTCTTTTACAAATCTCATGTTTGTTGAATTTATTATGCAGAGACGTACTCGGTGTTACACAAGGTTTCCTTAATTACGCCACCTGACGTGCAATGTCTGAGCAGACATTTCCTGTTTATGGGTAATCCACTGCTTCTTCTGAAGAAGACAACTCACCTTACATCATTGATTGTCTCCATCACATTCATCTCACTGTTCAGGTTCTTAGACTGCCAGTCTATAGCCGCAACATGCCCTCTGTGACCAGCCAAGAGAAGCTTCCTAAGAAACAAGTAGAGAGAGGAGTGAATGAAAAAGAGAACCAGGGTCCAGAGTAACATTGACAGTATACTAGCAGAGTAATGGGGGGGGAGGGGAGAGAACATTGAGTGGGAACAAGTAGATGAGCATCCCTTAGCAACATAGTGAGACAGGAAACAGCGAAAATGCAAGATGGAGAGAGAACCAATGCATGGACAAACCTGAATGCAATCTTGGAGCAGAAGACAGAACAATTAAGACACAGAGTAGAAAGAGGCATGAAACAGGTAAAGGAAAGCAGGTAGAGAGACACATTTGGGCTATAATAAAGAAAGTCAGCAATCTGACAAGAAAGCATGAGATATAATAGAGAGAACTAAAGAACTCGGTCAAGTAGGGAATCAGGCACCTCAGACAACCCGAGAAACAAAACCCCTTAATGACACAAAAATAAAGCCTAAACACAAGGTCCATCGTACAAACTGGGACATGTACCTTCCGTTTCCTGAATAGTTGATTCTGTATGGGCCAAACTGATTGAGAACCAGTTTAAAATGCTGCAAAAGAAAAAAAAAATGAAGTGCACACCTGCATGAAAAAAAATGTTTAAAAATACAAAGAAATCACAGGATATAAGAGGCTGGAAAATAGAGAGTGGGGTTTAAAGGGACACTATAGCCACCAGAACCACTACAGCTTAATGTAGAGGTTCTGGTGTCTATAGCATGTTCCTGCAGTCTTAGCACTGTAAACACTTATAAAGACCCTTATGGAATGGAAAGGTAAGACAAGGTTGGGTATCTGGAAATCAGGTGCTTACCTTGGACCCACTAGTGATATCAACAGCTTCTGCAATGTCCTCCTGAGATATTGTACACGTGTCCTGCCCTTCATCCGCCTCAAGATACCTGAAAGCCATAGATTAAAGATAAGTGGTTTGCACTACGAGGGAATGCGAAGCAAACTATACGTTTGTGTCATTCAGAATACAGAAAAATACATTCACAGGTTGTTGGTTTTTTTAGATTTTCCTTAATGTAGGTGCTGGTCTAAGGTTTTCAGGTTCTGGTGCTGCAGTTCTTCCATATTGTACTGCAACCTGGGAGATGGTGCTGAACCAGTGGAAGAGTTGTGTCTCTTCTGAAAAAGTAGAATCCAGCACCCATTCCTTTATATAGTTTGTGAGATCCTGGCTCAGATGCCAATTACCCCAAACCCTGTGTATCAATTCATCTTGTGAACGCCTGGTTTAAGGGTGTCCTGGCTTGTCTTGTACGTCTTGGTTCTGGGGTTTGTTCAGTTCCCTTATAGTTTAGTTCCTTATTTATCTTTGTTCTTTCCCTGAATGGTTCTGGTTCTCTGTCTTCTTCACCGTCTAAGCTAGGACCAAGTAAATCCACAGTAGTACTACTAGGCCCCTGTTGCTAAAAACTGTTGCTGTGTATTTATAGCACCGCTCTGTTAGGAGAACCACTGTGTAATATAAAACCATGCATTCAAAACTACACCCCGAGTGGCATATCCTTTACTCAGAAGTATACCAACAAACATTGGTATAACGTTGTCACGCGGGGCACATCCACAGCTCGGGAGTGGGTGTACTAATGAACATTATACAATCTATCAGTATACTGCCAAACGTTGCACATCCTTTGTTCATGGGGTATGCATGGCATGTCCTGTGCTCTGGCGCTACTATACCACCATGTGGAATGTTGTGTACACATAGATGTCCTTGTGTTTGGGGTAGGTATTGCTTCTTGGCCACTGATTTCTAGAGAGAGTCCACCATCAAATAAGACTTATGGCTGTTCTTACCCTTCTTCCTCTGGCAGGAGTACATCATGTCTTGCTGACAGACCAACCGCTAGCTGTACCTTCTCTTCATGGGCTTTAAACTGCTGCTTAGCACGATACATATATGTTTTGTCCTAAAACAAAGCAGAGGATAATGTCACTGGATATATTAAACGACATTCATAGAGAGCAACAGACTGTCCCCCTGTGTGTGTAAAGCAAACTTTAATAACCATCCTTTCCAGTCCATGGGGAGATGACTGTGACCCCAACGAACTCAGGAGAGGAAGACATATCTACAACAACTAGTGGTGAAATGCTTAGAAAATGCATGTCGTAAAGCTTGAGCACATCATCTGCCACCTTGAAAGGGCTCTTACCAATGTTGTTTTTCTCGGTCGATCATATTTTGATAGTTGTTTTTTATGAATTGGAGCGGATCCAGGAAAGGGATCTGTTGCCTGCAATCAGACATTGAGGGTTAGTCATGTATTGTACAGGTTGGCCTTACCACCCTGATTCAGTAATACACACAGAGATCGGCAGTAAATGGCTGATGTTCTTACCCCTGATATTTGCTTATTATTTCGCGGTTTCTCGATTCTGTTTGAGTTTGTTTCATTGCGGTTTTCCAGATTATCTTCGAGTATTTTGTCGTTTTCAGGAGCAGCCTTGGAAGGCTCAGGCTCGTTTGTATTATCCTTCTCCTCATAATAACGCTTCATTTTCTGTAAGAAAGGAATACTAATTATCTGCTCATTTAGGGAAATCACACAGCTCTCTCCTAATGGGACAATCCAGGGAATCACATATTAGATGTAATCTGCAGTATACGTTCGTTTAGCTATGTTTAAGGGTTATTTTTGTAGAGAATTTATAAGGTGGTGTCTGAACCTCTTGCCAAATCTTGGCTCCGACATGAGAAAAAAAAATGTATCGACATGAAAAACCTCAGAAATCCTAGTGCAGCTTTTAATGGACACAGTAGGCACCAGATCCACTAGACCAGAGCTTAAAAGTAGAGATTCTAGGCAAAGAGACAGTTCCTGCAGGCTCCGAAATGAAAGCACTACCTCTTTTTTTTATATATAGTTTTTCTTCATAAAGCAACTCTTTTGCCTCCCAAAGTGCACAGTATCCTTTTCTGCTTCAATAATAGAGCTTACACATACACACACAAACAGTCATGGGAAAAAGAAAGTACACCCCATTTGAATCATATGGTTTTATAGATCAGGGCATTATCATCTGTTACTTAGCAGGTGTTAAAATTAGGTGCATACAGCTTTAGATTCTTCCCAACAACACATGACATATTACAAAGTGTCATGATTTTACAAACATAAAGCCATGTGTGAAAACTAAGTACACCCTTACTGCATCCATAGGAATTAAGAGGCTAAGTAGCAGACAGATGCTGCTAATCAAATGACCTTGATTGGTTGATCATTAGCAAGTGTATCTCTATAAATTTCCTGGTCTGGAGCATTTGTGTGTGTTAACACAATTCCAAGAATGAAAGACATCAGCAATGGTCAAACTGGTTAGGGGTTATAAGGCAATTTCCAAACAATTTAAAGTCCATCATTCTATGGTGAGAACGGTTATTCAAAAGTGGAAAATATTCAAGACAGTTGGCAAGCTTCATAGGACTGGATGTCCCTGCAAAACATGATCTGTCTGACGGCTTAAGCTTAGCATTATTGGGTCATGGAAGAGGACAATGTTCCCAAGCACACCAGCGAGTCTATAACAGAATGGCTGAAAAAGAAAAGAATCAAGATGTTGCAATGACCCAAAATCCAGACCTCAACACGATTGGAAAGCTGTGGTGGGAGTTGTGCATAAACAAATGCCAGCAAACCTCAATGACTGAAGCAACGTTGTAAAGAGTGGCCCCAAATTCCTCAACAAATGAAGTTTTGAAACTGCTTAATAAGCTTTACATCTTTATAAACACAGAGGCAGGGTTTTGTGCACTAGGTTAAATTCAATGGTTGGCAAAGGCGCAAACTGTGCAGGTTCCACTCTGGGGAAGAAAGGCTTTTCTTACTTGTGCATATTGTAGCTCAATAACGCACAAACAGGATGGATGGAACTGAAACCACAAAGGATGAAGTGCTTATTCTTTCACTATATCTTAGCTGGAGGAGGGAAGCGGTTAGCTGTGTTAACCCCTTAAGGACCAAACTTCTGGAATAAAAGGGAATCATGACGTCACACATGTCATGTGTCCTTAAGGGATTAAAGGACCACTATAGGCACCCAGACCACTTCAGCTCAACGAAGTGGCCTGGGTGCCAAGTCCCTCTAGGGTTAACGCTGCCTGCTGTAAACATAGCAGTTTCAGAGAAACTGCTATGTTTACATATAGGTCAATCCAGCCTCTAGTGGCTGTCTCATTAACAGCCGCTAGAGGCACTTCACGGTGAGAAGACGCCAGCGTCTATGGGAAAGCATTGAGAATGCTCTCCTATGAAACTGAATGATTGCGCGCGGCTCTTGCCGCGCATGTGCATTCAGCAGATTTAACCCCTTCTACCCCCTAGAGCCCGGCAGGAGGGGGACCTAGAGAAAACAATTGTTTTCCTGGCACTATAGTGATCCTTTAACCCCTTAAGGACCAATATTCTGGAATAAAAGGGAATCATGACATGTCACACATGTCCTGTGTCCTTGAGGGGTTAAAGGAGGAGACTATATTTAAAAGAAACTACCACAAGAGGACAAAGTCTTAAATTAGAGGGGCAAAGGTTTAAAAATAAAAGAATATCAGGAAGTATTACTTTACTGAGAGGGTAGTGGATGTATGGAATAACCTTCCAGCTAAAGTGGTAGAAGTTAACACAGTGAGGGAGTTTAAGCATGCGTGGGATAGGTATAATGTTATCCTAACTATAAGATAAGGCCAGGGCAGACTAGATGGCAGAATGCCGTCACATTCTAGGTTCCTATGTGTTGATTAGTAGAGTCACTTTCTGGTCTGGGCAAACTGAGCAAATTCAAATATGTATATTTTTGCATAATTACAACTTTCTATGTAATCTAAAAAACGTAATGTAAATGTCAGTCTCTCAAAATCCCTTCTAGTTCAGTGTTCCCTCGCGCATGTTTACAGGGATTCTGACAAATGAAGTGCTAGGAGCTGAAGAGTATCAGGAGAAAGATGACAGCAGCTTAGGGACAGTTTAAGGCAAGTAAAACCTTCATTCCCCTGCACCCACACCAGATATTACTTTTGGGGATCTTTGCGAAAAATGTAAAGTGCCAGATCCACTTTTAATGCTCACAGCAGAAGGGAGCTTTATACACAAAACAAGCAAGTGTAGAGGTTAAAAAATATATATATATTTACATGCAACATTCTTAAATCAAATCTAGTAAAACACACATATATATATTCCCTTTAGAGACTGGCAGGCTTAATAATTATAGTGTGAATTTCAATAGCCAGGAAGGAAACTTTGCCAGGTCAGTGATGTTTCTAGACATGGCTATTGTAACCAATAGCTTGCTACAATGTCCTACTGCTTCCCATGGGAGACAAACATCCCAGCAAGTGATACACACTTTCTATGAATTGTTAGTGACCTGGTAAACAGTAACACAACACAAGCTGGGCCATAAAGACTCCCCAGGCAAAGCTGCCTTGTATCCCATAACAGCCATTACCAAATATTAAGCACTAATTCCTGGAGCTGTATATGTGAAATACTGGGGGAGAGCCCATTATCCCACCATTAAGGGCCAGCAGCCCATACAGATATAGAATTAGAGGCTGGAGCCCGCACCCAGACCTATAACCAGCTGCTAAGGCCAGCAGTTACAGGAGTCTGATCCCCCCACGTGTCTAACCTTCTTTTGGGGCTTGCTGGTCGCCATGCTGGATGTAATCATGTTACCGGAAATTGTCAATAAAGTTTTACCCACCTAGTATAGGCAGTGTACGTGAACAATAAAGCGGAAACACGTGTCGGCCATCTTGTGTGAGGGCAACCAGCACCTGACCTGCCGGCCGCCATCATTACTGAGGGAAATTTGCAGCAGCCCTCCCTGTTATTATAGATTCTAATCATGGGCAGGAGCGCTGTCAGACCTCAGTACTCTCACCTACTAGGGGGTGTAATCCTCATAGATTTACACAATACTGATTTTCAAAAAAATCATTATATATATAAAAAAAACAACCACTGATGCTTAGGCAAATGTTTGTAGAGTCCTATTTAATAAATAACTGAAAAATTAGTAAATACAATTGTAGGACTAGATTACTGATTTAAAGGGACACTATAGGCACCAAAACAACTTTAACTTAATAAAGCAATGTTGGTGTATCACACCCCTGTAGTCTAACAGCTACATTCTCTGCAAATTAGGAGTTAAAGGAACACTATAGTCACCTAAATTACTTTAGCTAAATAACACAGTTTTAGTGTATAGATCTTTCCCCTGCAATTTCACTGCTCAATTCACTGTCATTTAGGAGTTAAATCACTTTGTTTCTGTTTATGCAGCCCTAGCCACACCTCCCCTGGCTATGATTGACAGAGCCTGCATGAAAAAACAAACTGGTTTCACTTTCAAACAGATGTAATTTACCTTAAATAATTGTATCTCAATCTCTAAATTGAACTTTAATCACATACAGGAGGCTCTTGCAGGGTCTAGCAAGCTATTAACATGGCAGGGGATAAGAAAATCTTAATTAAACAGAACTTGCAATAAAGAAAGCCTAAATAGGGCTCTCTTTACAGGAAGTGTTTATGGAAGGCTGTGCAAGTCACATGCAGGGAGGTGTGACTAGGGTTCATAAACAAAGGGATTTAACTCCTAAATGGCAGACGATTGAGCAGTGAGGCTGCAGGGGCATGTTCTATACACCAAAACTGCTTCATTAAGCTAAAGTTGTTCAGGTGACTATAGTGTCCCTTTAAATTACTTTACATACGCGGCAACAAAGCTGTCTCATGAGCTGTCCCCCTCTTATAATATTGTAAAGCGCTACGGAATGTGTTGGCGCTATATAAATGGCGATACTAATAATAATATAGACAAACAGATATAGAAGTAGACTAAAACAAAATGACAAACATTTACACACACCGCTGGGTATTGGGGGGATATGCTCAGAGCCTGCAAATATCCGTTCTTTTTTTAAACAAAATTTTACAGTTTAGCTGCTACACTGGATCCAAGCCTTGGGACTTATAAAATAAAGCTTTCATCTTTAACCGGAACAGAACCTGTGTATTCAACAATTGTGGTGTAAATGGTGCCGAAAACATAGTTACATACGATAATTGCTTTAACTGCTGTCATATACTGGGTATATACGCCTCACTGTGTTGAATAAACGTAGTATTCAGATAACGAATGGCATTGTCTGGTGCCTTAGGTATGGGTTTGTTTAGAAATATCTCTAACTTGTTAAAAGCCTCCCCCCATAATTCCTTTACCATTTCACGATCCCACCTAATGTGTACAAAAGATCCAAGATACTTATTACATCTCCAACATACAGCGGAGTAAATGCTATACATTTTAGGCAGCCTAGACAGCCCTAAACACCATCTATTCATTACTCTGAATAAGACCTTGACTAAATGTAAACAATAAATATATTCACACGCATTAGGAAGAACAGAGCTGCATTCCTGTCAAAGTCTGTCTTTAAATCTTTTATCCATTATTCAAATACCGGTCTGGTCCTTGGAGCTTTTATTTCCAGCATTTTTCCTCTAAATTTTGAGGCTTCTTTGACTTGTTCGTTGTTAAACAATGAGTATGTCGGTCTCCATTTGTGTTAGGAAATTCATTATTCTAATATGTATCCAGTTCTGTATTACGTAAATTACATTCTTGAACTATTTGTAAGAATGGCTTTGGTTTCATTGCTCCACTCGCATAACTTTTTGAATCTATTTGTTTAGTGAACAATATTTCTCCAGGAACGTATCTGTTCCAGCGTTCAAATAGAGAATCTAAAAAGCACACTAGATTTTTATCAAGGGGGTCAGTTCTCCTGAAGCATAGGCGTGTATGTAACTCCACAGCTCTCCCTTTCCAAATAGTACCAACTTTCTTCTCTGGTGACTTTTTGTTAAATTGGATGTGAAAAAGAGTAAATTGGAGAAATATGCAAACTCTGTCTTGAGAAAACCTAGACTCCCCCTTACTAACTTTGTGCACACAGGTAAGTAAAACATTTACTGAATAATCATTTGAATACATTTTGCATCTATTTGGCATATTAGTCTAACACCCCTATGGCTAGGTCAGCCTCCAGGCATAAAATGTGGCCTCCTATGAGGCTCTAGAGCAGGGATAGGCAACCTTTGGCACTGCAGATGTTTTGGACTACACTTCCCATGATGCTTTGCCAACATTATGGCTGTAAGAGCATTGGAGGAGATGTAGTCCACAACACCTAGAGTGCCAAATGTTGCCTATCCCTGCTCTAGAGCCTCATAGGCCACATTTTATGCCTGGAGACTGACCTATTCATAGGACTGTTAGGTTGTTTAGCGGTGGTTGAGTTGATATTTTTGCTCAAACATGCCATTTTCTGATCAACTGCAAGGTGATGACCACACAGTCATTTCCAGGCACTTGAAGGGAGATTAGAGGATTCGGTTCTAAAACAAGTGCTCCAAGAGAATGGAACACACCACTGGACTACTTTTTATGGGTTTACAAGTTTTAGAACTAGTCACTGATAAATCTCACTCCCTCACATATAGGTTTTGTTATAAAACTTACCTTTGATCCAGCTTTCTGTACCATTTAAAACCCTATCAATAAAAATTTTAGTTATCACCATGAAAATGCCTTGTACATTCTTGCAGCAACTTTATTTACAGCCCCATTTAACCAGTCATGTCGGAGTATTACAATATAGTACTTATGCCAGTGTTGAAATTTCATTGAAATAGAGTGCAATCCAAGACACCATACAAATCACTTGTATTATTTTGTCTTATGGAAAAGCCTGAGAATGACAAAAGTCAGAGCTCCACTGTCAATGTTTGTCCAGTCCCAGCAACCATCACAAGTCCCACCTGTAGGAGGCCATTTATGGAGACTCAAACAGGATCCTCCACTTCTCAGTATCGTACAGCACTGATGGAGATCTTGGTAGTTGAAGCACCAGGAGCTCAATAGCATCCCTCAGAAGAAATTGGCTATGTAGGCTGCAAGCAGGTTTACCCACTTTTCACTCCAGGCACATGACCTTAAGTAGATATGTCCCCTTTGGGAGTCTTAAAAATATGCAAACCCACATTAAAGTGACAAATCTGCTTTGAGAAATAATGTCATGTTCTTTAACAAAATACAGAACTGTATAGAACTGAAAATAAATTCTATATTAGCACACAGTCTTTATGGCCAAGACTGGGATCCTTAAGGTGGATAAACCCAAACTGAAAAATTCTTCACATAAAAAAAAAAAAAAACTCAGCACTGTCACCATCTGGGGACTTAAATTTACAAAGTTGTACCAAGAAAAATCAAGCAGAGATGAAATACAGAGACAAAATGAGTTCCTTCTTTGTCTATATCTCTTGACTGGGCTGGTAATACAGTGTAACTACAACAGCTATGACTAGAATTACAGATTTTATCTTTATGAAATATTTATTTTATGGACTCAATAAAAAGTTAATTAACGCATTAACTACCAATACAGTATTCATAATCTACACCGTATACAATACAGTGCCTACTTGAATGGTACTGTAAGTGCACCCTCTGCCATTCTACTGTATTTATATAGTACTAGTAGTATATACTAGTCACTTCTCAGTACAGCACTGATTTTAGTCACATGGCTAACAGATGGATTTCCTAGGAGAGTATATTAAAGGGAAACAATAGTGCCAGGAAAAGTTGTTTCCTGGCACTACAGCACCATATAGTGCCCCTATCTGCGTCATCACTGAACATGAATATTAGTGTTTCAAAACTGTCACTGCAATGATAGTCACTGAAAGTGCAGTTTGTGTGACAAGTTAAAAAATAAAACCAAGCACTTTAATCTTTGACACATTTTATGTTTTTGAAACAATACTCATTTTTAGCAAAGTCTTTAGTAACTGTGCCCCCCATGTACAGGTTTTATGGTGTCTTGGAAAGTTACAGGGTTAAATATAGCACTTCCAAATTATGTTTTCTGGACTTTCTGCCTGGTTTGTCAGACATTTCCTTGAAATTATATTTAAATTGAAACTATATGGTCCAAGCTCAAGTCCCTCTACATTGACTCAGGTCCACCTAATGACCTGAAGTCCCTCTAATGGCTGTGGAGTTAACCCAAGCAAGTAATTATTGCAGTTTCCTAAAAACTGCAATAACTACCATTGCCAAATTAAGTGACCTGGGACACTGCACCCAGACCACTTTAATGGGTGGAAGTGGTCTGGGTGCCTATAGTGTACCTTTAAGTTACAAATTACGTTTGTATTTAATAACCATGCCCCCAGATTGCACAAGACATTTGAGACCAGCTTTCTTTTATACAGAGTTTTATTGACAAATAACTGAGCCAAACAGGTTACTTCTTCTTGGACACACCCACTGTGCGTCCACGACGGCCGGTGGTCTTTGTGTGCTGACCTCTGACACGCAGGCTGTAACAGAAAGCCATAACAAGGTTATTCAAAAGATGTCAAAAAGCATGAAATGGATAAATGTACAAAGTAAATATGTAAATGCAGTGATTGCTTTCCAAACACCCCAAATAACCTGGCGGTATGGGAAACATTGTTTAGCTCTAAACATTCTTAAACTTTTAAAACTGCTATTTTCAACCAAATTGATCTACAAGCAACAATTAACCTCCCTGGCAGTCTGATTATGTCAGTATTTAACACTAAAGTGGTACATTGTTTTTACAATGTTTTGTGTGTGTGTTTTTTTATTATTTTTTATTTATTTATTTTACACACACGCACACCAGGGGCTCGTAGGGACAAGGTAAGTGATACTACAGTGTAAGCCCAAGTATAGCTCAGGGTTGCCGCTTTTGGTAGTGAAAATTAAACCTTAGGATTACAGCCAGGGAGGTTAATAAATCTTCAAGCACCTTGAGTCACAAGCAGTTTCAGGGTTATTCCCTAAACTACTGATTGCAAAGAATTTAAATCAGATTTAAACATTGAGGCCAAACTATCTATGCTTTGAGAATTTACAGATCAGCATCTGTCTAGTTGCTCCCAAATTTAAATACATTGCAGTTCGTCTAGTTTATCCACAGAAGTGATAGATCAACATTTCAGGCGGGGATATTTAAATACACAGGAGTTTAATAGGGGCTCAGAGTACCATTACGTTGAGCAACATCTAGACCCCCTGAGCAGTATCTAGATCTGAAAAGAATTGGATTACACACAATGTTTGGCATCTTTACAGTGTAGTTTTTAAATGCAAGGCTATCCCCACAAATCACTTAATTTAGATGAAGTGATGTTGGTGCTTAGATTGGCTTATCTGCGCACTCAAAACACTAATGCCAGTGTTCGCTCCCATACAAGACAGGACAATGTTGCAGTTACAAAAGTTACTCCATTAATAGCCATGCAAATAGGTCCTCAAGTCACAATAGTTGTCACTGCAGAACTTTGAGCTACAGTGACCATGAAGCTCCCCCAACCTTTGTAATTGGGGATGTTTATACCATCTATATCTGACAGCATATTAGTATACAGTCTACCATATGGTGCCCCTGTTCTAGCTGCTCCTGCCATGAAAGTAATATATAAAATGTTCTGGACTTTCTTGGCCGCAGACTCTTGTTTGCAAGAAACATGGCCGCATTTCTAGAAACTGATACTCAAAGTTAAAGAGTTACTCCAACAGCCTGCAGTGGAGTACCATGACCCAGCAATATCTTTACATCTTATATTCCCACTGATGAGAATACCATGGAGGCAGCTTAATTATACCCAGTCAAATGCCAATTCTGCCACTCAGTTAATAAATGACTATTCAAGACTGGCTAATTACTTATGGACACTGCTAGATGTGGATTTACATCTCTCTATGTGCAGCCATTCAATTGAAACACTGAACATACAGACTTCAATCATAATGACCACTGAAGTGATTATGGTGCCTGGAGACCAAAAGCAATCATGGGCACAAAATTTCTAAAACCAATGTCATTTTAAAGCCCCATCCTCAAATTCGTGGTCTACCTTCCACATACCAAATCCAAGATATGCAGAGTAGCAGAAGTTTTTCATTTTTGAAAAGAAGTAACTAAGCTTGTTAACACAGTTGGCAGGTACACTGAGAAAGGACCAACCTGGCCAATTTGAAACTCAATGTACAACATTTCACGGATTGTCTGGATCACTCCAGTTTGTATAAAAATAATTTGCGTGTGTAGCCATATTCCATATTTGTCAAGCAAAAAAAGTTTACACTGCTTTCAAGTTAAGATTTGTTTATACAATTCAGAGTTTCTGTATGGTTTTAGTTTATTGCTGGATATATAATATTGCCCTCACCAATTCTCCAACCATACCAAAGTTCCCACGCTACCTGTTGACAGACTGACGATTATAGTTTTATTTGTAAAATAACCTCGGCAGCAATGAAGAGGATATCCTGCCTAGAGTGTGTGCTGTTCTAGTCTTACGTCAAATACTTTAGGTGCAGTTTGACAAACTATACTCCACATCAAAGAGGACCCACATTTACGAACACAGATAATGCCTAAAACTTACTCTTCCACCAAGTTTCTCAGCTAATCCCTGCTGATTGTATTGGACAAAACACTGATACTGCTAATAAAGTACTAATTCCACATTATAGCAGTCTACTGGAGGACAAGGCAATGTCATGGAAAATACCAGTTTTACTATTTTATTCCTCAAGCTGCATTTACCGTTCCTTTACAACACTAGTTTTCACATAGAGACATGTAGACAACCACAATTAAGCAACACTAGAAACGCTTACGGCAGAAACTCAAGCAATATGTAAGTCTGCTGGTGCTTGAAGACGTTTTGTTTAAACACCCCAAGTCTGGAATCATAGTATAAACCAGTGGGGCAATATTCACCAGGCAAAGCACACTCCATTAACGCCTGCCTGGTAATTTCAGTTCTAAGCTGCATGTAGGATGCTACCACAAGAACACTTACCCCCAGAAGTGACGCAGCCCTCTGTGAGCCTTGATCTTTTTGAGCCTCTCAAGATCTTCACGGAGTTTGTTATCGAGACCGTTAGCCAGGACCTGTGTCACAAAAATGAAGCAACTGAGTAATCTATTCACAATATTGCCTACTCCTTGACATTAGCAGCATCCCACCCAACTTCCCTTATCACTTTCATACCTGGCTGTATTTTCCATCCTTAATGTCTTTTTGTCTGTTCAAGAACCAGTCTGGAATTTTGTACTGACGAGGGTTTTGCATAATAGTGACAACACGTTCAACCTGAAGAGGAGAAAATGTGAGGGAAAAATGAATACACAAACACATTAACAGAGTTTATAATAACATTACAAAAATCCAGGATGAGAGTATTTATACAATGAGCACATAGCATGAGAAAATTAACTTTAAAGCTACCATAATATAAATACTACAATGTATACCTAGTATTTGTAAATTTCATCACCAAGATGTTTTCAGCACTAGAAAATGCATACTGTAATAACTTTACAATGGCACAAACTATTAAACCACTAGTTGTATGATCAACAGATGTGAGCAATGTTCAGTGTATTCAATACAAAGTCACTATTTTATGAGCTCACCTCATCCTCTGTCAGTTCTCCTGCACGCTTTGACAAATCGATATCAGCCTTACGAAGAACCACATGAGCGTAACGACGTCCAACACCCTGAAAGATGGAGAAAACAGTTTATTTAAAGTTGGAAAAAGATTTCATGAGATAGAAACCCCTAACTCAGTGTCTGAGTGTTCCTGCACTCCCTCTAGAGAAAGTGTAGATTGAAGTAAATAAAACTGTTTAATTGAGGTCTTCATATGACACTGATGTAGGTTTTTCTGACTATACAGCACATTTAATAGTGACAAAACAAATCCAGCAAATATAAACAAATGGTGAATGTCCTATTCATTTAGCCAGAACTACAGTAATAGTGAGCCATACATATTCTGGCACATAAGGTCGGTCATGTCTGATGAGAACTGCACTTTAGGACTCAGCCCTCAAATACAAACTAGGTCTATAGAATGGAAACCTAGTGTGCCCTGCCAAGTACTCATGCCGCTAGGTTATAACATGAATGGAAGTCACCACTATTCTTAATATGAAGTCACTAAAGAATGGACAGCGGTCAGAAAACGAGTACTATACAAGACAAACACTACTAGAGGCCTTCTTACAGTTCGTAATTACCTTAATAGCAGTTATTGCAAACGCAATCTTCCTGCGTCCATCGATGTTGGTGTTCAGGACACGCAAAATGTGCTGGAACTTCTCGGGGATTACGAGAGACTAGAAAGAATAAAATACAAGAGTTATATAAATGTAAAGAATAGATGAAACAAAGCAATAGAGCTGCACACAGGCACCCGAACAGAACACCCCAGACAGTAACTAGAACAGTGTCTACCTTAAATATTGCACCCAGCAAGCCCAGGCCTTCCAGCCCCACACACCACCCAGCAAGCCCAAGCCTTCCAGCCCCTCACACCACCCAGCAAGCCCAGGCCTTCCAGCCCCTCACACCACCCAGCAAGCCCAGGCCTTCCAGCCCCTCACACCACCCAGCAAGCCCAGGCCTTCCAGCCCCTCACACCACCCAGCAAGCCCAGGCCTTCCAGCCCCTCACACCACCCAGCAAGCCCAGGCCTTCCAGCCCCACACACCACCCAGCAAGCCCAGGCCTTCCCATGACCATTAGCCCAGGCTGGATATAGTTATAGTACATTGCCAGCTGCTGAGAGTCAATGCTGCCATGGACAGAGCCATTTTAGCAGCAGTTTCAGAGCCCCTTACTGGCCAGCCACCCATTATAACGGCCATAGAGAGACAGGCCTGGTATAATGTTACTAATGGCACCCGAGCCGTCAGCCCCCCAGTCAGACTACCTGACCCGGCATTACTTTATTCCAAGCCCCATCACAAATATCGCCCTCTATGGCTTCCACAGACCGTCCGTGACCCGGGCCAGGCCCGAGCTGGGCTCCGGTGACATTCCTGGGCTCGGATGGAATCGGATTCTAACAATCCCCATCTACCGCAATGTAAACCCTCACCATGGCGGCTGCGGCCCTTAGGAGAGAGAGGAAAAAGGAAGTGACGTTCGCAATATTTATAGAATGCCCGCCTATGAGACAACGTCACTTCCTCTGACCCCGTCCGTAGTGATTGCCGGGAGATGTAGTTCTGCGCTGAACCCGGAAGTGGAGTCGAAGCACAGTCACAGATTGCTCTATCAGCTGGAGAGATGGCTGAGGTGAGACGGCACGGGGGGCACTACTCCCACCCCCCACTGTTACCCCATTAACAACCTTCCCCAAACACTCTCTGCATCAGATTAACAGCCGCACAATGGGCACAGCCTGGATCTAGCAATCATTGTAATGGTCACCTGTTATCAAAACATAATGCAATGAGCAACCCCCCAACACTGAGCCCCCAACACTGGGCTGCCCACAGTGAGCCCCCACACTGAGTCCCACACTGGGCCCCCCACTGCCCAGCTGCCCTCACTGGGCCCCACTGCCCTCACTGAGCCCCCACTGGGCCCACTGCCCTCACTGAGCCCCCCTGCCCCACACTGAGCCCCACTGCCCACACTGAGCCCCCCACTGCCCACACTGAGCCCCCCCACTGCCCTCACTGGGCCCCCACTGCCCACACTGAGCCCCCCACTGCCCGCACTTAACCCCCACTGCCCACACCGATCCTCCCACTGCCCCATTTTATATATAATTAATTTAACCCTATGCACCTCCTTTATAATAACTGACAATCTATCTCCCTTCTCACACTTTATATACAGTGATAGTCTAACCCCTTGTCCCCACTTCATATACAGTGACAGTCTAACTCCTTGCCCCCACTTTATAAACAGCAACACTCTAATCCCCATGCACCCCTTTATATAGAGCACCACTCTTATTTCCTGCAAGCCCTTAATATAGAGTGACACGCTAATTCACTACAATTGCTTTATTTTAAGTGTATCACTAATCCCTGCACCAACTTTATATACAGTGATTTTCTAATCTGCTGAATGCCATCAATGTAGATTGAGGTTATAAAACTCTGCACTCTCTTTATAGATTAACATTCTAATCTCACACATTCCCTATATTTAGCTGGCATTTGCATTCACTACACTCTGTTTATACAAGGCAATTCTCATTCTCACTGCTTGCATGCAGGTGATATTTGCAATTTGTATGGCTCCAGAGATGCTGAATTCTTTGTAAACCAGCGTGATACATACCGTGCAAACCAAATGATAAAAGGTCTCCTCATTACATCAAGAATCATTAAATGTGATATGAGGCCATGCTGTGGTTATTTATAAAATATACGTGTGTATGTATTTTACATAGAACTCACTGTGTCTATTGTGTATTATATAAATCCATGGGTAGACAGAACTACTGCTATACTGCTGGCTCTTGACAAAGCAGAAAGCCTATTGCAACATATGGAGAAAACAACTTTGATTAGATATTACACCCTGAAATGTGCCTGTGTCCCATATCCAATGGTTAAGGTAACATCCCCAGGACGTACTTGAAAACCAGAGTAATCTGAATGTACATTTCCTGGTTAAATACTTTGTTATTATTAGTTCCTGAATTGAATAATGAAGTTGTATAACACATACTGTATTTACTGCAGATGGAGGATATCAACTTGAACCTCGGAGAGCTTGATCTGACCTCTGATGATCTCACCATGGACAATGTCAGCAGTTAGTATCTCTCCTTGTCCGTCATATTCCTCCTCCTATTGCTTTCTTTTTGGCCTTGATTTAGCTGGATGTCTGTTAGTTCACTATTTATGAGCAAAAGGGTGTAGTTCTTTTTTTGTTTATGTTTGTTTCTTCTCTTATAGCTCATTTTTTCTTATCTATTTGTTTAATGCATTCTCCCTCTCTCTATATTCAGTTCACATTCAGGAAAATCTAGAAGACGCTCTTGTCCAAGAAGCCCTTAAAGCTGTGAGTAACAGATATTACACTGTGAACATGTGATGTGCACAAATACCAAAATCATTCAAGAAGAACACGGTAGCCAACACCATGTGAAATGTCAAGCCTAGTACACGCTTGTTGTGATACAGTTTCCGTCCAAGATGGGATAGAGTTTAAAGGCAATAAAGAGAGCTTCATAAATTGTTGGGTTGGACATGGGTGGCTTAGCTCGGTGTTGACTAATCCATTCTACAAGCTCCTTCTTGAGGTCTTTCACTTCTAGTACTTATTGTTTTTGTTCCCCTCTTAGGGTGTAGATCTCAGACAGTACTCAAAACAGGTGGAGATGGAGCTAGAGCAGATTGAACACGTCTCGATCAAAGACTGTATCCTTCACAAACCCACTGGTTTGTTTGTTTTCTCCTTTATGTTGGGTTTGTTTTAGCTAAGCAGACCACCAAGTCAGATTATCTACCAGATATCTTTGTTTTCCTCAACCTGTGATAGATATAGAGCAGAGTCAGAACATTGCATCTCTCCATAACCAGATCATAGCATGTGATGCTATTCTTGAGGTGAGATATGTTACATGTGTCTACAATGCTTTACTTTATTAAGCTGGGCATCTTACAATTGCCAATTCTGTTTCCATCCATTCCTAGAGATGCCCCTTTCCTAGTTTGTTCTTACGCTACTTAGTATCTGTGTTATGTTTTATCAGTGTCTTCTCCTGACGTTGCATGCCCTGTGCTGTATATTTTGACACCTTTCTTGATTTTTCACTGATACTGGTCTTCCTATCCACTTGCCCTGAGTAGTGTCTTCCTTTCTTTCCTGTTTTGGACACACTATCTCTATTTATTTTACAGAGAATGGGTCTCATGCTTGGTGGGTTTCAGTCGGATCTCAGCTCAATCAGCTCAGAGATTCACACGTTACAGGAAATGTCACTGGCTATGAACATTAAACTGAAGAATAGGCAGACTGTGAGAAGTGAGCTAAGTGAGCTAGTGGATGAGCTTATCATACCAAATACAATGATCAGGTGAAGTGATTTCTAGGATCTTATTAAGATAAGCTTGTCGTTCAGAGTTAAGAATGTCCACATGTCTTGTAACACGCCTCTCACTCTTGGCTTTCTAGTGTAGTTTTGGATGTCCCAGTTACGGATCAGCAGTTTGTGGAGCAACTGCAGGAACTAAACAACAAGATTAATTATGTGAAAGAACAATCATTCAGAGACACAAAGGCATGCGCTGATGTGCAAGAGACACTGCAGAAGCTGAAGATTAAGGTGTGTTAATCCTCAATGAAGACTACTATTTATTTTCGTGTTTCCTCTAAAAGTTGCATAAACTAAGTTAATGGGCTAACGGTCTTTTATAAACAGGAATTTATACACTGTTGTTTGATTCCTTGCCTCTCTCAATTCTCCTCCGCCAAAACTCAAGAGCTGACTTTATATTAGTTTGTGTATGGATTTATTTAATTTTGTTTGGTTTTACCACCCTCCTCCAAATCTTTATTGTAGGCAGTTTCTAAAGTTCGTGAGTTCATCCTGCAGAAAATCTACTCCTTCCGTAAACCCATGACCAATTATCAGATACCTCAAAATGCACTTCTCAAATACAGGTCAGTTCATTGTATTACTTAGATTCCCCTACTTACAGATACCCCGGGTACGTTCGTCATATCTCTCAGAATTCATTTCACACATAAGGTTTGGGGTCCATTCATTGCGTCTCCCATAAGTCGCCTGTCACATACAGGTCATGTATTTTCATCATATCTCCCAGCATGCACCCTCTCTATCACTTACCCATGATGTACTGGTGTGCAGCTGTATATTGCATCCCCATAATGCAGTGCTCACTTACCATCCTGTCTTATCACTTTCACGTCTGTTTCATATGATCTCATCCCATCACCCTCTCCACCCACTAACACCTTGCTCTTTGATTACTGGGTTTTTAGGTTCTTCTATCAGTTTCTTCTGGCAAATGAGCGGTCAGTGGCACAAGAAATCCAGGATGAATATGTGGAGACCATGAGCAAAGTCTACTTGTCTTATTTCAAATCTTACACCAGCCGACTGATGAAAGTACAGGTGAGGAGGCTGTGAGCGGGACACAAGGGATTTCTATATGATGGAGGATGACATGCATCAAACTCTATTAATTACCCGGTATCCCTATCCTCTAGTCTAATTTCTGTCTCTGATCTCTCATGTTTTCCTCCTTATCCTTCCCCCTTTCTGTTACCTATTAACTCTCGCATGTTCTATTTTCTTTCAGTATGAGGAAGTTGCAGAGAAAGATGATCTGATGGGCATTGAAGACACAGCCAAAAAGAATATCCTTTACATATAAATATATATTGCTAAACAAATACCTGCTTTGAGAACAAAGGCATTTTAGTTACTGTGGACTGCAGTTTCTGTGATGCACCATGGTAGATGGAGTTTACCCAGTATCCCACGATCATTCACTAGTGGCTGCTGCTGTATTGAATGCTCACTTTAACCATATCATACGTATGGCAATGTTTGAGTGTACACTTGAATAATAAGGCAAATTTAGGTATAATTTTGCTGTCATTAGGGTGGTCTTTGCTTTTATTTATTTTCTCAAAAACCTACTAAGGTGACATGTCTGCTTGCATGGTGATATACTCCCCCCCGGCACCATCACCTTCCATTTTGGCGCTTGATAGAAACTGTGCCACTAGTGTACATTAATGCCACAAGAATGGAAGAGACCATGGGATCCTGATAAGATCTTCTCACACATGCACCATAAGATGCTGGCAGCCATTAATGAGGGCTAATTGTGCCATTTGAAAGCTGTTTGAAGCTGTGCCTTTTGCCAAAAGTTGAGTCCATAATGCAATATATTCTCCCCCTTTTTTTTAATGTTGGAATTTAATTGACGTTTCTCCTTAACATCCACACGCTTCTTCTCAAAGCCAGCTTTGCGTAGCAAGAACACAGTGTTTACAGTTGGTAACAGAGCTGCTATTATCAGTCCCACTGAACTCGAGGGGCCTATCATTGTGCCTCACACTGCCCAGAGGAGTGACATCAGGGTGAGAATTTTATGGGACAAGGGAGGGCAACAACAGTTTATTTGAGTTGTATAGCAATGCATAGTTCAAAAACTTTGTTCTCAATACAAATGTGATCTGTTTAATAATATGAGTGTGAGGGGCATTATAACTGCAGAAGGTGAGTGTGAGTGCTGTTAAATAGCATTCTTTAAATGGATGACTGCGAACTCCACCCAGCCTCTTTACATGCTCACACAATTTCCTGTTTATCCCCTTGAGGACACATTACATGTGTGACATGTCATGATTCCTTTTTATTCCAGAAGTTTGGTCCTTAAGGGGTTAAACTCTGCATTTGTATTCTTGTCTTTGTATCCCTCTAGTATCCCTTTGAGTCTCTGTTCCGCAGCCAGCACTATGCTCTGCTTGATAACAGCTGCCGCGAGTTCCTCTTCCTGTCAGATTTCTTTCTGGTGAGCGGGTCAGCAGCTCAAGAACTCTTTAATTCCGTCATGGGAAGGAGTCTGACCATGTTCCTGGTGAGTGATCACTGATCAATACAAATATATGAACATTGTCCCAATACACAGCTGTGATCTATATTACACTACTTTAGGGGTAGACCCTGATAAATAATGCTGATCATCCAATACACAGATGTGATCTATATTACACTACTTTAGGGGTAGACCCTGATAAATCATGGTGCTCATCCAATACAGACATGGACATGTTGGCTATTTTTTGGCAGAACGTGCCAGTGATTTAGTGTTCCTCTCTCTCCTACAGAAACACATGGACTCCTATGTTTCGGATTGCTATGACAGCATTGCAATATTCTTGTGCATTCACATTGTACTGAGGTTCAAAGGCATCGCCCAGCGAAGGGACATCCCGGCTGTGGACAAGTGAGACACTAACTGAGATATAATTTAGTACACACACTATGTCACTGTGATACTCTGATTTCTGTTAGATGCTTTTATGGCTGTGTAATATTTCTCCTATTCTGAGACACTGCACGTTGTATACTATTGTAAATCTGCTTCCTTAAAGTAATTGACTTTATCTGCCACGTGGTCCTGGAAGCCCCCCATTACTGTATCTCTCTCATATGGTCCTGGCAGCCCCCCATTACTCTATATCTGTCACAGGGTCTTGGGAGTCTCTTATTCCTGCTATTTTGTCTGTCACACAGGTACTGGGATGCCGTCTTAGACATGCTGTGGCCCAGATTCCAACATATTCTTGAGTTGAATATTCAGAGCATCCGGAACACTGACCCTCAGAAGCTGGGAAATCTTGACACAAGGCCACACTATGTAAAATATATTTCCCCACCTACAAAGTTTTCTTGTGTAAAAAATAAATAAATTATAGACTATATTTCACGTCACAAAGTAAGAAAACATTCTCCTATACAGAAAAAGTGCAGTCGTAAAATACAGGCATGAATCTTTTCTGTTTTAATAAGCCACGTTTAAAAAAAAAAAAAAAAAATGGTCTTCAATGTAAATTGGCACCATCACGGTTTTTCTTTAAAGAGACACTCCAGGCACTACTCCCACTACCCATAACCCTGCAAGTGTAATTATTGCAGTTTTTTATAAACTGCAATAATTACCTTGCAGGGTGGCACTTCCTGCTTCATTGCACAGAAACCCTGTGCTAGAGCGTTGCTGGACATCCTCACGCTGTGTGAGGACCTCCAGCGCCGCTCAATTCCCCATAGGAAAGCATTGCCGCGCGGCGGGCGTAATGAAGAGGAGCAGCGGCGGCAACCTGAAACTACCGCCGAGGGACATCGGCGGGGGTCTCAGGTAAGTGACTGAAGGGGTTTTCACCCCTTCAGCAACCGGGGATTGGGAGGTGGGAGGGAGAGGGGACCTGCAGTGCCAGGAAGACGGATTGTTTTCCAGGCACTGGAGAGTCCCTTTAAGTAGGGAATTATGGAAAAGGTACAAGTCAATTGCAAGTGTCAGACAAAAGTAATCAGATTGGAAAATAACGAATATCCAGCTCTGCTAGTTTGGGCTGAAATTTGCCCATGTCAATTCTAAACAATTCCTGGCTTAGTGAATAACCCTGTAAATGTTATTTAAACTTTTAGATTTGCCTTAATGCATGTAATTGTATATTGCCCCATGTTTGCCTCAGAAACACAGTTCGTATTGCAGTAGTGTTTACTAAAGTAATTTCAAGGCAGATAGGCTGAGTCTGTAATTGCAAAATGTATGTACACCGAGTACTGGCATTACATGCATATGTAACCAATTTCCCCTTCCCATTAGATAACCCGGCGTTATGCAGAGTTTTCATCAGCCATTGTTAGCATAAACCAGACCTTTGCAAACGAAAAGACCAACGTCCTCCTTGGCCAGCTTCAGGTAAGTGGCTTTATGCAGAATATTCATTCAGTTTTGCTTGTGGTTTTATTAATGATCAAGGAATGGGTCATGGAGTCTTCTTATTATATGGAAACCATGGCAGAAACAGACAGTACCTGAGTGTTCAGTGTATTCACAGGCTGTCTAATAAACCTTCTTTCTGAAGGATTGAAATTGGCAGTAAAATTGTGGCCAATCGAACCAACATGTCCATTTACACAGTTAAACATTATTTTGTGTTCTCTAGAATCACACCTATATGCTTTATATTTACAATAATCAGAAAAGACATTTTGATTATTAGTTTCATTTTCTGTCCAAGCTAGTACAAAATCTAGCCCTGGAAACAGTGTTATATCTACCTTATTTCAATCATTCGAATAAAGGGGAATGTGATGCATACAATGACAGGTACCCCATGATAATTGTTATTTGCAGAAGGAATCTGTACATTTATTCCATGGTGCCTTCCCCCCCTACCCCCCCATGTCTTCCCTCACAGGTGGAAGTGGAGAATTTCGTCCTTAGGATGGCTGCAGAGTTTTCGGCTCGTAAGGAGCAGCTCATATTCTTGATTAACAACTATGACATGATGCTTGGTGTCCTAATGGTACGTGCCCTCTGTATAGAAAAAAAAAATGATCTATTCATTAAACATTGCTTGGGCAACAGGGCTGAAAATTAACAGCAATATAGCATTTTTTCCCATTGTAGCATTTTGTAAATCACATTTTAGTGACTAAATCTCTAGCATTATACTTTAACTTAGATTTATGAAGAATATTAATCCAGAATTATAAAAAGGAATGAGGAATTATATCCTTTTTTGACCTACAATTTTCAAATATAGTGAATGAACCTATTAAATTCTCTATACCTGCAATCCACTCATTTACTTGACAATGTTCATTTTAGGAACGAGCGACATCAGACAGTAAGGAAGTGGAGAGTTTTCAGCAGCTGCTGAATGCACGCACCCAGGTCAGTGATTAGTCTAGGCTCCTACAAACTTAATTTTTTTTTGTTTTAATTAATTGGCCCACTCTTTATTTTCTTTCAAGGAATTTATTGAAGAACTCCTTTCCCCATCCTTTGGAGGAATGATTGCCTTTGTGAAAGAGTCAGAATCTATTATAGAGAAGGGACAGCAAGAGCGGCTGCGGAGTGAAGAGGGTGAGTTATGCATGCTCCAGGGTAAAGTTTACATCTGTTAATGGCTAGATGTAGCATGAAACTAAGAAATAACAAATCTTAATTACTTGGCAGGCCGTGTTGCTCAGCTGGTCCGCGGATTCTCAGCCACATGGAAGCAAGCTGTAGAGGCACTAAGCCAGGATGTTATGAGGTCATTTACAAACTTCAAAAACGGGACAAGTATAATACAGGTAAGGAAACCATTCCAGCCCAAGCAGTGCGGATAACCTTGGGAGACTGTGACTCCCATAATGTTTAGTGGTAGAAATCCACCAGATTCTTAGACTGTTAATAAAGCATATCCTTTATAACAGTGTTGGCCATATGTAGTTGCTTTGCTTACATGGTGATCTTATCTATTTTGCAGGGGGCACTCACACAGCTGATCCAATACTATCACAGATTTCATAAGATTCTCTCACAGCCGCCACTGCGCAATCTACCGGTTTGTTCGGAGCTGATTAACCTTCACCACCTTATGGTTGAGCTCAAGAAACATAAACCAAACTTCTGAGCAGTATGACATATTGCCTGCCTCACTAATACATACTGTGCGTGGGTTATTTTGTGGGTACCACTTCTTCCAGATTTTTGCCAGTAACTATAACACTATGATGTCTTCACCCTGTCCAGCTGTTCTTACTTTTTGCCTCTGATTGTCCTTAAACAGCCACAAATTATAACTTATTTATGAGAAAATATATTGAACTGTGTTGTAGCGGTTACTCCAGAGTGAGGCTTTGCTGTATTTTACATGTCTCTTTAATGAAGAAATAAAAGCTGCTTTGTATATAAATATACGATATCAAAGGAAAATTGGATCTTTCATTCACAAACCATCAGGTTAAAAAAAAAAAAGTTGTGATCTTACATCCACTGGAGCTTCAAAGCTTGCTATGACTAGTTGTGAACATTTCAGCTTAGAAATGCATCTCTATTTTCAAACAATCCATTACTACTAATAAAGTGCACAGGGAATAATGTGCTGAGTGGAACCTCTTATCATGGGAAACGTAGTTCAAACATGCATAACGGGGCTGCCAAGGAAAGTGCTCACACCATAAGTAATATTCTTCTCTTAGTAGTCTAGAGGAAGGGCTATGATGATGCAGAATACACTATAAAACTAATGCTGTAATGCTAGAGAACTAAATATTTTCAGACAGGATAAGGTAATGCAATGAACGGTGTACACAAACAGTCCAGTAAAGCCATGGGATCAAATTTGAAAGTCCGACCCTACTTTAGAGCCAAGATGGCTTATGAGACAATAGTAAAAACTAAAGACCACGCTATCCCCAAACCCCTCCCTTTATAGTCATAGAAATATACATTGTTATAGCATATTGCAAAGAAATCTGTTTATTTTATGTCAGTGCACTAAAAACACAAAGTGAAAATTGCGGTACCTAGTAGTATAAAGTATTGCAGGCCTGCCTGACATGTTCCAAAAGCGTATGTCAAACTTAAGTTAATACAATTAGTGTGGGGGAGGGGGGAAAATTGCACAGAAAGATAAAATAAACCAAAACTGTACAAAGATTCTGCTATTGTTTAGGCCGTCAAGAAACAATCACAGGTCTATTCTGTAATAATGATCCTATTCCAACACGGAATGCTCTATTCATTTAATGACAGGGCTGCAGAGCTGCTGATAGTAAATAACATTTAGTGCTGGTACTAGGTCTTTGAGATGAGACTGATGACCACGAAGAATACCAATGGTTCTTAAGGTGTTAATCACAACCTCTTAATATTAAGTGCAAAAATGGGGCATTATACCATTGGGCCAGAGGCCCCCCATCATCTCACCATTATGCAATTGCTAATAATTAATACTCATCTAGATTGTACCAAGGAGAAGAATAAAAAGCCACTTCTCTATAACTCATTGCAAGATCTGTGGCACAGGCAGAGCAAATGTCAACTTTTAAACCAAAAATGTAAACTCTATTCAGAGTAGGGTAAACGTTTTTAAATGAAAGCAAATTTGGCGAGTTAGCAGAAATATTTTTTTGTCTGCTGTTAACACACTGCACTGGGGGTTTAAGGTGTACACACAGTGATAACTCAACTGGCAATTTGAGTCACTAATATGGTTTTAAATGCATACTACAGAAGGTGGCAGGAGGTGGTAAATCAACTCCAGAATTGAGTGTCTCTTTAAAAGAGAATTTAACTCACTTAGGTGACATGGACCGGGTTTATTACTGATCTGCTAATGGTTACAAGAGAGGATGTGCTCTCTCTGCTCCCGCTATCCCAAAGTATTATAAATGATCAAATGTGGAGACTAGCCTTTTATAACTATCCGAGTGCCCTTACTTCGCCAAAAAAAAAAAAAGTACAAATAAAAGGGTGTATGATATTTTCTTGTGGTTGGAGTCTATGCTGAATCACAGACTTGCAATTGGCAAAAGGATAAAAATCAAAACTCCAATCTGAATTTTAATAAGCTCAGAGTTGCTTAGGAATTCAAAAAGGCTGCAATATACATAAATGTATATTTTGATTAAGTATTTTTGTGATAATTCCTCGGCTATACTTAGCTTGGCTATTAAACTCCTAGCTCAACACTTTGCTGAATATTTATATAAAATCTACAAGCTGGTAGCATCATAGAGTCATGATAGCTTCACACAGTTCCTACAGATTGAATGTAACTTATCAAACTATATAAGTCATATATTAAGTTGAGCTGTTAAAGAGATTTGTGCCACCTACCCCATCACACATTTGATCCCACCCTTTCTCTGCTAAATGTAATCTTCATTGCCAATGTGTTGGTGCCATAAAGGAATGACAAGCTATCAAAGAAACTACGGTGCATACACTGTAGTTGCTGTGATTAACAATAGGAAGGCTGACTGCAGAACGGTTCTCATCCTTTTCCCTGTCACTCAACGGTCAAAACAGATACATATGCAAAAATATACACTTAAAGAACCACTATAGGCACCCAGACTACTTCAGCTCAATGAAGTGGTCTGGGTGCCAGGCCCCCCCTAGTTTTAACCCTGCAGCTGAAAACAGTTTCAGAGAAACTGCTATGTTTACACTGCAGGGTTAATCCAGCCTCTATTGGCTGTCTTTCCTGACAGCCATTAGAGGCCGCTTCAGAATTTCAGTGAGTAAATCACACTGAAATGACGCTGGATGTCCTCACGGAGTCCAGCGTCAAATAAGATCCCCATAGCAAAGCACTGAGTAACGCTTTCCTATGGGTGGGTTTGAATGCCCGCGCGTGCTTCTGGCAGAGCATGCGCATTTGGCTCTACTCGGGAACTGACGTTGGCAGGGGGAGGAGAGGTCACCAGCGCCGAGGAAGCTCCGGCGCTGGATTAGCGTGAGTGGCTAAAGGGGTTTTAACCCCTTCAGGGGGACCTATTAACCCTCTAGTGCCAGAAAAACGGGTTTGTTTTCCTGGCACTATAGGATCCCTTTAAAGACTAAAAGGCTTTATGGAGGCATGAAATGTCCAATTTAATTTTGGGAGCTCAATTGAGCATTGCATTTGTGAAATAACTGGGTTATCCCATTTTAAAATCGGATATTTAAAGAACAGTTTGTTATGACAGTACTTACCGTAATCGTATCTTGAAGGAACCTTATAGGGTCAGGAACACAAACGTATTCATGACTCTATAGTATTCAGAAACACTGTTTAGCCTCACGCCACTCTTTTATGAAAATATAATGCTAAATTGTGTGTTTACCCTCACACATACATTTTAATGATGTCTTTAAAATAAAGAACCTATAATATGACCAAGAAGGGAATAATATCAGGTTTGCCTTTTTTATCTTCAAGATACATATAAATGAAAACAAACTGGATAAATATTAAGACACTAGAAATAAGAGGATAGTGTGCATTTGAAAGCAGTAATTTTTTTAACTCTGTCAATCCACAGTTTGGGGCCACTTTTTGTGCTCCTTGCATTTGGGAAGTTCATATCCCTATTCCTCACCTTGAAAGTGAGATCGATTGGTATGGAATGAGATGGGGTCCTTAGGCCACTTTCCCTGCAATTCCTGCTGCTGTGTAATACACAGCAATAGAAGTTCATTTAATGATGGGATGAATCAATGTTTTGGGGTGTTTCTCCTCATTGCTGGTCCTTGTTATATTTACAAAAATCCAAGAATTTAAAAAAAAAAAAAAACGCACTTGGAAGGAAAAGCTGTAGATCTCACATCTGGCATTCCGTTCCCCAATTCCAGTGTTCCACTGGTATATATTGCAGGTCATACAGTTCCGGTAACCTCCATGTTCTTTGCTCCCTGGACGGAGCACAGCACTGTTCATGAAATCCAGCCAGTAGGTGCTATGATGGTGGTACATTCCTTCCTTTGTCCTTCTCCCAGCCCCATTCCACCCTATTTCTGCTCCTTAGTGGGAGCATAATACAGCTCCAGGGGTTTGCTCACTTTCCAATATTTCTCATTAACCAGTTCAAGTGTTAACGAACCATTCAGGGTCTGAGACAAAGAGACAAGCATGCACCAAGTCAGACATTAATTCAGTAGCAAAATGAATAATTAGGCACAGAAACAAACAGCATTCTTTCAGTCTTATATTCGGAAATTAACCTTTACAGTCTTCATGGGGGACTGGAGAGAAGTAGACATTCTGCTTTGGCATTAGGTTTTAGTCATAGTGTCAGCTTATTATTGACTGCAGGTCTCTGTTCTGCAATTGGTAATGTTATCGGTCGGCCAATGAACTGTGCAGTTACACTGGCAGTGATGTAGGGCTGTGAATAACAGCCATAGAGTAGCAGGAAGAGGTAGTATAGGCAACTCCGATCATAGCTCTGTATAAGAAAGTCAATGGCTGGTCTCTGAAAAGCAGACAATAATAGGAGGACATGTAAAGAGTTTAACCCCTTAAGGAAACATGACATGTGTGACATGTCATGATTCCCTTTTATTCCAGAAGTTTGGTCCTTAAGGGGTTAAAGTGCCCCTGACACATCTTCAAGCTTACCTTTCTTCAAATCTGTTTTTCTTTTCTGATCTATTTCTCTTTAAAACACAAAGTAGGGACTATTTTTCCTACACCTAGCAAATCTTGACAACTTGTCTTTAAAGGACCACTATAGTGCCAGGAAAACATACTCGTTTTCCTGGTACTATAGTGCCCTGAGGGTGCCCCCACCCTCAGGGACCCCCTCCCGCCCCTGGAAAGGGGAAAGGGGTTAAAACTTACCTTTTTCCAGCGCTGGGCGGGGAGCTCTCCTCCTCCGATCCTCCTCTTCTCCTCCCCGTCGGCTGAATGCGCACGCACAGCAAGAGCTGCGCGCGCATTCAGCCGGTCACATAGGAAAGCATTCATAATGCTTTCCTATGGACGCTGGCGTGCTCTCACTGTGAAAAATCAAAAATAGGGGAAGGCTTAACCCATTCATAAACATAGCAGTTTCTCTGAAACTGCTATGTTTATGAAAAAATGGGTTAACCCTAGCTGGACCTGGCACCCAGACCACTTCATTAAGCTGAAGTGGTCTGGGTGCCTAGAGTGGTCCTTTAAGGCTTGCCTTAAAGGGACACTCCACTACCCAAATGCAAAAAAAATTTTTTACTTGCAGTTTAGTAGATATACCCCAAATTAATTTTTTTTTAGTGGGACATATCTAAAAGCAACTTGCAAAACCTGCAGTTCTTATCTGCTGCCTTTCCAAGCCCTCACCTTTTAACCCCACCTAGACTTTCTGTTGCTATCCAATCAGGTGCTTTCTGTTGCTATCAAGCAGGCGCTCTGGGCAATTGCTGGTTCTTATATTCATTGCAAATAAGCTAACCAAACCAGGAAGTGACAGAATCTGTTGTCTGCTTGAAAGCCAAGGGGGTGTACCCAGGTTAATTTATAGATAGAAAAAGAGCACAAACTAAAGCTAAAAGCTAGTGCTTTCCGGGTCTGGAGTTTCCCCTTTTTCAAGTTTAGTCAGGCGTAGAAAAAAAATAAAAAAAATAAGGACAAAGTAGTCCCTACTTTGTGTTATGTTTTAAAGAGAACTAGATCAGAATTGCAGAAAAGAAAAAATGATTCTGAAAGATGAAAGAGAGAGGAAACAATAGGAGAGAGGCATGTTTGAGCTGACAGAGCCATCTATTGGAATAGGAAAATGAGAACCCACAAGTTAGGTGAAAATGATGCTGTTTTGTTTTTTTTAAATTACTTTTGCTGTACATGGTGTCAAACATAGAGTAGTAGTTATACTATAAAAAGTACCACAGGTGAAAAACAAATAAACTCTGAGTTCTGGATCTTCCAGAAATACTGCTGTGCACACAGAGCACTTCTCAGCAGTGCTATGAAAGTTAATTGCTTCCTAGTTTAGAGTTCATGGTAGATGCTGAGGTTTGAATGCAGGAACTTCAAAAGTGTGTGTAATATGTATATTATTGTTATTTTAATGCATAACAAAATATGTTAACACCAGCCTCAAGTATCCCTTTAAGCAAAAGAACATATAAACTATACAATATTACTACACTAATTATACTCACAGTGTACTGTCCGCCTGCAGCCCCGGCACAAATGTAAATTGTATATTGCTTCTCGCTGACCTCACCCAGTGTCACCCCATCTGCACCACCACGGAGAGCCTCCACTTCCAGAGCAATGCGTAGAGCCAAGTATTTGGATAAGTGATCAACTGTAGCATTTGCTGTTGTCTTTACAAACCTGGAAATAAAAAGGAAAGTGGTAAAATAAAAAACTTGCCAGAAATTGTAATCTTTAATACAGTTCTAGGAATCACCTTCACCTCTTCTCTGCAGCAGAGTTCTAACCACGTTTAGTACTTAGAACCTAAGCTTTTTTGCACGAGCTATATTCAGTCTACTGCATTTTATGTAATCCACTGATGTTCCAGTACTGCAGAGTGTTGGTGGAGAAAGTCCCGCACCACACCTGACTTTCTATATTACAAAATTATGCAGAGTACCTATACTTCAGCCCTCTCTTTGCCAAGCAAGAGTTTTTCAACTCTTTCATTTCCACCTACTGCCATGATCCCAAACGCCTTTTACCTTTAACTCTCTTCTTTGCCTTGCTGCAACCAGTGATATTACATATTACTTTAACCAAATTAGAAATACATTCACCCCCTCTTTCCTCCTACCCTCCAATATACAGCTCACATTTATGTTCCCTCTTTTTCCCCAGGCTCTGAACAAGAGGTTCATGTGCTCTTTAAAACCCTTCCCTCTCACCATATTCAATCTTCCCCTCTACAATCCAACATGCAATAATTTCACCATATTTCTTCTAACTCCTGCTCCATATCGCTTCTCCCCTTCACTTCTAAGCTTCTTCAGCGACCTGTGTTTACCGGTTTAGCCATCTAACTCACTTTCTCAATACTAACTCTTTACTTGACCTTCTTCAATTTAGTTTCCACTCTACAGAGACTGCCCTTACCAAAGTGACTAACGACTTAATCTTGGCTATATCTAAAAGTCATTTCTCGCTCTTAACTCTTCTTGACATCTATACTTGATAGTATTGACCATTGATTATTGATACTATTGACCACTCTCTTCATCAACCACTCCACAACCTTGGAATCTGTGCCACTGTTCTTTCCTGGTTTTCATCCCATTTTTCTGAACGCTCATTCAGTCTTTACCCTGTGAAATAGCTCTCCATCTATCTTCCTACATATCATTGGGACACCTTTTACCCCATCTCCTCAAGCTGGCAGTATTGGAGTTACCTTTGAATCTGGTCTTAACTTTCCTCCTCACATCCAGTCAGTCTCCAAATCATGTAATTTCCACCTTAATAATATTGGTAGCATTCACCCTTTTCTAACTCAAGATTCAACTAAGGCACTTGTTCATGCACTCATGATTTCCCCACTTGACTATTACAACTCACTGGTGCTATATAAAGAATAAGAATCCATAAATATCAGTATTTGAACATTATATTCTATTCTGCACTTCTGTTCAACTATACAAGTGAACCTACCTGGTCTGGCTATAACCATCCTTTTCCACCAACAAGGGGTGAGCTCTGAACACCAGCTCTATCTCACTCCCAGCCTCTCCGCCCCCTGGAGGATCGGGGCTCCTTCCTCCACCCTCATGTGATAGGTCAGGTTCTGCTCCAGAATCCTCGGAGGCGCGGGATCTCTTGCGACTTGGCCCTGCCTCTTGGTTGCTGTGCACAGATGGATTGCTAACATGAGAGCGGCTATCACAGTTGTCCTCCCCACCACTGAATGTGGTGTTGTCGGACTCGTGCTGATGTTTTCGTACCCGTTGTGCCCTGGGAGTCCAGGAAGATGGGAAGAGAAAAGCAAAATTTATAGCATCTTTCACATTGTCACATAGCAGAAAAAAACCCACTTGTGTTGCTGCTTTTTCTGTTACCTGTGCAGGGCTTGCATTTTAAGTCCTTCCTCAATGCTGCTACTAAGGGCCTGTTGGTTATGCAAGCGACTCAGCTTTGCAAGCACTCTGTCCTGATGAGCTTCATACTCATCTCGACTTGGATAGATTTTGGAGATAAGTGCATCAAAATTTGGGTCGGGGCGAAGGGAGCGTTTAGAAACCAATTTCTTTCTACAAGTGGGGCATTCCTTGTTCCTACAAGAGAAAAACCAAATGTTGTGCAGAAAAGGTGCATTAGATACGTCAGAGAAAAAAAAATGTATGGACATACAAATATAACGCAAGACAAACTGTTCTAAGCGGGAAACAAACTGTATTTTGGTATTAGCCCTGCTATGTAAAATAATACACTGCATTCCTCTTTAATCAAGGCACAGCCCTTGCACACATTAACTATTGAACAGCACATGGATCAGAGAATTTATACGTCAGCTGATGGATATTTAAGGAAACATGAACCCATGGCATGATGGAATCGGAATCCAAAGTCTCACACAAACTAATGAAAGTATAATAGCTATCAAGGACATTGTGTGCACAAGAAAGAAAATTGCTCCTTGATTAGGTGTGTACACTGCAAATACTAAATATTAAATACAAATATGTGGATTCAGGAAGACTTAAGGAGCATGAAAACATATCCTATTAAGTCTACCTTTGCTATAATCATGCATACCGATACTGACCCACTGCGCAGCGCTGTTACAATGCAGTCTGAACAGAACCGATGCAGACATTCCTTGGTGGTCATGGTGTTCTTCAGCATGTCAAGGCAGATGGGACACATCAGCTCACTGTGCAGACTACGCGGAGACACTGCTATCTCTGTGCCATCCATGATGGCTTCCTAGAACAAGGTTGGTAAGCATGCAGCAATCAATTATCTGATAATAATGTGAATGAATGAAATAAGAGAAGTGTGTCTATGGACTGCTTACCTGAGGGGTGCGGTGCAATTCATACAAGCTGAGCTCCCAAGTCTTGCTGGAGCACTGTGCACTAACTGGGGTGGCCATTTTATCATCAGCCTGTATGAAAACACAATGGAAATATTGTTAACACTGATGAGATAAACAAACATTCCTAGTAAGAGCAAACTTTGTGCACAATCTATGTGCCCTTATACAATCTGCATGTATAATAATCCAAACTGGCCACATATTATAATTATTATTTATATAGCGCCAACGTATTCGGCAGCGCTTTACAATATTAAAACTAGGGAAATTTAACAATAAATGAGACAATTTAACAAATTCCACAGGAAGGTTGATGAGGACCCTGCTCAAACAAACTCACATTCAGCATTTCTGTGGCCACACACATGCCAGAATTTTAGTAGGACATTGGCAGCTTGCAGATGGGTTTATCATGATTGTGGCTTACTCACTGGCATATTCTCCATTAATATCCAGTATACTTGTAATAAAGTTGAGTTTGCATCACTTACTAACCATTACTGAAAATGTTGTTATTTAAAGTCAGAACGCCTCTATTGTAGAATGTCACTTTAAAGAGATCTACCACTAAATACATGGATTGGCAGCCAGTTCTTTATTATTCATTTCATACTCTCAAGCTCAGCAACTTTTTATTTTCTAATATTAGAAGAGTACTGGATCTTCCCATATTACACATGTAGAGCGAATACTGGTGGCCAGTGTAATGAATACATAGTGTGCAATAAATCGAATATCATTGTACAGAGGAAAGTTTATAGCAATAAGAGGAAATAGCAGGAATTCTATGCTGTGATGTTTGACTACCTTATAAAGTCACTCTCCCTATATACTGTATCAGTTAGCTTATACTTGTACTGATACTGTATCATTATACTAGTTGCATTTACGTGTATTTTGTAGCCATAAATGTATCTTTGCTCGACACACACACACAGCATCTGCAACAACTTTCTGCCTCACACAATGATAAATAGCGAGAATTGTCTGAGATGAAAAGAATTCAGTGTTTTGGTGCCAAATATCCAAGCTAGAGAATCTCTCCGCCATCGCTCCTGTTTCAGGTTTGTTCTGATAGGTTTACCGCACTATGAATTCTCTTTGCCCAACAGACAATTCGCCCCCCGATAATAAAGTAAGAGTTTCCCTATGTTAACTCTTCGTGCCACGGTTTCAGTGTCTGCTCGCTGGCAATATAAACACAGCCACGCTCAGTGGCCCACTGCCAGCACACACAGCTCTGTCTTTACTGAGAGACGCCAACCTATACCGCAGCGCAGACACCCAGACCGACAGACTCTCACACAGAGCTAGCAGTCTCTCTCTCACACACACACACACACACACACACAGAGCTAGCAGTGTCTCTCACACACACACAGAGAGAGCTAGCAGTGTCTCTCTCACACACACAAAGAGAGCTAGCAGTGTCTCTCACACAGAGCTAGAAGTGTCTCACACAGAGCTAGCAGTGTCTCTCACACAGAGCTAGCAGTGTCTCTCACACAGAGCTAGCAGTCTCTCTCTCTCACACAGAGCTAGCAGTCTCTCTCTCTCACACAGAGCTAGCAGTCTCTCTCTCACACAGAGCTAGCAGTCTCTCTCTCTCACACAGAGCTAGCAGTCTCTCTCTCTCACACAGAGCTAGCAGTGTCTCTCTCACACACAGAGCTAGCAGTGTCTCTCTCACACACAGAGCTAGCAGTGTCTCTCACACACAGAGCTAGCAGTCTCTCACACACAGAGCTAGCAGTCTCTCACACACAGAGCTAGCAGTCTCTCTCACACACAGAGCTAGCAGTCTCTCTCTCACACACAGAGCTAGTAGTCTCTCTCACACACAGAGCTAGCAGTCTCTCTCACACACAGCTAGCAGTCTCTCTCTCACACACAGAGCTAGCAGTCTCTCTCACACACAGCTAGCAGTCTCTCTCTCACACACAGAGCTAGCAGTCTCTCTCACACACACAGAGCTAGCAGTCTCTCTCACACACACAGAGCTAGCAGTCTCTCTCACACACACAGAGCTAGCAGTCTCTCTCACACACAGAGCTAGCAGTCTCTCTCACACACAGAGCTAGCAGTCTCTCTCACACACACAGAGCTAGCAGTCTCTCTCTCTATCACACAGAGCTAGCAGTCAGTCTCTCTCTCTCTATCTATCACACAGAGCTAGCAGTCAGTCTCTCTCTCTCACACACAGAGCTAGCAGTCAGTCTCTCTCTCTCACACACAGAGCTAGCAGTCTCTCTCTATCACACAGAGCTAGCAGTGTCTCTCTCACACAGAGCTAGCAGTCTCTCTCACACACAGAGCTAGCAGTGTCTCTCTCACACACAGAGCTAGCAGTGTCTCTCTCACACACAGAGCTAGCAGTGTCTCTCTCACACACAGAGCTAGCAGTGTCTCTCTCACACACAGAGCTAGCAGTGTCTCTCTCACACACAGAGCTAGCAGTATCTCTCTCACACACAGAGCTAGCAGTGTCTCTCTCACACACACAGAGAGCTAGCAGTGTCTCTCTCACACACACAGAGAGCTAGCAGTGTCTCTCTCACACACACACAGAGAGCTAGCAGTGTCTCTCACACACACATACAGAGAGCTAGCAGTGTCTCTCACACACACAGAGCTAGCAGTGTCTCTCTCACACACACAGAGCTAGCAGTGTCTCTCTCACACACACACACAGAGCTAGCAGTCTCACACACACACACAGAGCTAGCAGTCACACACACACACACAGAGCTAGCAGTCACACACACACACAGAGCTAGCAGTCACACACACACACAGAGCTAGCAGTCTCACACACACAGAGCTAGCAGTGTCTCTCTCACACACACAGAGCTAGCAGTCTCACACACAGAGCTAGCAGTGTCTCTCACACACACACAGAGCTAGCAGTGTCTCTCACACACACACAGAGCTAGCAGTGTCTCTCACACACACACACACAGAGCTAGCAGTGTCTCTCACACACACACACACAGAGCTAGCAGTGTCTCTCACACACAGAGCTAGCAGTGTCTCTCACACAGAGCTAGCAGTCTCTCTCACACAGAGCTAGCAGTCTCTCTCACACAGAGCTAGCAGTCTCTCTCTCACTCACAGAGCTAGCAGTCTCTCTCTCACTCACAGAGCTAGCAGTCTCTCTCTCACTCACAGAGCTAGCAGTCTCTCTCTCACACAGAGCTAGCAGTCTCTCTCTCTCACACAGAGCTAGCAGTCTCTCTCTCTCACACAGAGCTAGCAGTCTCTCTCACACACAGAGCTAGCAGTGTCTCTCTCACACACAGAGCTAGCAGTGTCTCTCTCACACACAGAGCTAGCAGCAGTCTCTCTCTCTCACACAGAGCTAGCAGTCTCTCTCTCTCACACAGAGCTAGCAGTCTCTCTCTCTCACACAGAGCTAGCAGTCTCTCTCACACAGAGCTAGCAGTCTCTCTCTCTCACACAGAGCTAGCAGTCTCTCTCTCTCACACAGAGCTAGCAGTGTCTCTCTCACACACAGAGCTAGCAGTGTCTCTCTCACACACAGAGCTAGCAGTGTCTCTCACACACAGAGCTAGCAGTCTCTCACACACAGAGCTAGCAGTCTCTCACACACAGAGCTAGCAGTCTCTCTCACACACAGAGCTAGCAGTCTCTCTCTCACACACAGAGCTAGTAGTCTCTCTCACACACAGAGCTAGCAGTCTCTCTCACACACAGCTAGCAGTCTCTCTCTCACACACAGAGCTAGCAGTCTCTCTCACACACAGCTAGCAGTCTCTCTCTCACACACAGAGCTAGCAGTCTCTCTCACACACACAGAGCTAGCAGTCTCTCTCACACACACAGAGCTAGCAGTCTCTCTCACACACACAGAGCTAGCAGTCTCTCTCACACACAGAGCTAGCAGTCTCTCTCACACACAGAGCTAGCAGTCTCTCTCTCTATCACACAGAGCTAGCAGTCTCTCTCACACACAGAGCTAGCAGTCTCTCTCACACACAGCTAGCAGTCTCTCTCTCACACACAGAGCTAGCAGTCTCTCTCACACACACAGAGCTAGCAGTCTCTCTCACACACACAGAGCTAGCAGTCTCTCTCACACACACAGAGCTAGCAGTCTCTCTCACACACAGAGCTAGCAGTCTCTCTCACACACAGAGCTAGCAGTCTCTCTCTCTATCACACAGAGCTAGCAGTCTCTCTCACACACACAGAGCTAGCAGTCTCTCTCACACACAGAGCTAGCAGTCTCTCTCACACACAGAGCTAGCAGTCTCTCTCTCTATCACACAGAGCTAGCAGTCTCTCTCTCTATCACACAGAGCTAGCAGTCAGTCTCTCTCTTTCTATCACACAGAGCTAGCAGTCAGTCTCTCTCTCTCACACACAGAGCTAGCAGTCAGTCTCTCTCTCTCACACACAGAGCTAGCAGTCTCTCTCTATCACACAGAGCTAGCAGTGTCTCTCTCACACAGAGCTAGCAGGGTCTCTCTCACACAGAGCTAGCAGGGTCTCTCTCACACAGAGCTAGCAGTGTCTCTCTCACACACAGAGCTAGCAGTGTCTCTCTCACACACAGAGCTAGCAGTGTCTCTCTCACACACAGAGCTAGCAGTCTCTCTCTCACACACAGAGCTAGCAGTCTCTCTATCACACAGAGCTAGCAGTCTCTCTCTCACACAGAGCTAGCAGTGTCTCTCTCTCTCTCTCTCACACACACAGAGCTGGGGAGTTCATACACGGCTGGCTGGCAGTCATGGCGTTCAAAGCTTTATTTATAAACCAAACGGACAGTGAACATGCGGAGCCTGGCCGGCAGCACGCTGACTAAGCCGGACTGTAACAGGTACTAACCCCCGCTTCCCGTCGCCTGCGTCACGTGAGTCCCGTTCCTCGGTGAAGAAACGGAGAAAAACAGGAAATACGTCTACTTCCGGCGGCGGAGCACCACTTCCGGCGTGCAGTGTGGGCAACTGGCCTCACAATTTTTGACCAGGGCTCGTAGGCCACGCCCACAGAGCAACCGTAGCGAATCAACGTAGAGCGCCAGACCCGCTTTATCTATCAACCAATCACCTTCACAAACTGTCTGTAGCGCGCGCTGGGGCAATTACCCGCCTTTACAGGGGAGGGAGAGAGAGAGAGAGGGAGAGAGAGAGGGAGAGAGAGGGAGAGAGAGAGAGAGAGAGAGAGAGAGAGAGAGAGAGAGAGAGAGAGAGAGAGTGTGTGTGTCGCAGTAATAATGTGAGTGAATGAGAGTCAGTGATGTGAGAGAGTGTGTGAGTGAATGAGAGTCAGTGATAGTGAGTCAGTAATAATGTGAGTGTGAGTGAATGAGAGTCAGTGATAGTGAGTGTCAGTAATGTGAGAGAGAGTGTGAGTGAATGAGTCAGTGATAGTGAGTCAGTAATAATGTGAGTGTGAGTGAATGAGAGTCAGTGATAGTGAGTCAGTAATGTGAGAGAGTGTGTGAGTGAATGAGAGTCAGTGATAGTGAGTCAGTAATGTGAGAGAGTGTGTGAGTGAATGAGAGTCAGTGATAGTGAGTCAGTAATAATGTGAGTGTGAGTGAATGAGAGTCAGTGATAGTGAGTCAGTAATAATGTGAGTGTGAGTGAATGAGAGTCAGTGATAGTGAGTGTCAGTAATGTGAGAGAGTGTGAGTGAATGAGAGTCAGTGATAGTGAGTGTCAGTAATGTGAGAGAGAGTGTGAGTGAATGAGAGTCAGTGATAGTGAGTGTCAGTAATGTGAGAGAGTGTGAGTGATAGTGTCAGTAATGTGAGTGAATGAGTCAGTGATAGTGAGTGTCAGTGAGTGATAGTGTGTGTGTGTGAGTGTAATAGTGAGACAGTGTGTGTGTGTGTGACAGGGAGAGAGATTGTGTGTGTGTGAGACTGTGTGTTTGTGAGAGTGTAATAGTGAGACAGTGTATCAGTGAGTAACGAGTGAGAGAGAGTCCATGATCGCGTGTGTAGGAATGGGAATAAATAACAGTGGATATAGACATTACATTTACTTAATTTAACATTTTAATAAAGTGCTTGATTAATTTTATAATATTGTTCATTATTTTCATTGGTATTTCAGTTCAGTCCATGGGGATTTCCTGATAGGACAGCAGCTGTGATCCTCTGTCCATAGATAGTACACGAGAACCCCAATTAACAGACACAGGACATCACCCTAATGAACATTCAACGGTTTCTACCACTAATTATAAACCCCGTCTTTGTAGTGCTCTTAACATACAGATAAATGTAGTTTCACAAAGTAATAGACTATTGAGACTATTTGTAGATAGTCATATGATAATGTCTTCATAATTTGATCAGTTCGTTGTTTTGCCCCATGTCTCCACTGGAACATTTGTCTGGAAGCTATTACCATCATCTACAGACTAAGTACATGAGAATTGCACAGCTCTTTTACACCCCCCCCCCGAAACTCTTGCACAATTTAAAACATTTAAAAATGAATTGGTTCTTTTTAACCTAAAAACTCCAATCCCTGACTGTAATGAAAAACTGGTCATAGTGTCCATTTCATCTTCTATTTTGCAAGTAGCAATAAGGCACTTCAGGGTCCATGAGTGGAGGTATAATGCCCGCACATCACCATCAGAGTCGCAGCATTTAACGTACTTGGGAGAACAGTTGAGGTTACATAAAAAGCCCACCTGTATATAAAAAACAAAAAGCAACAATCTAAGCAAGTAGTATAATGCATTGAGCATATAAGCAACAACAGCAATAAATAAAGTACAACCTGATCTATAACCTGGTACTGTGCAGTACACTGCAATATTCTTGTTATTACACTGTGGGATCAGCCTTGTTTGTGGCATAAAATTACACAAATTAGCTGGAATTTCCTGACTTGGACATATCCCAGGACTTCTTCTCACATGGAAATTTATAAACTGTGTGGCTGCACAAAATGTGGATTTAGGGTGTAAATTATAAATGGTAAAATATGCTAAAGAGTTATGAAAAGTCCTAAACACTAATGATTATCATATAAAAAGAAAAAAAATACCTCTCAAAGAAAATGTGCCACTTCCTATATAAACAAATACCAATAAAAACATTATTATAGGAGGGATTTTTCTTTTACCGGTCACTTCAATGCTGGCCCCTGTGATATACTTGCTGTCATCCGATGCCAGGAACGCACAAACATCAGCAATATCTGGAAAGTGTGAAATAATTGACAAGATGTATCAAGGCCCAAACTGGCTGTTACAACTTTACATGTTTATATTTCCAATTTAAAATGGATTTCAACGCAATGATTAGCAAAACGCATGTAGATTAGCAAATACACACAGATCTCTCCACAATACTTTAAAAACACACTCAATGAATTGTCCTTTAAAAATACAGCACACAGGGCTAAATAGTAACTTTACCTTCAGGTTTACCAAGTCTGCCCATAGGAATGGATCCCGAAATCTGTAGAGACAGGGGCGTATTAGAAGGAAATATAATGTAACAACCTGTACTTAAAACTAGAGAAAAGTAAACCCATCACTTTTCTGCAAATCCCACCACTGAATAAGAATTAAAAAAAAAAAAAAATCACTTATAACTTGTGTTAATCTTATTTTCATGTTATGCTATGTTCTTTTTAATGTATATTAAAGAAACACTCCAAATACCATAACAGCTCACTGTAGTGGTTATGGTGCCTATAATGCCCTGCTCCCTCTCCCATTGTAAGGAGTCTGCTGGACCTGCTCCCTATCTCTAGAGAACTGGAAGTTCCTAAGTAAGACGATCCTATGTAGGAAATCGCAATAGCTCTTTTGAGCAAACAAAGTTCCTGCTTAGGAATTCAAGCTCTCCAGAGAGAGACACCCAGCAGACCCAGGTAAGAAGTCAAACCATTCAAAACCAGTTTGATTCCTTACAATGATGGAGGCGTGCTTCGAGTGTTCCTTTAAATTCACATCCAGTTCAGTCATGGTACCACTACCACACATTGCATTGGAGGAGAGGAAACAGAAATGTTGATGGTTCCCCTTGAAGAGACTGGATCAGCCAAAGGTTTTATTATGAATGTTATGGGAAGAAAGTAAGCACAATGGGACAAGAAACCTGTTTAATCCATGACTCATAGGGTTAAAGTGTTTTCCGGTTGCAGTCACAGGCAACTGGTGAGACCTAGGTTAACTGTTCTAAAACAGTTTTGACTACTTGTCAGGGAATACAATAAAACAGAGAGGACCCAAGGATTTAGCACTACCCAGTATTGGTCACCTTATCTAATACTTTCTGCGGGACTTTATCAGTCATCGGTGTAGAGATGAATCCTGGCAGCACAGTATTACACCGGATCCCATACCTGAGAAAATGAAAAATTAAATGTTTACAGCAGAAAAGACATTAAGTAAAGAAAAAATTAATTAGTTTTAAGAACACTCCAAACACCTAAAGCACTTTAGCTTGCTGAATTGCTTTATCTGTGAAGAGTGTGTCCGCTTTTCTGATTTTAGAATAAGTGCAGAGTTCAATTAAAAATGGGCAGTTTTATACATTAACCTGGTTACATCCCCTCGACTGTCAATCAGACAAGCAGTCCTGTTACTTCCTGGTTTGGCTAGCTCAGTGGAGCTAAACTCAAGGAGGTAGCTAAATGCCCAGAGCACCTGCCTTGCAAAGATTTCTCATTGAGTTGTTTGAGATTTGACAGCCTCAGAAAGTCTGGGCTGGGGAAAATGAATCTGCAGCTTTTGTAAGTGGTTTTAGATATACCCAAAATGAAAAAATGCATGTTTTCATTGTGGGTATATCTACTAAATAGTCATTTGTTTGACAGTGGTGTGTCCCTTTAAGAGAATGAGATATAGCTGCATGAGATTTGCCTTCCTGCAGTGAAGATTAGTTGAGATATAAGCAGTGCTGGCCTGTGCAGGAAACAAAGTAGCAGGTAAGGCCTATGCTTTCATGCTGGAAAAAAGAAAGACAATATGGACTAAATCTGCACTGTTAATTTCCTCCATCTGGCAGTGTTGGATGACCTTAAGCCTGACTTACCTTGCAAGCTCCTTGGCAGCAGTTCTAGTCAGCCCCTCGACACCAGCTTTAGATGCAGCATAATTACACTGCCCAAGGTTTCCCACCTGCAAGAATTAGGGTGTTAGAAACAGATTTTTCTATATTTCATGATTTTAATAACAAAAACTGGAAAGGGAAAGTGTATGGAACAAATACATTAGAATACTATAATTATTGATACATCAATCCTCTTCAAACATGAAGTATGAATGCATTTTTTAAACAAACAACATTTTTTTGTCCTACCTTCCCAACAATACTTCCAATGTTGATGATGGAGCCTTTGTTTTGTCCGTTGGCTACAAGAGCTCGAGCCACAGCTTGTGTAATAAGGAATGGACCCTAAAATAAAAAAGGGAAAAAGGCAAAGAGTAAGAATCATGCAGTTTACATTAAAAGGGAAAGACATCTAAAGACTCCTTGGAACGATGCACAGGTAAAAAACAGGAGTTATGACAAAAGACTGATTCCTTAAACAATCAATTTCAGCAAATTACATTTGAATGGCAAAATTGAGGCTAAAATAGCTGTGTTGTGACTGCGGCTGATTTGGGCGAATCTTTCTAAAATCAGGGATTTTAGTCTCCATTTGCCATTTAAATTGAATTCGCTAACACTCAGTGTTCGTGAATAATCTTGTAGAATGGCAACTTGGTCAATGCTTACTCTGACTCCAAATATGCTCATTAACACCATTACCTAGGAAACCTAATATACATGTGATGGCATTCAAAACAATCTGTGGACCAGAAGAAAAGGAAATAAAATAAAATATGGCAGGAATGCTTTAACACAAATGGAGAGGGATGAAACCCTAAAGAATAAATTAAATTGATTCTATGACACATTTAAAAACATTGCAGCAACAAAGAATTGGGTTTTCGCTTTAAAGCTGCTAAGCTATTCAGTACGGTTAATGTTCCTGTTGTACACTTAAAAGATACTGAGGCAAGGAATCTTGTTTTGGAATGACACTGCACCAGTAAAAGATAGGACTGCAGAGTGTAAGGTTATGTTTTAGTCACCTTGAGGTTGACACTCAACACGGAATCAAAGGATTCTTCTGCCAAGTGAAGAAGGAATTCATCTCGAGTGATTCCCGCACTGCTGATAGCAATACATGGTGACCGTGAGTATTGAGCCTGAGGAGGAAAGAGGGACAATTAGAACAGTGTAACTTTTGCATTATATAAATTTTTATTTGCGACCTGTATCTCACACTTAACCTGTATCTGCTCTATTAAGGCACTGACACTCTGTGATTGAGAGACGTCAACTTGAAAGGCTGTGTGCGCCTGTCCCACAAGTCCATGACAGAGACTCTGTAGTGTATCTTTGGCTGAATCAATATTTACATCAACCACAGCCACTGAAGCTCCTTCTAGAGACAACCTTTGAGAGATGGCTCGTCCAATCCCACTACCTCCACCTTGAAAATATTAAGAGTTCAGTTCAGACTTGTTGATTCTTTGGTGAGAACTTTTAATAAACATACAATCTGAATCAATGCTTCATAAATACAGATGCAGGGAAATACGTTTAATTTAACACGCATGAATGTTATGTGACTGTAATTCCAGACTCCTTAGAATGTGTCAGAACAGTAACCTCAAGAGAGTAGGAAACAGTACAAGATTAATTCATATTACAAACCATGTAAGATCTGATACTGATTAACAAATCTTTGAAGGGAGAATTAGAGTGATCACATCTGCTAATATGAAAGGAATCATTATAAAAGATGCAATTCAAGCAGGACAGCAAAGCTTTCAATTTAGCTCTCCAATATGACCAAACCACCATACAAATCACTAATATATATTTTTTTATATCTCTGTGATATATATATATATATATATATATATATATATATATATATATATATATATATTGTGGACAAAAAGCCTCCTACCGAAAAAGATTAGAACCCGGTGCTCGATTGCACAATAGATATAAAACAAATAAATAATCAGCACTCCCAGGGTTTGTAAATAACCCAAAAAATACTTTACTCCGTAAGTCAACGTTTCAGCTCCTCTTGGGAGCTTTCATCAGGACAGCATACAGTATGCTGTCCTGATGAAAGCTCCCAAGAGGAGCTGAAACATTGACTTACGGAGTAAAGTATTTTTTTGGTTATTTACAAACCCTGGGAGTGCTATTTATTATTTATTTGTTTTATATAAAAATAATCCACAATATCCTTGCACACTGGCGCCAAAGTAGTTAAACCGGGTGCTTGCAATCTGGGGAGATTACACATACCAATAGAGAAGATGACCAGCACTCTCGGATTCCAATAGGTAATTAAAAGTTATAAACTTTATTCATCCATCTTTAAAAATAGCTGTTCAGCGTTTCAGTCCACGTTTGGGACTTTCAAACGTGGACTGAAATGTTGAGCAGCTATTTTTAAAGATGGATGAATAAAGTTTAACTTTTAATTACCTATTGGAATCCGAGAGTGCTGGTCATCTTCTCTATTGGTATACATATATATATATATATACATATATATATATATATATATATATATATATATATATATATATATATATATATATATATATATATATATATATATATGTATACCAATAGAGAAGATGACCAAACATATATGATATATATATATATATATATATATATATATATATATTAAAAAAAAACAAAAAAACAATAGATGTGGACTCCCTAATATGGCAGAGTAATTGAGGCTTTTCCTCCTTTTCCCAAAACAAAACACTGCAGGATTAAGAAAGCCAACCTGCAATATGTTGGGCACATTGAAGTTTTAGTTGAGATGTACAAACAAACATAAAAATGTATAAAATTACTAAATAAAATTAAAAAAAACAAACAACATAATTTGGGGCAACATAGCATTCAAAAAATCTGTTGTTCTCCCACATACTTCACAAACTGTCAACAGGCAACCCCTAGATTGACTTTCCTTGAGGGCTGTGCTATTTAAAAAGTCTTGACACTACTCTATCTATACTTAGAAGAGCTATGATCTAAGAATATTTATATCAATATCCCCTTTTACAATGGTACTGCCAGCCCTCCTACCACATTAATACATTGAGTACCCTCACCCCCCTTAATTGTCAGAGAACCAGACTAGAGGCTATATCAGTCCCTGTTAATTCCTGCTGTTCTATCAGTTTCTCAATATCACAGGAAACATAGCTTGGAGCAGTTCCATTGTCAGCCATTACTGATACCTTGAGTAAACTATTCTCAGTTCCATTGTGCCTGTACAAACCCCATCCCCTGCAGCATGTATCTGCCACCATGTGTTAATGCCATTATTGCTGCTAATTCATAATATTCATTGACCTGTCACCAGAGCCAGCCTGGACTTCAACCTGAAGGTGGCAGCCATGACACCGGATATAGCTGTACCATAGAGAAGAATAAGAAACCGCCAGGTACAAACCATAGAGCGAGGGGGAGAGGGAGAGAGCGGCAAGCCAGTGATTTGCCTTGTATAGGGGGCTGAGCTGGCTTCATTAGCTGTGTTGGTCTGCACTGCAACTCCTATAATACTCTGCCAGACTTTGCTGGACTACAACTCTCATTACTCCCAGCCAGTGTGCAACTCCTTCACATAAACTGACCCTTAGATAGTGTTTGGGTTAGGGCTGCAGCATGGATGCAATAATTAAAATATATTTATAATGCTCCACACCCTATAGGTTGCCACATTACTAGCCCAATGTAGAAATTACTCTCCTTCACTCCCCCACATGGATTTACAGGGTGGGGGTTATAGTTAAAAAGTGTTGACATTTATAATGGAAGATATCCATCACATTGAATAATTCATAGATCCCCAGTGTTTTAAAACTACAGATTCCATAATGCTTTGCCATTCTAAAGTCATTCAAAGTATCATGGGAGTTGTAGTTCTACAACATCTGGGATGCTACCTTTTGGGCACCCCTGATTTAGACTGTAGGATTGTTTGAGCAGTGTCCTCATCATTCTAGTGTTCCGGTAACATTTTGTAATTGTCTTGTTTATTGTTAAATTTCCCCCTTTTATGATAATGTAAATCGCTGCGGAATACGTTGGCGCTATATAAATAATAAAAACATTAAACAATAATAATTTATTTTAATACATTTTTTTTTTTTTTTAAAGATGATGGGTTATACGTAAAAGACGTATCTGGCTGCTCACAATGAAGAGGTAGTGAGAAAAGAGTGCAATGTTTTGGCAGAAAGCAGAGGTATTCCAGTTGAGGTAAACTGTTGTACAGCTCTAAGGAATATGTTGGTGCTTTATCAATATGGAAATGGAGGTATATTCAGCAAAAAATGAAATTCAGTTATTAGAAAACTGAAAAAAAAAAAAAGTCCACAAGTTGGAGAAATATTCTTCTCCGTACTGAATAAAAACCGTAATATATATAGGATGGAAACTCACGGTTATTCTCTAAATCTGCAATATTTACCACCTGTTTTTAGATACATCTCCAATGAAAAAATGCATTATTAAAAATATGCATGTTTCGGGCGTGGCCGACTGCCGAGAGGAGAAGTCGCATGTAACGACAGCTCCGTGCTCCACCAGGCCCAAAGCGTCGATTTAGCAACGAAAACCCGGACGAAAACCTGCACAAACGGCGGGCACAAAGTCCGACCACAACATGGCACCCTCTAAACAAACCAAGATCACTGACCCGGTCAGGCAAACGAAGAAGGACAAGACGAGACCGGCGCAAGATGGCGACGGCCACGCGGCTCGCTCAGCGTCGCCAGAAAGTCAAGAGGCTCCAGAATATGATCCGCAGACACTGGATGAGGAGCCGGTCACCAATAAAAGCCTCCACACGATGTTGCAGGCCTTAAAGGGTTCTCTCCGGTCTGATCTCCGCCAATACACCAACGAGCTAAAAAGAGAACTAGCTGAATTAGGAGGCCGCACCAGCCACCTAGAAGCAAAAACAGAAGAAATATGTGAAGCCCATAATGAACTGGTCGACAAGCTGCATACTCTGGAAGAGGAACAAAAACTCCTTAAAAGCAAAATGGCAGATATGGAGGATCGGTCGCGCCGCAATAATTTGCGCTTCAGGGGCATTGACGACGCAATTGCCAACGAGGCACTCCCTCTCCACATCAAAATTCTTTGCAAACTTCTAGCTCCACAAGTGGAAGATTCCGACTGGGAGATGGACCGGGTACATAGGCTACCAAGACCAGCCCGTTTTACAGCAGACACTCCAAAAGACACCATAGTAAGATTCCATCACTACACTGCTAAAGAACATCTACTAAACGCGGCTAGGAAACTCACTGTATTGCCCGACCCGTATCAACGTATCCAAATATTTGCGGATCTTTCTGCTTCAACAATGGCAAGAAGGCGGGAATTTGTGAATGTGACCAAAACCCTGCGTAACCACAGCATACCATACCGTTGGGGGTACCCCACGAAATTGCTAGTTTGGTACCGAGATAGAACCATCGTAATCTTGGAACCAGATGCGGGTATGGAGAAGCTGAAGGAGTGGGGATTACATCACGCGCAAGGCCTGAATCCCAGAACAAACGCCTCACCACTAAAGATCCTACCGGAGTGGAAAAAGATTGGGGCTGACGCCACCTCTCACAAACGGGACTAACATGAACACTTAAAAGGAGACAACCTGCACCCTGGACACTTGAGTATCTTTAACTGTTATGCTATTCCATGTATTTTAATGTCCCCTGGCGCACCTATTCCGATGGGACATAAGTTCAACCCCTAGTTCACCAGTTGGTCACTCATCTAGTTGGGCATCTGCTAAGGGGTATCGGGAAAGGGGCAGCACTTAATTATATCAGGTTCCACTCTAGGGGGCTGGCGCAAGCAGACAGGCCCTATGGAGCAAGGGACACCCTAAAGCAGTTGAGGGCGCTATCAGCAGCTCCCATCCAGACATACGGGAGCAATGGCCCCATCACATAGGTTCAGAACGCCCCCAAGTCACGCACACCTCACGCCAAAGGGCAAATTGAATGTCCCCCTAATCCATACCCTATTCAGGGAAAAAAATAAATAAATAAATAAAAAAAAAATTACATAATAAAAGTATAAATAGCTCATTGTTGAATCTGACAGCATAAAAAGGTCAGCACCAGTAGCCGATGTCTGGACATAACGGGTTGTTCACTCACCCTCCTAGAAGTGTCATAGGGCCCTAAATGGTGGTCATACTCCACGATCCCCATGCCGACGATGTGTGAGGCTCCACCTCACACAAATTCGGCAGTAGACCCTGCTACAGGCAGGAACACGTTGTTTCTTCTTAACATGTTTCCCCATCTCTCCCCCTGTTTAATACCGTCCCCCCCCCCATCAGACATAACTCAAAATGGTATGTTTTTATTATTATGTACGGAGGATTAACTAAATACAATGAGGAATCAAGGCCCACCACTCTAATGTACTTCACTGTTATGGGCAATCTCATGAGCTATGCAGCTTATACCTTCAAATGACCAACTCTGAGTTTAAAATTTTCTCCCTGAATGTCAAGGGTTTGAACAGCCCGCACAAGCGGAGCATAGCAATTAGAGATATGCACAAGTCTAAAGCCGCAGTCATATGCCTACAAGAAACACACCTATGTGTTAACAAACCCCCTAAGTTCCAGACCAAGCGCTACCCCCAAGCCTTCCATGCTTACTCACCAAGCAAATCTAAAGGGGTGTCCATCCTCTTTCATGCAGACTGGGTCTTTCAACCGCAAGCCACATATGTAGATAGTGTGGGCCGCCTCCAGGTGTTGGTGGGCTTGCTTAACGGAGTCGAGGTCACCATAGCATCCCTATACGCCCCCAATGAAGGCCAAATTACCTTCTTACAAAGAGCACTTAAAAAGATAGACTCAATGAAACGTGGACAGGTTATAATATGTGGGGACTTCAATTGTAACCCAGACCCAAACCTGGATATCCAAAGGGTGAATAATAAGAAACCTATCCCTTCCGCATATCAAAATGGTAAAGCCCTGTCAGATATTATGTTCGAGTTAGACTTATACGATTCCTGGCGCAACACTTACCCAACGGGTAGAGACTACACATTTTTCTCGCCACTACACTCAACTTACTCACGAATAGACCTTACACTGGTAGATAAACTGACCCTAACAAACATAATTGATGTAGATATAGGTCTTCGGACGTGGTCTGACCATGCCCCAGTAATAGTTACTCTCAGTAGCCTATACCCATCTCGTGGGAGAGGCAAATGGAGGCTTAACGAAAGTCTCCTAGATGATCCCGCGTCGCTGCAAACAATTCGCGAAACCACTACCAACTACTTCAGGGAAAACATGTCCGAGGAGGTGTCCTTACGCACCCAATGGGCAGCTCACAAAACTGTAGTCAGGGGGGTGCTAATTCAAATCGGGTCGCGTAAAAAACGGAAAACAGACGAAGAAACGAGGCGGATAACACACGAACTCACAGAGGTTGATAAACTTAATAAGAGTAACCCATCCACTAAATTAGCTAAAAAAGTCGCTCGCCTACAGAGAGACTTAAACGCCTTATCTTTACAAACGACTGAACGGAGAATGAGAGCCCTTAAGTCGACATACTACACACAAGGCAATAGAGCGGGTAAATTATTGGCCAATAAGTTAAAAGCCCAACGTCTTCAATCGAAAATCCCCTATATCGAATCCCCGCAGGCGTCTAAATTATACAACCCCACCGATATTGTAAATGCGTTAGCGTCCTTCTACTCCAACTTATACAATCTGAAAAATGACTCCTCAGTGCCTCAGCCGACGCATGCAGTCATAGATGAGTTTCTTCATCAAGTAGAACTGCCACTCCTGTCACAAACACAAAGAGAAACATTAGAGCGACCGTTCTCGGAAGACGAGATCTCAAAAGCTATCGCCACTCTCCCTAAACATAAGGCCCCGGGTCCCGATGGATTCTCAAACTACTATTATATTAAATTGTCAAAGATCCTAACCCCCTTCCTAACCTTATTATTTAATGACATTAAAACGACAGGGCTCATGCCGAAAGAAATGCTGGAAGCGCACATAATTACACTCCCTAAACCGGGCAAACCACCCACCAAATGTGAAAACCTGCGTCCGATCTCACTTCTCAATGCAGATGTTAAACTATATGCTAAA